AGAAGAGAAGAAGAGAAGAGCAGGGTCGAACCAGCCCTGGCCAGGTCCGTTCTTAATAGAAGGCCAACACAGTGCCCGCAGCACTGGTGAGATGTGATCCAACTTCTTGCTGTTTGTCAACACACGGGCAGCAAAGTTTTGTACAAGTTGCAATTTGTTTATGTTGTGCGCAAACGTTCCAGACCAAACTGTCGAGCAATAAAAGAGTTTACAACAAAACTACGAATGAAATTACGGACGTCTTTTTTTTAGAAGGATAGGTGTTCCCCCCTCCCAAATGATGATATTAACATCAACTTCCTGGGAAACGTTTTTGATTGCTGAAAAGACATAAGGGATATAAATATGCTGATCTACTTGAATCTATTTTATGTATGACGATGTATATCAAAGGAACTATTCATGCCAACTTTGCGTATTAAAAAGAGGGAAAGGGGCCCCTCCTTCTCACCCCGACCCTCCTACATCTCATTGAAATAATATCAAAGTCAATGTTCTTCACATCTTGGCATTTGAAATTTTATCAGGACGGTAGAGTGATGCGGAGAATGATTCGTTTCCTCCTCTTCGCTTTCTCGACAAACCTGGCAACTGTTACTAATCAATGCGCCATGAGAATGGCTCAAACTTTGTACTCTATGTGTAACAGGTCCTTACATGTGCGATGTGGAGTGAAAACAGGAAGTCTTATGCCAGAGGTACAATTACGTCACCGATGAGCAGAATTGTGAATAAAACGCACGCACAAAGGAGGCAAAGCCTAAAAATTTCTGCTCTGATCCTGATCGGTTTTACGTTCGACGTTTGAACGGTAGAGGTGTAAAGTTCTTTATGACAGAAAAGTTTTTTTCGCGATGAAATTATAGAGGTTTTAAACTAATCTCTTGTGATGTTAGATTGCATCGTGGAAATAAAGAAGGAAGTATCAGTTTTCGGTTCTGATAGTCTCTTTTAATATTGCAAAAGACTCGACTACGCAAAGTAAGGAGCAAATTTTTTACAAGGAAGACATTTGGTAAAACTCTTACTTTTTGAGTAATGTAACATGCTGCACGTGCTGGAAACTAGATAATTTCGATTGAATGGTCTTGTGCTCATTCACTTACATTTTTGAGTATAATCACCGTTAGGTTTTGTGTACCGAGCGTAGTAAGAGATTAGGCTGTTAAAACCTGAGGTTAAGTGGGTATTGGTTGTCTTTATCCTACAAAAATTTGATAGGCTAATCTATTGATAAAGTGCTACGTCCAGAGTGCCTCGAAACCGACCGAAGTGAGTGACATTGCGTCTAAAGAATGGAGTCACGTTCAATAACTTTCTGACAGTTTTGCCACGAGAGGGCCTCGTGTCCCTCTAGATCTTCCAACTCATTGAAGAGTGAATCGATAAGGGAACGGCTTAAAAGAAATAAAATCTTTAGCAGTCATATCCCTGCCAGAGGACGCCAACAACCTCGCGAAACACGTCATGAATGACACCAAGCTCTCTGTGTGGCTTAAACCGCTGATCCCCCTTGTTTGTCAGTGGGCACGTGTTAACGCGGCGTGAATCATATAGACTAAATACAAGAGCCGCTGACGAAAATACTTTGATACAAAACAAATTTCAGAATGTGGGCTTTTCAACAATGACTTTTATGGTCAAATATCGTCGTGGTGTTTTTTTTCCACCTACTGATTGTAAGTTTTTTTCCTAAAAAAGGCTAAAAAAAAGGAAGGGGGGGGGGAGGTCACGGGCAAGCTACGCCCTCGAGGTGTGTTTTATGGGTACCCAGTCGCCTCACCAAGTCGTGTTACCCCTTCGCCATTCGCTCTGACGAAGGGGTAACGCTCGAAACGTCAGTTTTGAAACTATTTACGGCGGCCAGTTTACGTTACCAACTCAGTTGATGATACCAAATTACCTCGTTTTATGAATGAAGGACAGCCGACAGGAACACAAGGATTGCTCAAGGTTACAGCGCCGCAAAACTCGGCTGCTGTGACTAATGTAGCGTTATTGTAGCCACTTATTGCATTGGAAAAGATATCAGAGTAAGGTCTTAGTTGTACACTCGAAGGCCGCACGATGTGGTTTCTGAGGCTCACTTCCCTGCTATGACCGTAGATCGCCATGATAAGCTCGCCGCGACGGACCACAGCATGACAGCAGTCGCTCTGACACCATCACGATTTGTACAAGTTTTAAAAGCTATACCAGTTTGGTTATATTTTTCATCATTGCTGTTTTGTTCTGTATTGTGTTCGAACACGAGACTGTATATAGTGTACGAGTGTCAGCTGTGTTTGAGTTTTATCACCGTACGTAAGCTTGGAGTCTAACTAAGCGCGAAAACCCTCAAAACTCTGACAGACATTTAATTTTCTCATCGGTGATTTTCGTCGTCGCTCACGTTATAATAATGTCAAATACGGCGCTTGGCATGTTTACAAACCTTTGCTTGGTTCCGCTGATGCTACAGGCCAGCTTGCTTGCTCCGAAATTTCACTTTCAATGAACGAAGAAAAGCTAGGGAGAAGCCGGTCCGGGAAATGGTCGGACATAGTACAAATTGGCCAATGGCGTGGTAGTTTTTGCTCGGCTCCGTGTTTTTTTACCCTGATAAAACACGCTCTTTCAATATGTTCAACCAAATACAGCTCGCGTTATATTCGAACTTTATTATAAAAGTAGTTCTACGATATCCATTGTGAATGGACTCAGTAATTTTTTTCGTCGTTGTCTTTTTTCTCACATGCGTCCAGGCGACTTAAAACGTTGCTTAATTTTTTCGCATGACTGTAACCATTTTGAGAACCGCGAAAGCCGGCAGCAATTACTGACGATTCTTCTTGTTAGTAGTAGTTATGTAATTACGCTGGTAACTATCATAATGCCTCCACACTCGATTTGATTCGGAAGGTTTACTACCAAAGCTATCGAATAATATGTTTCGAGAAGCATCTTTTTCGCTCCTTTCGTATCCACAAACTCAATGCTTACCTGGCAACCTGCTATTGTCGGTGTTAACGATGTGAACGATGTAACTACAAGGAGCCACTGCCTCTTTGGAAACCGCATCTCCAGCATAAACATTGAGAAATGTCTTAATAATGTACTTTTCCTTTATGCCAACGTTGTTTCTTGGAAGTGCATCCTTCTCGGTAAAATATTAGTATCAGCATTTTTCAGGCTGTCGTTGAAGAACTAGTTGTATCTGTCTTTCTTTGAGATTAGGAATTAGGTCCCCTGTGGCTGTATTCACCCTCGCTTTATCTGTAGTGTCAGGCTGTGGCTATATCTTCTCCTCGTTCCAATTAAACAATTCGCTTGTGCACAGTCGTATTTGCATCACACCTGTTGCATTGGTGATGAACGTCATGTCAGTATTTCCTCAGTGGCAAATCTCCGTCTAATCCCTGATGTCAGCCATCCTGCATGACGCACATGTACGGCTCTGGCGTTAGCAGCTTTTGCTGGAAATACAAGTCTGTACCATTAGTATTAAGCACCTCGTAGCTCAAGCGTAGGGAAAATTCTGATGAAATCCACGTTTCTGCATTAAATGCAGGTATGTTGAGTTTTATAGTGCGCCTGCTGTTTGGTTCACGGTCGTTTCGATACAAAGTCGTTTCGATACAGGTCGTTTCGATACAAGTCGAAGTCGATTCGTTACACATGAAAAGTGGATTCGATACATACTTACGTTACTTCAAGTTGTTTCGATACAGAATACTATACCATACATATATGACCAAACGAACCTTCAAAGACATACTACAGCGAACACAAACCTTTGTTGTAAATAAAACAAACCCATACCTCCTCTAACCTCCACATGGACTCGAGTTTTTCTGGGATGGGTTCAACTCTGGTGCCCTCAGTGCAAGAAAACTACTGAAGGCGTGTTCCTACCTCAACGGCCTAGTAGCTTCATAAAGTGGCTCTTTTAGGAGCCATCACGTCTGCGAAAGTCATGATCAATGTAAACGTATTTGAGTAATTTAAATAAATATTCAATAAAGTTTTCTTTTTTTCGTTCGATTGAGTCGCGGGAAAACTGGGTATTAGAACTACGTCGATCAATCGAGTCGCTTAATTAATCGAGTCAAATTTCAGCTGATATGTTGAACAGAAAACAACAAATCACCATAAGTGTGTTAGTTTTCGTCTTTGATATGTGTACTGAACTTTTCTCGAGTTTACTTCTATATCGAAACGACTTCAGTTTGTATCGAATCGAATTTACATATGTAACGAATCAACTTCGACCTGTATCAAAACGACTTGTATCGAGACGACCGGACATCGATTCGGGGCCTAAAGGAAGCCCGCACCTTTGCCCTAAGCGGCGATAACTTAAGTCTACCGTATGTTTTCTTACCACCACCGCCCTGCTTTGATTTTGTTTAATTTTTCCAGACCAGCGAATTCTTCACTGCTATATGTGCGTAATTCACCACTCTTGACAGCAGGCATTTCGGTGAGTTGACTGGTCAATGATGCATGGCAGTTTAATCAGCTTTCTTGCTAAATGTTTATTGACGGAGCCCTTTCATTTCTTTTGTGAACAGACTACGGTCTTTGTTACAAACAGCTGTGCCCTTTCTCAACAAGGAAGACAACTTGTTACCGTCTCTTTAATGTTCAGATTTTCTATTACCTTTTCGTTCTAGTAATGCTGGTAATGGTTGTATGGCTAACGGTAGCAAAGCAGAAAACTCTGCCTTTATGAGATTATTTTCTCCTAGGTTTGCGTGAGCTTTAAAAGCTGTCAACCATAGCTGTAATGATAACGCACCTGTGTGTAGTGAAGGGTAACCTCCTTCAGCGTTCTTTATATATACAGTTAGTTGAGTGTTTTGACTGTCTGCAGTCAACGAGGGTCGTTAACCGCTTGTCTGTAGTGTTAAGCAGAAGCTTCGTCTTTCGATTGCCCTTGTGAGTAAAAGCTAAACCTCCGGTACCCTACATGACGTAGTTAATTTTCTTGTGCAAATCTGCTGATACGTTGCGGACTCGAGTTATTATGGCAAGCTCCTCTTTACGAGACCGCAACGTGTCTTGAAAGCAAAAGAAAAGCAAGGCGTAGAGGGAGAAGAGAGAAAAATTGTAGAAGCGACTGTGCGCGATAGGAAGGAAGGGTCCTGAGCAGAGCTTCTACAGTATGACGAAACGTAAACGCGTCGGTACCGCTGGTCGTGCGTCAGGGTCAGGCCTGAAGAGTCAAGATAGTGTATCCGAGGGATCAGAAGGGCGCGAAAAGAAACGTCGAAAGCGATCCACATCGCCAAATGACCCAGTAAGCGTTCCTCTTTCTTATTCCCGTACTTGAATTAGATTTAAAAAGAAAGTTTGTCAGGTTTTAGGGGTCCTCGTCGCCAAAATCGGGCCGTTTTAAAGTCTGTTTTGAGAAAACCATGTCATTACTTTTCATTAACTTCTTTTCTTAAGACAGCGCATTTGAAATTGAACGAACAGAGCCTGATTTCAAACACCGTGACAGAAATTATAGAGTGACGAGAGAAATTAATTAAGTCCTGATTTCTGCTCTGTTTTCGAAAGAACCGAGTGGAACCTGGGCGAGAACAATACATTTCCCGGGACTTTTAACCTAATAAACCCATGTTAGGAGAAGAAGAGAAAAGTTTGCAAATAACGATCCACGAAGCAGCTGATTTACAGGCATTTTGAATATTTTTCTAACATCCAAACTGGCTCTATCATATTATAAAACCTGCAGAAATGTGTTGTTAGCTTGTGACAAAAATGTAAATAGGGTATAGCAAAGATAAAAAAAAAATGTTGATTTTAATGCTGGAAGAATAACAGGAGTTTAGTCTTGGAAACATGAGTTGTTATTGTTTCTGTTTTTCTTGTTTAAACATTGCCATTGCAATTAGGTTATTGTGTGCTAGACTTCTAAGGGTGTAGGAAACAGTGACATATACAATGCTTTTCAGGGGGATTTTGGTGAGCAATTCATAGAGTGGTGTATTAAATAATAATAAATTTATTGATTTATAGTGCGCTTTTTAACTGCCGAGTGATCAGAAGTGCATAAATGTTTGGGCAGAAGAATAGGAAAGAAAAAAACTTTTGCCTTGTGGGCTAGCTTTAATTATAGCTCAACATTCTATAAAACTTTTATTAATGGACAGTTACTCCAGTGGTAGAAGTCAAAATGTTGTTGTGAAATGTTGGACATCACATCACAAATGTGTGAACGTTATATCTGATCATTGTGTGAAATTGTCTGGATAAAGTCAAAATTTGGTTGCATAGTGTCTGATGATGACAGTCATTTCCATTCCTAATGCTGGATGAAATTGTTTTCAATTTTCAATATAATTATTAGTGTGGCAGTTGAAAACTTAAAGATTGGGTTCTTTCTGCTGAGGTGCACATCTTTTCTTAAATACTAAAGTCTTTATTAAGGTACAGAAAAGCTGGCCTGAGAATCCAGGTGACAAAGCCAGAGATGTTAGCAATAGGCAATCTTCTTTCCTAGTCATCTTCCATTTACATGGAATATTCTTGACCCATTCTGATTTGTTCTAACTCTCAAAATTAAGGAGAGTGTTCATGCCTGATGCTTGTAGAATGTACTCATAAATAAGTCATTTGGGTAGCCAAGCCTCGGGGATCTGCCATAGATCAAAGCTAGACAATCATTCTTTTCACAAGGTCTGAAATATTAAAACAGAATGTAACTGTGAGATACTGTTGAAAGCTGCATGAAGGATTTTTCCAGTATTTCCATGATATAATTATTTACTTGTGCTTGTGTGTCATTTTTGGTCTGTGGAATGGGCAAGACTCTCTCTTTCCCTGTGTGACAATTTGTGGAAAGGGGTAGACAAGGGTTGAGTTTGAGTACTAGAGGTAGTTTTATGATCCAGAAAGATGAATCACTACATAACATGAAGGGTTTCTAAAAGTTGCTTGTTTGTGTATAGGCTGACATTTGTGCAGAATTATATGAAATCATCAGGAATTTTAGAGATGACAGTGGAAGAATTCTTTGTGAATCCTTCATTCGATCGCCAAAGAGGAGGTTTGTTGGTTTTTTTTCCCCTCACATTGTACATTTTGTGCAGTGATTCATAAAGAAGTAATCATTTTGATGAAAGATAATATTCTGATACTGATGAATTATTTCAAGAGTGCTATTATGATGAAGTTACATGAAGTGATTTTTATAGTGATTGTTATAAGTTATCAGAGATACACTGTAAAACACAGGTACAGCTTGCTACATTGTATATGATGTTATTATCATTAATATTTGTTACTGTGACTGGTTTTGCTTTTTAGGAACATTCCTGAGTACTTTGAAGTTATTTCAACTCCTATTGATTTGTTGAAAATACAGGTAAAGAATTATTTCAACCTACACCTTAATACTTACATGTAATAAAAGTAGGTTCAATCATAGCCTTCATTCCATTGTTTTAAAAGATGAAAGTAAATGTAACTTATGAAAGTCAGTTTCAGATTAAGCCAAGACCAAAACTTGTATGGTCAAGGAAGTTGTTACAATAACAACAAAATTTTATTTAGATTTAATTAGCTGTTTTCTGTTTTCCTGTGTATTGATTATACAAGGATGCATGTATGATTTAGATTTCTAAAGATAACTTCTAGGTCTCCTCTGAGTGCTTGATGTGAACTCTTTCAAGAAACCTTTGGAGAGGGCAACGTTGGAGTCTGTTTAAGGGATTTGTTTTCTCTTTATTAGCAACGTCTGAAAACAGATGAATATGAGGATGTTGATGCTTTTAGTGCTGATATGCAACTGTTATTTGATAATGCCATCAAGTTCTATAAGTCTGATGTTCAGGAACACCAGGATGCTATTAAACTCAGAGAGGCTTTTGATGAGGCAAAGACAAGACTTTGTACTCAATTGGATAAAGGTAGTGTCCTATAGCAGAATGTAAACACAGAACTCCTCTAAAAGAACATTTGTTTACAATAGATATGTTTTGGACTAAGTGTGGCAAGGAGAACCACCAAAGAGATATCAAATATTCCATTCACACCTGGTCTTGCACTTGTTTTTAATATGGATCAGTTTTAATAAATGCAGACATTCAATTTGTTTCTTTACTTAAGCTGCTTACTGAGTCTTGTCAACAATGCACTTACACTATTGTGTTGTATGGAAAGAAGGATATTTTGTAAAGCTCTCTAATATTCCTATTTACAATTACCAGTCTTCCATTTTTCTGTCATTGACCCTGCATCTATTATGTCATACTCTGTACAATTTCAACAATTTTTAAATACTATTTGTAATATTCTGCAAGGGTCATGGAATATATCTCACAAACAGTAATCTTGTGTTTCATTGTTCTAGGGGAAGGAATGTTTGATGATGATATGGTATGTGAGTTTTAGTTGGAACTTCAAGAGATGATTCTTGCCAGGAATATTATGCACGACTGTGTAGACTTTTAGTCGCTGTAATAATATACATGTATACTTTCTCACACCCTTGATCACATAACTTTCCTCAAGGAAATTGTGGAGCCACAATTATAACCAACCCACAGAATATATGAAATTGTGAGCCAGCTTTTATGCCTGCTTACATTTTCCTTATTTTTTGCGTGTGTGAATGTGTGGATGGTATAACTGAATTGCAAACATTGCTGCCCACTGGTTTTCACTTTGTTTTGAATAACTAAATGTAGCCTATATAAAGAATATCTTATTTTTTTGCAAATATTCAGCACTTCAATGGTTTTATGTTAGAAAATAAAACCTTCTTCAATGTTGACAAAGGATAATATATCAAAGAAGGCTCTCTCAGAAAAGCAAATGTTTTTGCAAAGGATACTTCATGTTCAGATGGTTTTCCCGAAAACCCTCAAAATCTGTAAAATCGATTAGAAAACCCCTTTAAATGTAGAGGGAACAATACAAGTTCAGTTTGACTAAAAAATCCCAAATCCACTTTTCTATACATGCGGCAAAACACATTACATCATTAAAATTTAAATCACTTGATTTGACCATTAAGTGCACACCTGTAATTGAACAATAAAAATGAAAAAAGTCCATAATTATGAGTGCCAGGGTGTAAGTACCAACTTACTTCTTTCAAAGTTTTTTATCAATTCCATAAATGCAGAAAAGTTCCCAACAGTTCATGTAGATCTGTTATTAAGTGAGCTATTTGCTATTTTTGTTAGGAAGGAGATGGCAATGATGATGAAGGGGATGATGATGGTGATGAGGAAAGTGAGGATGAGGACAAGACAGACAAGGGCAAGCAGTTGTTTTATAAGGATGGAAATGCATTTGGAAAAAGACAGTCTGGTCTCCCAGCAGGTCAGCAGGCGGGACAGGGTTAGAGTCAGATCTGTTTAACTCCAGCATTAGGAGCTGCTTTTTTGTGTGTGTAGGAGATGGCAATGAGGTTATCCATCTTTGTGAAACAAGTAAAAGAGAACTTTGAGAAGTTAAAGAACCAAGGTTTTTGGTTTAAAATGTTTAAAGAACTTTTTCTGCAAACCTTTTTGTTAGCCGTAAGGTCTTCATTTACTCTTCTTTCATATAGCATTTTTATAATGCTCTTGGACCACTCATAAAAGGGATTCTGACATTTTTCAGTTTTTAAATCATGGCCGTTTGCTCTTTGTAGGTACCTCTTCTTGAATTCAGTGTTGTTAGATTAATTATCATACTGGGTTATTTTCAATTTGGACTTTTTCAGATGAGGATGATAATGAATCGTCATCCACACGAGATGATGATGAAGCAGATTCTGCCTCTAATGTTCTCACTTACTGTGGGGAACTTGTAAGTGCAGTGTTGGAAATGAAAGATAACCATGGAAGAGTTATTTGCCAGCTTTTCAAGAAGATACCACCTGAATCTGTAAGTAGCATGAGCATAACAACTCTAAAGTAAGCACATAAGAGCCATATGTTTTCTGAGTAAACATGCATGATATAATTTGTATGTGCATTATGGGAAGATGTCTAAGTTTTGCAAAAAAGTTTATGATAATGTTTAAAAAAATTGGGTAATGTGAATCATATTTGAAAACCATTTGTAAACAACTCTAATGTCATGTCCTACAAGATTCCTTAATGTTTACAGTTTAGGAAAGGTTTCACTTTAAAATGGTTTCATGAACACATTTATTTATGAACTCTAATTGGTTGTTGTGTTGCTTCATTAATACTTCATTTATCTTTCCATGGTATACTTGAAAAAGAAGTGGATGAATTATTTTTACATGTTGGGCTGAATCATACATGCACTTTGATTGGTTCACAATTATGATCTGATACAGACGCATAGATGACATCCCCCCCACTGACAACATTTTGTTTCTTTGTTACATGAAACAAATAGATTCCATTTTGTTGTTGTATCAGAGATCACCAAAGACATAAAAAAGTTGCAAGAACATCTGTGACACTTTTTAGTTCTTATCATATTTTGATGTCATCTGTGATCTATTTTCAAACAGGCACAGTGAAAAATGGAACCTATTTGTTCATTGTTTGAATAATTTAGAATTTTGCCCACTTCTGAATCCAGAACTTTCAACTTAGCAGATATTCAAAATTATGAAGAAGCTAAGTAGAGTTTTGAAAAGTTCCATTTGGGTGCAAAGAAGCTAGTAATGTTGCCCTAAGCTATAATTTTAATATAGTGCTACAAGTCTAATGTGTACCCTTGTATAATTTATTTCAATACACATGTAGTACTATACTAAAAATATAAGTAGCTTGCTCTGGTGAAATTTGACTATTGATTGGTGGTAACTTTTATTAGTGTGTTGTAAGTATGGTATTGCCCTCTGCCTTTTTCCAATTTTAGTTTATTAATTTTAGTGATTGTTACTTGTATTTCATCAAGTGAGGTATTCATATCAGGATAGCAGTATCTCTAATAATCCCAATTCTTCCCAACAGCTTTATCCAGAATACTATGAGATCATCAAAGAACCCATAGACTTGAAAACAATTTGCACTAAACTGAGAGTAAGTGTGTAGAGAAAAGTATGAAGAATACAATAATACGAACATCCTGATGTAATATGACTTGTTTGGTGTTTTCATTTTTCCTCATGTTCCCCTCAAAATTTGTTAGTTTGGATTAAAATATGTTCAGTGATTGAAGGAATATGCACTTGATATGTTATGAAAAGAACACATGGAAAAGGATATCATAGGCTGCAGGCTGTGACATGAGTGTTGTTCATCAGGATGGGCAAGCCTAAAAGCCAGACAATGCTACTGGTGGCTCAAAGATTTTGCTTAAAGTGAGACTCTCCTGGTGCTGTGTAGGAATGGTAATAGATGAAAAAAAAATAGGTTTGAAATCCAATAAATTTCATTTGATGAGACTAAAAAGTATCAGATGAATCATGCTAAAATTGTGAAATCAAACTGAAACACATCTATCAAGTTGTAGTTATTCTGTTTTCTTTCAAAACTGTATCAATGTTCAAATTGTTAACATTGGAGTCATGGCTGCCATTTTTGGGAGCCTTTTGTTTTATTTGTTTCTGTAAGTTTTCCTTGCATGAGCATACTCACTTTTTTGATTAACCCTTGAACTCTCAAGATCTGATTGCTATTTCCCCCTTTGGTTGCTTCACATTTCCTTGTTAATTAGTTACATGTATGAGAATTTGATGTTAGATCAAGATAACAACTTCTACCAGATAAGTTTGAGTATTGGCATTATTTGTGTGCTGGATGATGTGTAGAGATTAAATGGAGAATTTACTTGTTAATCACTTCCAGCAGTCAAAGGTTTAAGGACTTAAAGTTTTGAACTTAATTATTGACCCCTTGTTGTTCCACCAGAATAACCAATATGTGAACCTTGAGGATGCTGAGAAAGATCTGTTGTTGATGGTCAAGAATGCCCATGCCTTCAATGAGCCAGGCTCTCAAGTATATAAGGTTTGCCTACCTTTAGTTAGTTATTTTATAAGCCACATATCAAACTAGGAAAAGTACTCTTCAAAGGCATAATTATCAGATGCAAAACATCAGTGATTTTGGTCCTAATTGGGACATAATGATACATTTAAGACAAGTGCGGGCTTGTCAACTAAAAAAAAGACTATTATAAAAAATTTTCTTCACAGATGTATTGTTATAAGTCAGAGAAAGAAAGTCACAATTTATTAAACAACACGATTTCTTTCCTCATTTCTGCTTTGGGAAAGCTTGCAATATGAGTCATTTCTTTGGTGAATGTGTTGTCATGTTCAGAGCTTAAAAAGCAAATCTGTTTTGATGCAGGATGCCACTGCAATTAAGAAAGCAATACAGACAAAGAAGGCAGAAATTGATCACACACTGATGGGCGCCAAGTCAAGCAAGAGATTAAAGTAATCTTAACTAGTTACTTATTAATTAGGATTAGTTTTATGTCAATCATTGTTCCCTGTCATCTTGTAGACAAAAATAATTCATTTCAATAATGTTATTTTAATTTGGATGAACTGGATTGATCTATCTTCCTTATTTTGCTGTTCTGAGCTTTTGGAGACAATGAATTTTGACTCTGCTTAATGAAGTTAAACAGTACAAGCTAAATCCCTCTGATGTAGATAACTGAATATAAATCGAAGTGCTTTTGTTAAACTGGAGAGAGCCAGTGAATTACCTAGGGGAGAGAAACAGAAGCCTCTTTGCAATTTTTTTTTTGTAACAAGAGTGTGAATGAGAAGCAGGGCAGTACTGGCTCAAAGGAGCAGAATGGGGGCAGGGAAGGGGTTGTGGAAAAACAAAGAGTTTCCTACAAATTCAAGCCAAAAGATTCATTTTATGCATAGGAGATCCATGGTTTCCTTAAATCTCTGTTGTCATGACTTAGTGTGAGTTGATTGAAATATAGTACTGAACTTATTGATCATTGTGCAATAATTAGAGCACGGAGGAGCACTGGTAAAATAAACACTTCAGTAGTAGCATTCCTTGAGGAGACAGAAGATGGTTTGGAAGAAAGGGCTGAAGTGCCTGAGGAAGAAGAACACCACACAGAAGACAGTTTACATGGTTAGTTAACATTCATTTTGTGTGGAAGAAATCCCACCTAAGCTGTCCTCAACTTCAATTTTGACAAACTTATGGCCCACACTCTGGAAATGCAAAGATTATACATGATTCATTGTTGCATTAAAATTCACAAGGCAAGCAGGTGGACAATCAGACATGATTTGATTCTTCTCTGGCTTAAAGATTTAATGAATATAACCAAGAAGTTACAATTCATAGACCAAACATTTCAATGCCCCTGTCTGGTGCCTTCATTAAGGGTGATCTAATTGCTGTAACAAGAGGTCCTTGTATATTATGCTCATTAATTAGTCTGAAGAAAGGGCAGTTAATCAGTGAGCATATCAAAGGACCTCTTGTAGCAGCAATTAGATCACCCCTAATGAAGGCATTAAACAGGAGTGTCAAATAATGGGTCTATGAATTGTAACTTCACTGTCACATTCATTAAATCTTTAAACCAGTGTAGCATCAAACCATGTCTGATTCATTGTTGTTTGAAAATTAATTTTGAGGTGATGATCACTATTCATTAATTTGTCAGAGGTACAGAATTTGTAGTTTGGGATTATATATTTAAGTGCTATTTTTTTCTTTTGCCAGGTGATGAAGATGGTAGTGGAGATCAAGACTCAGACAACCCACTTATGATGCTTTTTTCTGAGGTTTATCGTTTCACTGACCCAACTGGCCGTACTCTCTCAGAGCCTTTCCTCAGGCTGCCATCCAGAAGGTTTGTGTTTCTTATTGTTTGATTATTTTTTGATGACTGTTATTTTAATTAACAGGTTTTAAAATTCATGTCACTTTGTGAAAATATGAAACAATTTCATTTTGTAACTTTTTCATTTACCACAGAGCTTACCCTGATTATTATGAAGTAATCACACAGCCTATTGCTTTGTCAAAGATCAGATCTCAAATAAAGGTGAGGTACTAAGGAAACAATTTGGTCTTAAATTTTTCTCAAGTAGAAAATAATGGATGACTATGTTAGTAATTTTTCTAAAAGTGTATGTTTTGCCATTATAAATAAATTGCTTTTGGTTGATTCACTTGTAGACTGGTCAATATGAAAACATGGAGGACTTGGAAAAAGACATGGACTTGTGTTTTCAGAATGCACAAACATACAATGAGTCCAGTTCAATGCTTTATAAGGTACATACTTTATAGATTGAAATAATGTGCCTATGTAAAAAAACTTAATGGGAACTTCTTGAAAGGATTTCATCCCTTTTCAATGGAGAAAATGTTGTATTTATGTGTTACTTTGTCATATCAGTCTGACCTCTTCATTCAAGGATTTCCAATTAAAAAGTTTGAATCTAAACCAAGTTATAATTGAGGAGCTATGTCCATTACTAGTTATGTGTTAGTAAGAGTGAAATTGCTTTCAATTGGAAACCATTCAAATACTCTTGTAACAGGATGCTCAAAGGATGCAAGAACACATGAAAAAGAAGAAGGTTGAGATTTTGAAATTTATGGAAGAGAAGGGAATCAGTTTGGAAGATTACAAGGTAATTACATCAGATTTATGATATTATGATGATTTATCTTTTTTTTTACTGTTTGACGCATACATTAATCAACTGAGTTCTCCTTGAGTAGGAGCACTGCTAAATTTGACTGTCAGTTGTTTGCTCCACTGAAACTGCAACAGAAAATGTTGTTCTGATGCATGTCAAGGTAGTTACTCCCAGACAAGGTTATTGTAGGAAAGAAACTTGTTATGGAGTTTGTGTGAACTCAAGTTGATGAAATCATTGGGGCACACCCAATTAAACATTTACTGTCATTGTTAACCTGCACTGGCCATCTTAAGTTAAATATTAAAGAAGTTTGTATTTAAGCATTAAATCACAGGGTTCTTGTCATTAACAACTTTACAACTCTAGGTGGGATGTCAAGAAAAGAGGGTAAAACCTTATTACAATGTTCTTTAGTTGTCTCTAACATACCAAGTGTGGAAGATGCTTCCACAGTAAATGTTATACTTTTTTCTTTCTTTTTAGTTTTACCTCTTTTTGCTTGACTTTAAATGGTAAATACAAATAAAGCCAGAGGTCAGTACATGTGTTTTTATCTCAAAACTTTTTCGCTATGTCCAGAAAAAGAAGAAGGCCAAGAAATTGGAACCTGAGTTAGCAACAATAGCAACAACAACAACAGCGACAGTGACAGCAACACCAGCAAAAGAGGTTACTGCTGGAGTAGTGATTGAGAGGAAACCAAAGACAGAGATTAGAAAACCCAAGAAAACCAAACGTGTTGAAGAGGTTGACCCTATTTTGTTGAGAAAAAGAATGCGTCAGCTATACAAGGCTGTGGTGAATTACCAGGTTAGTGTCAGATGTCAGAGAGTGAAGGTTCCAATGACTGATGGCACAGGCATGGGAAACATTTGAACAAGTACCAGTAATTTGATTTTTTTAAAATAGATTGTGTATAATTTCTGCAAATTTGGTTTTTGGTTTTGGCTAGTCATGGTGGTCAATGTGCGAGTAATGACAGAAGTATTTAAGTAATATTTAATTGATAATGTCTTGCTTGCCAGCTTGCTTTCCAGTTAGTGAAGATGTGTGTCTCTCTTTGGATTCCCCTTTAGGATGAGAATGGAAGATACCTTTCAGCAATATTTGTGGAACTTCCTTCAGCACAGGTCTGACATTATCAAAATACATCTTTTAAGCATTTTGATTCTGTGGCATCCATTTCCATTTTATGTCTAACACACAATGCAGGCTTTTGCTATTAGCTAAAATAATTTGAATCACCAGGATTATCCAGACTACTATCAAGTCATATCTGAACCAGTGTGCTTGAGCCAGATTGAGAACAACATCAGAGACAGCAAAGTGAGTGTGGAGTTTTTCATCATGCGCTTGTCTTGTCATCTACCTTGAACCTAAGTTTGATATACAGACTTTGCAACATCTTAGATTTTTTTTGCAACAAATAAATGAAAGAATGTTAGTGATGGAATAAGTTCTCAACAAGAATGTAAAGCCATTGCATTCCATAGGTTTGACATTATCATCTGAAGATACGTTTGTTAAATATTGTGATTCTGGGGCATCCATTTTCACTTGAGGTTTAACACCGTTAGCATTCCTGAGTCATACATGTCCTGTCTTGCTTCTCTTGTATGTGAATGTCAGTTTGAAATGTCACTATAAAACTTTGTGTATATGTGCATGTAGACATTAACACAAAAATGAATTAGATTTCTGATTTACATGGGTTATTTACCTTGGAATTGACTCAATATATATAATCATCATTAAAATTGTTGATGCTGATTAATATTCTTTGTGCCAACTGTGTTACTCTAGTATTCTGGGGAAGAAGAACTGATGCTTGACTTTGAAGTTATGTTTGACAATGCACGTTATTACAATGAGGAGGATTCCCAAGTGTATCAGGTACACATGTGTCTTTCATAAGACATTTATGATCTTTTAAAGTTTTAAGATGAGGGAGAGGAGATGCAAAATTAATGAAGTTTAACCATTATCATTATTGTTTATCACTCTTTCATTGTAGAATAATAAGCTAAACATTGCTCTTTAATCACTTTGTAAATTGCATTATAACAGTTTAAACATTTCTATGGGACCACTGAAGAGCTCAAGAGATTTAACCTAAAAAAGACCAGGTGTGAAATTGAAAATTGACGAGGAAGGCTTCCACTATTTCTTTTACCAGATTCCCTTATATCTTTTAACATGTAGAACCAGTACTGGAAATCAAAGGGCTTGGAGATCAGAATAACAATTTCTAGTCCTGGATTCTATAACCTCCACACTTAAATTATAAATCCTTATGTTTGTTCTAAAAACTGTTAGTGAAAATGTGGCTGCATTTCAGCAGACAAGCAGCACATCTAAGATTTCTTTTTCTCAAACTCTTATGGAAACCCTGACCTGTTGAACAGACAGAGACCAGAAGGAACATTGAAGCTCTTATCAAATTTTTAAAAAACAAACAAGAAAACAAACAAGATGATCAACTTCTGGACTATTGGTCTGTGATGGGTTGACTGTGAGGTTTAACATGGTTATTTTGATTTTGACATTTTGATTTTTTTATGTTGTTTTTTGAAAGGATGCCTGCACTTTAGAAAAAGTGCTTAGAAAAAAGAAGAAATCACTTGGTCCCCTTCAGCAAGGTAAATTGTTTGGTTTTTATAGACTTTTTTTCAGTAAAGCACTTCGATGATGATGATAATGATGTTTTTTTAACAACTGCTCCTGTATCCATGAGATGTACTGATGCTATGATTGTCTTTAAGCATCACAATATAATGTGCTACATTTTGGGTGCAAAGTATTTCACTCTCATTTGTAGCCTTATATGATACAAACTACATTTTACCTTTTTCAACCAATGCTTATTATTCCAATTGCACCCACACTATCCTTTAAAAGATGTGGGTGAAGACTCTTAGATCCCTGGTTGGAATTCACCCTGGTGGTAGCATTTGTACTTTTGTTGCTAATGAATTGTGCCTGGGAAGCTTGATAGTAACCTCAATTTATGTGGGCAATTCTGTAATTTTAAATGCCATGTACCAATGGTTAACCCTAATGAAAATCACATCAAATCATTTTGCTATCCTCTAAAATGATTGATGTTAGCATGATTGTGTTGTAACCCTCAGCTTTTCCTTATTGATGCCTTTTCAAATACCCATTTGACTTTCTCTTGATATGAAAGCTCCTTCTCAAGCTGCTGAACCACATGCTGGGACATCTCAAGCAACACCAGTTAAGCAGGCAACACCCACCAAGTCTGGGAGAATATCGTAAGTTAAGAAATCAATCTTTTCTGAGAAGCTTATTAATTGATAGCCTTTATTTTATTAATTAAGTTAAAGTGGTGGATGTAAAATTCCCCTTTACCTTGCAGGACATTTCAACCCTTCCCTTTTAGCTTCTACAGTTTCCACCTTGTTCTATGGTTTCCAGCCTGCCTGTTGTCTTTTTTTCCCACCTTTTGGGCCTCTAGATACTATTTTGACTTCCTCCTCTTGTTAACTCTTATGTAAGATGTGTAAAGTCATTTGTATTCTGTGTTGTGTCTTATGAAGTTTTGTCCATTTTATACTAGAGAAAAAGTTTATTTCTAATTCATGTGTAAATTATGATCTTGATCCTCCTTTGTTTACTCCAAGATACAGGGGATTACCTTCGGTGTATTCCTGTCATGACTTGTAAAAGACTGTTTTACAATGTAATTTGTTTTTATTAGCTGAATTGATAAAATAAATGCAAATTGGCTACTGCAAAAGAGTTTTTGAAGGTGACATTCCAAGTGTTAATCCTTTTCCATTCACTCTGAGAATGGGCTTATGCTCAAAATGTTCATATTAAGAAACTCTTCTCAGGGACCAAGTTACATTATCAAATCAGTTGATAAAACCAAAACTTAATTATCTTGTTATACCCCCACTAATGCAGCACCACAGTTTCTTTGAACCCTTTATTCTTTTGTTGTTTACAAGTACCTGTTATGGTTACCTCAGTGGAAGGGATAGTTTACCATTGGCAAAATAAGAAATTTCCTTTTATAATACCAACATTAGAAAATGATTGTTTTGACTGAAATATATATTTTTTTGGTGTTTCTACAGATCTTCACCTGGTGCAGCCAAAAAGTACAGTCAGGTGCCTTCTGCTACCAATGAATTGAAGGAATTGTGTCGGGAATTGTTTAATGCTGTTAAAGACTGCACTGTAAGAACTTAAGAATTTGGAGAGTTTATTGAGTACATTGATCAGTTTATTAATGAGACTTTGACTGTTACTTTTAGGTAGTTGATATGGTGTTTATTAAGTGTTATTAAGATGTTATCATTAAGATGATAACATCTTTTCAAGTCCTGTAGCTGTTTCTGCACAAAACTTTTCATTTCTACTTTTTTAAAGCTTTTTACATAAGATAAAAAGCTCAAGAGGGATTAGTGTTCTTCAAATCATCAGCATTTTTAAAACTCATCCAGAAGTGTTAAGTAATCATCATCAAAGCTGAGTATTTATTTCAATAAAACCATAGAAGGTATAGCTGATCAGGAAGGCTGTGGTAATGTGCAGGCATGTTGAAAAAGTTTCCTCCAATAGTTGCTAATGTTAAAAATCACTTTCCAACCAGTGACTGGAACCTGCAAGGACTCTGAAAGAGAAAGAGGGGACTGTGTCAACCCATAACTGTGTCTGCACTTTCTAGGGAAAGCTGAATTTGAAAAGGACAGCTTTATTATCATTATTATCAATATTATTATTATTATCATCATTATTATTATTATTATTATTATTGGCCTGATTCTAAAATGGAATGAAAATGTTTGCTTGGGGACTCGCTGGCTTTCACTCTTGCGATTATGACATTTCATGGGTTGAAGATTCATGACAGAATATTTTGCACAATGTGGTAAAGGCTCATATTTTTGCTTTACTGTATACAGGACAGGCATGGAAGACAACTTTGTCTCATCTTTCAAAAGTTGCCATCAAGAACAGTAAGTGCATTTTTTTGGTATTTCTTGTTGCATATTCAAAATTGATGATAGCAACTAGTGAATCTGCAAGAACTTATGACTAGTAACTGTTAAAGTTAGGGAAGATTACTTGGCCACATAAACATTTTGTTGGTTTTATCTAAAAAATTAGTAATATTCTGTGATGTAAAGAAACAAATTGTTGCAGTTTAGGATGACTGAAACTTGTGCTGGGAACTTGTGTCTGTGAATTCTGTTCATGCATTATGATAATAAACAGGACCTCTAAATATATTTTTATTTTATATTTTTACTTAAATATTTGAGTGATACCATTGTTTAAAGTTAAGCAAAATTTAACCAAATTGTTGATAGTCCTTAACATAAGATACCTATTGCATAAAAGCAATGACACAATAACACCACTTGAAGTCATGGATTTTGTGAATAAAGGAAAATTCACAAAAACTGCAAAAATTAAAACCTACACAATTCTTATGCCACATATTATGGTATATGAGTGATAAACTAAATTTGGGAAAATTTTTGTGCAGTATAACTTCTTCATGAGCTAACCATCAATATTCCACCCTCTTTCCAAGACCAAAGAATAGATATTAGCTTAGAAGTAATCAAACTGATGAGATGTTTATGTGTTATGGTACTGATGAAAGTAGTGGACTAAGTATACCTGAGTACCCTTGATGACCTTTTTTTTTTTTTAATATTTCCAAGATTTTGGAATATATACTATGAGAGTCATGGCTATAACTGATTTAAAAATAAGTCTGAGGTAAAGTTTGAAGTTCCATTCCAGTCTGCTTTGGTTTTTATTTTGACAGGAATATCCAGACTACTACACATTGATAAAAAAGCCAATAGACATGGCTAAGATCAACTCCAAACTTTATGGGGATCAATATCATACTCTGGATGACTTCCTATCAGATTTTCAGCTTATGTTTGACAATGCTTGTCGCTACAATGAACCTGACTCTCAGGTCTACAAGGTAGGTAGTTCACTCAAATAAGTTTTGTACTACACTCATTGTAAGATTTCACGAGTTTTCAGTTCAAAATAAAATGCTTTAATCTCTTTTTGGTCAAGATATCAAAAATGATGTTGATCTGAATTGTTTTTTGGCTTCAGATTTAATTATGAATACTAGAAAGTTGAGGCTGACAAAAGTTCAATACCTTAAAAGTGCAACAGATAGTTCTGAACTCAACACTTATTTAGAGGGTTAAAAACTGTCAGAAATTATTACTCAAGCTTGTGTCAAATAATATGCCTTACAATCTAATTTAAAGCCCTATGACATGATTAATGTTGAATTTTCTGAAAATAAGTGCATGATTATGAAGGAATTAAAATTCACCATTTTGTATGAGAATTTGAGGGAAACAAACTAATCTTTTATTGTCCCTCACAAGGACGCTTTGAGCCTTGCCCGAGAATTGTTGAGAAAGAAAGTGGAATTAGTTGGTAAGTGTGTATCAGAACATAGTTTTTCACAAAATGTGTAGCATTGGTGGGACAAATGAACTGTTAGTAATTTTCTTATTCATGAAAGTTAATACATAATGTTAAGGTTCTCTCATGGAGGATGTGAACAATGAGGAAGATTTTTAAATGGCCTTGATGCAAATATGCAAAAAAGGGCAAAAATACATCACACAGAAATGAAAAAAGGTTACTTTTTTTCACACAAGCTTGGAACAAAGAAAATAATCCTGCTGAGAATGAGAACCCCAGTCCTTGTGTTGTGCAAAGGTTTATATAGCTTTTAATCTGAAATTAATTTTGATATGACTGATTTTGACATTCATTTTATGGCAGATACTGTAACATGAGACTCTTACTCTAAAGTTCAGTGAATCTAAAGACAATATTCTTCTTTTTTTGTAGAAATTAAAGGCATTTTTTGATTTCTAATATTTACTCTACTTGTATGTCTAGGGGATGAGAGTAAAGTACCTAACATGCAAGATGTTGTTCGCAAACTTTTGAATGCTTTGCATCAAGCTGTGATGACTCATGTGGTAAGATTGTCTTCTTTAATCTTTGTGTACCACTCAGCTCCCCATTCCATATTTGCATGCTTCTACAGACATTTTAAGTTTTGTTAAAGAATTTTTTGCAGTTTTGACGGTTTCTGTACAAATTTGTATATTTGCTTTCAGGATGACGAAGGACGCTGTTTTAGCGATTCTCTGGCAGACTTTTCTATACTTCAACAAGATAAGTAAGTTGATTGGTAGTCCTTCGGCAACTCAACAGTTGCTGATGAACAGATCGTTTATTCATTTTGATGAATCAAGTTGTTTGTTTTGGCTCTAACTGGTGTATGTACAATGTTTGCCTAACTTGATATGGAAATACAAGCAAGTCTATGTTACATCATAGACCTAGTTTTTTTGGGGGGACATATGGTTTTACCCTGTGTAAAACTTGTGAGACAGGATTGCTTGTAGAATTTACTAGAAAACTATTAAATGACAGAAAATGGTTAGTCTCATTGTTGCAATTGATGTTATCTCAATCCTATCGCAGAAGACGTTTATCCCTGTCAAGCATTGGAGAAGCCCTCAGAAAGGTATTACAAGTATTTATTTTCAGGGGAAGTGCTCTATAATATCTAGATTTAGCCTAGCCTAAAAGCGGAGCTCGTATTTTTTTCCCCGCACGTCTTAAGGGCACAACGCCTTGCCCTGGTCAGGACTAGAACCCGGGTCGTCCGACTCGGAGCTCAGTGCACTGACCACTAGACTACTGGACAAAGCCGTGGCGTTGGTGTGTCCGCGGTACAGTTGACCACGCATGTTAAAAGTAGCATCTTGTACGGTCGGTCGTACGGTCGTACGGTCGTACGGTCGTAAGTCCAAATTTTTTCGGCTTGATGGGTTACTACTATTTTGTATAATTATGGGGCTACGCTCTGCGAGCTCCGCTATTATTTTACACTTGAGTTCGTGTTCATGTTGAAGAAATCTATCAAGTTCATAGGGTTAACTGATGTGCTGTTCAACAGGAGCAGTACCAAATATTTTAACATCATTTTTTACCATTGCTGCTGATTACATCTTCATTGGTTCAAACATACTTTAACCCTTTACACTCTAACATCAGTATTCATATTCTCCCTACTGTTCTCTGTACATTTACTAAGGTGCTGACAAGGAGAATTTGTCTAACAATCAAGAGTTTCCTTAGTTGGTGATCATTTCCTTTATTCTCATGACATTATTATCTGATTCAGTGGTGATATTGTAGGAGAAATTAGATGTTAGTCACTCTTAGGGGTTAAAGGGTTATTGATGTTGAAATGTTCTCTTTGTCTTAGGGACAGTACCACAGATTGGACAGATATCAAGAGGATGTTTTTGCAATCTTGGAAAAGGCTAGGGAGGTGTTTCGTTCAGATACTGAGGTGCTGTATTTTAACTCCTATTTTTGTGTGTAGAATTACGTTTTCACAAATTTTCTGAAGTATTGTAATCAGATGGTGTAATCACACAGAATGGTGTTATCACACACCTGTTATTGGACAGTTACCCATCAAAACGCAACTGTGATCAAACAGTTCCAGTCATGCTAGTCATGCTGAATACACAGTATCGAATCCACCAATTACAGAATTGACCTACATTAACCATATCAAAGACGAACCTAGGGCAGCTTTTAAAACAATCACATAAGGGTAATGTAGAAGAAACTGAGTGGAGCGTACTTAGTTTTTGTTTGAAATATTTTGACTGTAATCGCTCAGCCTTCACTAGTCTGTTAGAGTGGGTTGTTGCACAGCATAAAACTGTATAACCACCTGCTCAAGATGGCCCTCCAGCGACAGTGTGAAATAAAAATTTTTGCTTCATAAATATATATGTATACATCCATTTTCAAAAACGTTGCAATTTGAAAAATATGTGAAATATAGACACCTTTTGTTTTCTCTTTTTGATGAGAAAACAAAAGGTTTATATATTCATGTATAATTTATATTCAAATTGCAACGTTTTTGAAAATGGGTGTGTATATAAATATATATATATATATATATAGTTCTGTTGTGATAACTCATATCAATCGTGATTTTGTTTTTTCTAGATGTATGATGATGCAGTAGAACTACAGCAGTTTTTTGTGACTCAGAGAGATAGGCTGTGTAAAGATGGAGAGAGGTTTGTTTCCCCAGCCCTTGTCTTTATTAAAAGGCACCTACTCCAAGATCTGGACGAGGAGAGAAAATCAAAAGCTGACGCGGAAGGCAAAGAAGATGAAAAGCAAAGAGAGCTTGAAAAAGGAGAAGGGAAACAAAAGTCTCAAGTAAGTACGAGATACTTAGGATTAGGGTTACTTACCCAAAGGAAACAATTCTATTGATAGGAACTCAAATAACCGTAACCAGATTTTATTACTGGCACTATTTAAAATGACGTGAGGATTGTTTCTCTGTCAGTCATCAAGACGAACTCGCTAGACTGCCCTTCAAGTCATTTGGGTATTTATAGCTTAGAGCGACTTGGAGTGTTGCTACTCCAAATGGATGGAGTGTTACTCCTTCCCACGTTGCACCAGCAGTAAGTCAAGTTTCCCTGAAAATTTGCTGGTACCTTTTCATACTTTGTGCAGAAGATAGCTCCAAATCCTGGCAATTAGGCTTCTATGTCTCTCATTATGTTAATGTATTTTATTCAAATACTCTCACTCAAATGTGAAAAAATACGAGCGAAAAAGTGTTTAACCCTTTACACCCTAACATTAGCATTCATTTGCTCCTCACAGAGAATTTCCTCAAAGGAGGAATTAATTGCATCGGATAATAATTCTCCTTTATTTTCCCAACTTTTTTATTTCAGAAAATTGGAATTACAAGCCTTTCCTAGAGAGCTGCGTTTGTCTTATAGGAAATTGTAATGATTATATTAAGTTGGCAATAGGATATGGTGCCCTCCTATTCTGTTTTTGATCCTACCCATGATAAAAAGAAATGACTCCGGCGTCGCGTTCGTCTGATTTGTACAGTCACTAGTATGACTGCTCACTTCGTTAAACTTTCTTCAATCCTATCATCACAAGATATAAGATGTCTAATGACAACTGATGACACACAAGTCTTCTTTGTATTGAATAAAAATCGCCTCTTTCTACAGGTTCCAGTAAGCGATGAAGCATGTGAACAGGAGATGTCCTACAAAGACATAAAAATTCGTGTTGGAGACTTTGTATTCCTTGAACCAAGGTGAATTACCTGCCAGATATGAACTCCAAAAAAAGAACGAAATTCCCTAACTTGATCGTTTACCACCTTGCTGATTTGAGCACCATTAGGACAGTTTACGCGTCATGCTTGCAAATTGTACATGGACGTGGTACATGCCTTAGGACAATTTGTGCGATGTGCTTAATGTGAATTATCGAACGATAGGCATTCATTTCCCTTGGAGAAAAGGTAGCTGTTATGCTTTCATTACAGCAGTTTATACAACAGAATTGTGTAAATCAGAAGGAACGGGTAATTTCAATGTTTTCCTTTCACTTTTCAGGGAAGAAGACCTTCAGCCACATATTGTGTCTGTTGAAAAGCTTTACAAAGATAGTTATGGAGAACAGGTGAGAAAGCGCTGCCGCAGTTTTTTCTAGTAAACTAACAGCACCAATGGTAAATCACGTAATTTTCGGAAGGTTATATCACTTTTTGGAATCTAAAACTGCGTTAAGTGGTTCATTTTGGTATATCTTCATTTTTATGGAATAAATAAAAATTATATGGTTTGTTGAGCAAGCTCCCCCTCAAAACATTGCTTTGGTGGGCGTTTCCCCCAGAGTAATGTTAAAGTGGGCCAAAGGTTCGGGTGTTCTAGTGACCGCATCTTGTACAAGCAGGAGACACAACGATATTTTCCTTAGTAAGCAGTGTCCATGGAGAGAAAGCTAACAGACTTGAAAAGTTCCGCGGAGGCGAGAAAAGAGGATCATTAAGTAACTTGGGCAACCTTACCGTTTGTCCGCACACAGCCATTCCAACATGCAAATTAAAAACAGCACGTCCTGCCTTTAATCTTGTATGTGTGCGGAATCATAGAGTTAAAAATCAGTGGTTGCAGACAGTGGCCTTCATGGACCTCTGATGGTTTGTTCCTTATCCTTGTGAAAAGCGAAGTTTAGGTCTATTATAATTTGAAAATTAATCACTTTCTTTCCACAAGTGGCTGTATGGAAGTTGGTTTTATCGACCTGAGGAAACGTTTCACGCAGCTACGAGGAAATTCTTAGAAAAGGTAATTTACACAGTCCTGTGAATGTAGTTTCTATTGGTACATGTTGTTCACCTTTGTACCTTTACTTTTTAACTAAGTACAAAGAACGTGTATCGGTGAATTCAACACTTCCTAATTGTATTAATCAAAGGTTTGATTAGTTAAACCTGGATTACTGCATTAGTAAAAGAAAACCTTCCGTGTTAACAAGTGGGAAGATGGTCTACAGGGCTGCACTATTCGCAGCATGCAATGGCAGAAAACTGTCTCTGATTACGGCAAAACCCTGAAGTGCAAACTTGTCCCTTGCAGGAAGTTTTCAAAAGTGATTACAGTGAATGCTCAAACTTGAAGCAAGTTCTGGGAAAATGTTATGTCATGTTCGTTAAGGACTTCTTCAAGCAGAAGCCTGAGGTAAGGTATTTTATTACGTGCCATGATGGTGTAACGCCCTTGTACAGGAACTATCTCCTTCATCTTCCTCAAATGCTCTTCAATTGTATTTTGGAGACTTGCACTGTAGCAGTGCTTGTATGTTTCTTTCTAGTATAATCGAGCAACAGATCGAACTTTCTTCTGGTTAACCGCCTTATTGACGTTCTTGAGATGCTGAGAGAAAAAGGAATTTAGTTAGATCGAAAGATGATTTTCCGCCTTTTCACGAACTTGGTTAATGGAAGAAATTAATAAATTTGAGGATACGAGCTGAAAACAGGCATCTATTGCTATATTTTGGCGTCCTGTTGTTGGTAAATTTGGATCCTCATTATTATTCCGACTGGTGCATGTTATTCCTCATTGGTTTTGTTGGAGACCAGCTGTAATTCATTTGGTTTGTTGATAAGCATGTTTTAAGAAATTTTGATTCCGCTGTCGCTACTAGTATTATTAGCATGAATTTTTTTTATTAGCATTTTTTTCTCACATAGCATTATGTAGACGGCACCGTGCCATTTGGCCACTTCAATTGGGTCTGCAGGTTTCGCTAAGGGACTGGTCATTACTCATCACCTATTTGTGTTGCGATAGAATTTACCCGATCCCTCTATAAGGTTCTCTAATATTCTTATGATCCCCCTCTCATAGGCAGTCAATTTTCTGATGTCCCCTCTTTAACACTGTTGGCAACGACTGATCCCCTTCCATTCCCCTGAAAACCATGTGATTCCTCGGCCCCTCCCCCGTGGGGGTAAGTAGTGGGTGGCCCCTAAGTGTAAAATTACCATTGTATCTGATTTGAAAACATTTACCAAGCCTTGCTCTCTTCTTCTTGGAAGAACCTGTGATACACCTTTATCACAATCTCCTGAACTCTTTTGCAGAATTTCAAGGATGAGGATGTTTTTGTTTGTGAATCAAGATACAATGTCAAGACGAAGTCGTTTAAAAAGATAAAGGTACATTTCCTTGGTAGAAAGAGGCTTTACTTGTTGTTTTGAATTTGATAGACTGTGACTGAGTATATATTTATTGTAGTGAAAATCTACAAATAAGCTCTGGAGCTCATTTTAAAACTTTTGCCAGGCCGACTTTGTTTCGTGCGCATCGTAGTTATTCCAATACAGTCACGCCTGTTCAAGTAATGACTGAGTCAACTGTCGTCATAACACTGCACAACACATACTGCAATAGGCGTAACACTATGCACTGATTTCCGGTTAATACACATCACTTCCTCTGAAAACGTGATGACGTAGCTTGTTGATAATCTGAGTCTTTGCTGAACATTCGCTGACCAGCTCAATCGCATTTGATTTACCATGAAGTAAGAGTGGAGCCTTTACCGACAAGCTCAATCGCATTTGATTGTAATCCTGTGATAGGTGTGGTCTTTACCTCCATCAAAAGTCAGTCATGTCGCAAGAGAGGAACCTCTCCACCCGAGACGTGTTCCATCTGTTTTTGTCAACAAAACAGGCAACACTGCGCAACCAATGGAAATTGATTCAGAAGAAGCACCTGTCCAAGATGCGAAAAAGGTAAGGAAACTAACCACTGCACTCAGTAATTTGTTTTTGGATCATTCATTTTAATGCTCACTGTAATAGCATAACTCCCACCATTCTTGGTTACATGAAATGAAACAGACACGTACACCAAATAACTTACATTTGCGATCACAAATAACAAAAGTAGTCGTATAAATCGCAGGCTAATGTTCCTGTGGTCGCAAAACTCTTTGATAACGAGTGAATGGTTCCTTTAAAAAGATTCAACTGAAGGAATAGTAGAACACTAAAAGCAAAACATGATTACGCCTGCCTTGTAAGTTGAAATGCGATTAATTGTAAAATGTGTTTTTCAGAATGTGGTTTTGGAGTCTCCTCAAAATGCGGAGGAAGGCTCTATTTATTATGAACAGTTCTGTGTGAGAGACTCTCCCTTCAAGCTTGGTAAGCAGTCACATTATTTACTATTGGGCAACCTTGCCTCGCTCAGGTTTTCTCAGTATTGTAATATTAGGTATGTGTATGTGCGAGAAAGAATTATTGACCTGAAACTTAAAAGTGTTGTGTATTTTTAAATTATAATGTGAATAACTGCAGAAGGGACTGAATCAAGACTTAACTTGAAGTACTGCAATTTAACCGTTATTACTGTTTACAGGAGACTGTGTCTATGTCAGGTCAGATGAGGGATTTCTGTGCATGTCCAGAATTGATAAGTTGTGGACAGACAGAAGGTAAGAAATAAAACACATACAGGGAAAATGTTGCTTTGGGTATTGTGGCTAAACAATTCATTGTTCGTCATTTGTCTAAGGTTTTTAAATTATTTTTCCCGATCTGGATGTGACCAAGTTACTGATAGTTGGTTTGGCTTATCCTTCAATTCTTTTTCTTTTTTTTCTTCAACAAAGTTTGAAGTCTCATCTTAAATCTAAGTCGAAGTTTAAGGCGGCTGTGCCTTAAAGCGAAATCTGAACAAAAGAGCCTGCCCATAAGCTAAACAGACAGCGGTAAGAGGTTTTACAGGCGGCGATAGAGCGGAGATAACCAGCTTTTACTGAAACACCCGCTCTCGTTATTATTTCATTCTTACTTCAACTGAATACTTTGTTTCTGTACCATAGTGGACATGCATGGTTTCACGGGCCTTGGTTTATTACACCTGCTAGTACACAGCATCTACCCACCAGGATGTTTTATGAAAAGGAAGTGTTCCTTAGCTCACTAGAAGAAACCTTGCCTACTGGCGCCATTGCAGGAAAATGCTGCGTGCTGCCATTCAGGGAATACGTCAGATGTAAGATCATGCTACTGTTTATTATCAGGAGATTTTGTTCTTACACACCGTAATGAGTCAGTCATTTAGAAACTCATTGTAGAGAGATTGCCTTTTTAATGTTCTCATAGATTCTGTATTTTGTACTCAAGCGCTACATTTTGTCTTAAGAAAATATTTTTTTCGCCTTATAAGAAGAGGGTTGAATTTGATATCTAACTGAGAAAGCTTTTACTTAAACCAGGGTTCTTTGTCATGCTGATGAACATTTTTCCTCTTAACGAAGACTTTCGTTTCATCATTTGTGTGGTCATGACTGAATGATTTTCTGTTTATTTGGCTTGTTCGGCAACAGGTCGGCCCACAGAAATTCCAGAAAAAGATATTTACCTGAACGAAGCGAGATATGATGAAGAAGAAGGACAATTCAGAAAACTGAAAGGTCTCAAGGTACACCTAGATCGTTCGTTTGACGTCCAACATGAAAATTATTAAGGGGAACAATGATAAATGACACTGATGCGCTTGACAACATTTCGTGTCCATCTGTAGTTAAAAGCTTGATTTTCTCACGGTGCACGTATGCTCTAACAGTAACCTAATTTTATGGTTTACATGGATCATCTGCAAACTGAACTTTTTAACTTCTTACAGCCTCTCTCTTGAACGAAAGGGTGCGCAAAAGTTTATCATAGTTCACCTTTTAGAGGATTTTCTTTTTTCTGATCGTTTGAAAGCTTGGTAGGCCTTGCAGAGCACTGTTTATCACTTCAGTGAAATCATCAAAAGTTCAAGACCGCGCAACGCCTAGTTCAGCTGGCCATTTTCATATTTAAACGACTCAATAATTTCGTACTTTCGTTTGTGCAGTCTGTCTCGCTCTTCGATTGCATTCATTTCTCTGCATCACAACCAAGAAAATCACTAAGCAACTTGGTCTGTCGTTTTCCCCGGAATTTTTATTTTGCGAATAAAATATTTACTGCATAAGTATTTCAAAATATTTCGTAAAAAAAAGTCAAGACTTGATGAATTACAGAGTACGTCACGAAGTATGTCATAAGAAATGTTCATGTTTAATTATCTTCACGGTTTAGTTTCTTACCTTACTGTTTTATTTTCCAGCGTTATACTTTGACTGTCAGTGTGCAAGAGGATGAATACTATTTCTTTGAAAAACCAATCAGCCCAGTGAAGGTTGGTGAATGTTGGTGTTAAGTACTTAGACATACCTGTAATAGCTCTCTCTTTTCTCCCAAACGTTGTTCATGCTGTTGTTGTTCAGTGCATCAATACTGACTTAGTGAAAGTGGAATATCATATGTGCACGGTTATAAGAAGAGTTTTGAGATGAACTTAGTTTATGAGCAAACTACAACACCCCTGTGAACTGAGTTGTGTTTTTGTGGTTTTAGGTCCCCTCTCGTCTCTTAATTGAAGACCTGGATCTGTTAGAAGAAGAGCGTAGTCATTCCCCAGCCTTGAATTTGACAGAGTCGACAGGCGACGGAAGCAAGGTCAGAGCTGTCTTTTTTATGTTAACTGTATTCCATCCAAGGATTAAAGTTTGTCATTGGCATGTAAATGTCAAGGGATATGTCAAGAGTTTTATTAATGTCAACGACTGAAGGAGTTAATTGGAGAATATAAACAGACTGACGTTTTTTACATTGAGGTGAAGTGATTTACTGGAATGAAGGAATTTTTCAAGTATAATAAGGTCTAGCGAAGAGTAGGGAGGGTAGGGATAAAACGTTGACTGCGATCATTTCTCAGTAACAACAAACCATATCTGCGCAACCCTTTGAATGGTCCTCAGTGTAACCAATGGTTCAGATGCTGGTGTGGTAGTCCTGTGGTAGGGCTATGGCTCAAACTTCTCCTCCTGTTCTTGTCACTCACTGGATTTGTTATTGCCTCTTCAGCATCAAACTCTACCATGTTAGTGCACAAATGATCAAAAAAGTGTCACTAAATAAATAGCATTCCTTCGTGAGGGTTATAAAACAAACAAGGCCCGAGACGCACTTCGTAAACAAATCCAAGTCACACTTATATGAAAGGAATCACTTAATTCAACCTTTTGGCCTTTTAACAAAACACAGAAATTGGGAATATGTACGAAAATATTATTATTTTTGATTTAAAGAAGGTCTTGATACCTATTTTTGGGATAACTTTAGGATTCTTTTTCTCTTCTAGAAGCCAAAAAAACAGAGAGGTCAGTCTGGTTACCTTTTATTTTCTCATGAAATGAGGTCAAGCATCAGAAAGGAACACCCAGAGTATGCATTTGGTGAGATCAGTCGCATCATTGGAGTGGAGGTAAGTCCTTAATACGTCACTCTTAGGCTATCAATTTTCAATATATTGTAAAAAGAAAGTTTTGTATATTTTCTTGATGATAGCTTAGCTCTAGTACAACTGTTGTCGAGAATGTTGTTTATCATGGTTCGATCAGAATAAGGTTGATTCGAATAGACGTGGAAGGGCTATTTGTCATGAATTGTAACCAAAGTCCTCTTAGTTCGCAGTTATATTTGCTAATGTCTTTCCGTTTTTTTCCGAATAGTGGCGCAATATAAGTGCACAGAGGAAAGCTGACTATGAAGCACGAGCTCAACTGCAGCTTTCCCAGAATGAATCTGAGGTGTGTTAATAAATGAAGACAATTTATTGTACTCGAAATTGCACCGTGGCGTTTTCTCAAATGTAGGAATTGTTGCTAATTTTGACTTGTTTGTAAGTAACTTATGATAAATATGTTAGGTTATCTTTATTTGCGTCCTTTCTTTGTTTTGTTCATTCAATTAGACAAATAACATGACGACCAAATTTGTGAGGTAATGCAGTTTTTGGGATGTAGATATATTGATTTCTCTTTCAAGAACCAAGTCAGTGAAAGTAACGTCAGTATTAATGCGACGATTTGGTTCAGTTGATGTGGGCTGGAAGTATAGATGATACTCTCTTCCTTGATTCTGTTTGATCATTTACCTGTGCTCTGATGTTTCTGTCTCGTCAGAGTTCTGTTGACAGTGGACAAACTATTCCAACTGGCCCTATTTTCGTGTATGAGTGTTTATGGAAAGGTTGTGATTATCAGTATGAGGATCTTCACGATATGAGGATACATCTGTTAGACAGCACATGTCATCTCCGCAAATCAGGTGAGCACCAAGTAGTCACAAGTAAAGAAATAGTGAATCCAATATCTCGCATTCCACCCCTAAAAGGTCGAAAGTATGGAATTTAAACTTAACAAATTGCATGTTCCCATGCACTCCCGATTATAATGAAGAGAAGAAACAGCCTTTTTACATTTCCTTTTAAAGGAAAATATATTCTTTAATAACTCCAAGCAGGTATATTAAAAATGTATATCAATACCTCTTTGTCCAGCATTGTGGCACGTTTGCGGGCTTAAAATTGAGATTTTACATTTTAGCTCGCTCACAGGCTCGTGTGACTTTTCAGACTTGTTGTAAACAATTTTTATTTCCTCATTGACCTCCGAAGTAATGATAATGATACATTTTATATTCTAGAGCATCATTATATTTTGGATCCTTCTGAGAGTCATTTTAACCCTCACTAAGGGGCTTGGGTTAAAATGACCCTGACTCGCGCCCAAAAGATATTTGTGCCTGTCCACATGAACTGTGTTGATTTATCAGCAGTCTTCTTTAAGATCCCTTAGCGATAAGTTAGGAAAGTTCGATTTGACTTTAACTTGAGGATTATTCCCTTAATGTAGAAGATGGATTGTTTCATTGCCTGTGGAGCACATGCACAAGGGTACGGCGTGGACTCAGGTACACTCCATGACTCAGAATTAGTGACTATTTAAGTTTAATGAATGCTTTAATTTTTTAGCTTCACTTGTAATAAAAAAACATTCCATCTGTGGAGTCACAAGTCGTCAAAATGGGAGAAACTTTCCCTAACTAAATATTATTTTGCAGGAAATATGAAAATAAGGTTAAATTTCAATGCCGGACTAATGCCAACCGCTTTTCGAACCATGGACCTCAGAATCCTAATTGATTCGCCCAATAAGAAAACTTCTCCAACTTCAAATTAGTTCTGCTCTATCCATTGGTATTCACTAAACATTCTTAGATATTAGCTAACTTACTGAAAAACTAAGGCATGGAATGTTATTGGGTTTGGTGCGGAACTCCCTTTTCAACGTAGGTAATCTTCTGCTGTTGTTCCTTTGGATTATTTGGTCATTTTCCATTTGTCCTTGCAGACCATTTAATGCAAGTTCTAAGTTATTCAGGCATTGCTGGGAGGTGCATTTAACAGGTCAACCGAAGCAAATTACTCAGCAGCAAAGAAGCAAGTGAGTTTTCACTCCGTCAAGTGAATGTTTTTCAGACAGTGCTTTTACTTACAATTGTGATTTTCCAAGTTACTTACTAGCTTGGGGTAAGAAGATAGAACTCTCATATACAAGGTTGTGTTCATAACTTCGTAGTCCCGGCCTTGGCTGAACATCGTTACCTGAACAAACCGGTTGTTTCATCTCACTGACAGTAGTGGTCGGTAGTAGAGTGCAATCGAAGGAAGGCTGGGTCTGAAAAAAAGTTTTTTTCTTCTCTCTTAAATTTTTCAAATTGGGATAGCCATGTGATGAGCATGTTGACAGTAATCATTCTTTCTCAATAGGAACTATTTTCCAAAACACCGGGCAGCGCTGGTTACTTCTACTCCAGAGCCTCCAACTGCTCAGCGCACGGCTGCCACCCCTGTTACTGCGCCCTCAGCAGGCGCTAATGGAGTGTCCGCTCACATAATGGCCACAATTCCTGGGGGAAATCAATTTTCTCAGACAGCCAATCAAATGCAAGGAAATGCTTACATAGGAGGACGGATAACTCCCCAAGCCATGCAGCAAGGTTTGTCGAAGTCAAAAACTGTTTAATTTAGAAATTATTTCTCGGAATTATTTTTCTGTTGACGATATATTGCTAGGGTTGTTTGTACCTTCTTTCTAGTCTCATCACAGTCAATTGTGGTGCAGTTATTGGGTAGGAACTGGGAAAGCAGTCGATCACGTAATTTTTGGTATCGTTTGGGTCAGAGTAGTCTTGAGAAAAGCTAGTGTCTTTGACTTTGACTGACGCTTTGACAACACAATGAGTGAACGTATTTAGGTTTAATTAAAAAGTTAGTCGAGTTATGTTAGTGAGGTATGGTTCGTGATTAGTGAATATAGGCGGAATCCGCAAGAGTTTAGAAGTCAAGGCGTTCTACTCGACCGCGTAACAAATGCTCACGATGGGTCATTAAATTTAAAAAGTCTTAGAGCGCGCATGTTTACTAGTTACGCGTCACACTAGCTCGGTTCTGCTGAACAGGGTGAGATAAACGAGCTACAACGTTCTTAAGTTCTGAACGCACACGGTGACCTATTTTTTTGGCATAATTTTGGTGTACAGTTTATCTCCTTTGAAACAGAAAAATTAGCTGTAAGAAAAAAACTCATGGCTACAGCATGCACGAAGCCCCTGACCCGAAAATGCAAATTATGACCTTGAAAGCACAGACTCAAGGAACGTTTTAAGTTGATACTGAATAAAATTGCAAGATTTTTTCACAAATTTTATATTACATATATTCCATACACTGGAGACTTCTTACCTATCAAGTTATTATTGAAGTGTTACTTAACATAGCCCCACTTACAGCTACTGAAAACCTACTGCCAAGTGTTCATCGAACCGATGAAATAATGCGCACGATTAGTACCAGTACAGGCCCAAATCGGGTAAGCGTGACCCATCATATCTCTTTAGCAAGCACGGCTACGTACCTTTTTTTTTAGTTCTCAAACATAGATTCGTAGGGAACATTCAACAGAAGTTTCTAAAAGATCGTGACAACTTTTGTTTTTAGGGAATCACCTTAAATAGTCATGAGTTATGAGGTTCCACGAATGTCAACGTTTTTAGGACTTGTTTTAATGGCTGCGGAGGCGCCCCTAATGATTCAGATAGGTGATAAAGTCGTATGACTTCAAGCAGCGTTAAATTTGTAATTTCAATGATTCATCTAATTACAAATATGATGCTTTTGAAATAACGGGTGTTAAAGGAGACCTATGCAGTATATTATATGAGTGATATCTATGGTCTTTCTCAATGTTATTATTTCTTGCACAACTTTCATTCAAGTGTCAAAAGGTTTGTATTGTATTGTATTTTGTCTGATATTTTCACAGCTCTTTATCAAGGAAATGCTGGAGTGAGTGGTATGGCTTCAAATACCTCACCGGTGTCAGGCATGATGCATATGAACATGGGTATGAGTGGCATTACACAGCAACCTGCACAACAATCTGCAGCACCGGCAGGTAATACTTAATAACCTCGCTGTATCACTCTTCTCTTGATCTTATGTACAGGTGAAAATCATTGAAATAACCATCACTCAAAATGTAACGTGTCAGACAACATATGTTATTGTTTATACGTTGGAAATTTTAAGCTTTTCTTTTACGATGAGGACACCAAATATGTGTAATTCTTGATTTATCCCTCTTCAGCTCAAATTGTAGGCTTTCCACAACAGCATCAGCAACAACTCAAGCAGCAGTACAGTCCTGCTCCACAACAACAGCAGTTTAATTTCCAACAGCAAGTGAACCAGATCAGCACAATGCAACAGCAGCAGCAGCAACAGCCGCACTATCCTCAACAAGTACAACAGCAACAGCAGCAGCAGCAACAACACCAACAGCAGCAACAACCACCACCACAACAACAGCCGCAGCAACAGCAGCAGCAGCAGCAGCAGCAAGTGGCTCCACACGTAGCAGCTATACCACCCCCTAAGGAAGCGGTAAGACAGTCAACTAATAAAAAGGTTTGGAGACATAATTTTTGTGGAATTATACTCGTTATCTGTGCCCGATTCTGTTTTTTTTTCCATTGTGTTTCCTATTTTTTAGCCGCCGCCCATATTTCTCGCTCCACCACCTAAACCTCAAAGGTTACATCATTCCGATGCTTATCTGAGGTACATTGAAGGACTTCGTGATGGGATCCCTCATATGAGCAATTGGAACCAGGCTCGCAAACCTGATGCTTCCAGTATGACGCCTCAACAACTGGCCCAGTTACCAATTCAGTGGCTGGGGTGTGGTTATGGCGACTATGAAAATGCTGTGGATGCTTTGTGGAATTTACGAGATCACATGCTTAGAGATGCGCTGACTCTATCCAAGGTCACCGAACAGTAGATACATTCACATAATTTATTTTAGAATGTTCTCATATCAGCACATGCTAAGAAGATGACTTTGTGTTTTATCAAGTTGTGAACGTGTTAGTTTGCCTTGTTATACAGCAGGAGGCATTACCGTAAGGAAACACCTTTGTGTTTTGAGTGTTTTTGTTTCAGTAAAAGACTTTAAAGGTGTTTCCTCTGACTCAGCCTGTTTTAACCTTTTTTGTAAATGTACTTATTCATAGAAGGAGTTAAATAAAATGGAACATATACCGTGACCTGTTGTTTGTCACTTTCGACGACCCTTCGTTTGGCCCAAACTTGATAACTTAGCTTGTACTACACCAAGGCCCTCCAAAGCTAATGAACTTGTTAAGTCCAAAAAAACTGAACAGCTACTATCTCGATCAGTCAGATATGCCAAGTAACTTACCGCTACCACAAACGAGGACATTGAAATTAATGTGCGCCCTAGGAAAATGTCGCTATGGGCTGTTGTGTTGGAGCAGAGGTTTGTGATTTAGTTAGGCTCTACATATTACGCTATCTGTCAACTGCATACTTAGACGGAAGTATTGGTTTGTACAGTGATGACGGACTAGCGGTATTTAAAAATAGGAGAGCAAGGATTGATGACAAAACCAGAAAAGTCTTCTGCGAAGTTCTCTACGACCTTGGCTTAAAATTACAGCGCATAGTAACTGAAAAGTAGTCAATCACATAAACGTCACCCTCAACTTGTCAATCGGCAGATACTACTTGTTAACAAAGCCCTACAGAGACAATGACAGTCACAGCGGCAGTGACAGATACAATGACAGTGATGTTGATAATGAGAGTGACAGGTGCATTGACAGAGACATCGATGGTTATAGTGAAAGCGACTTTAACAATGACATTGACGTTGACAGTGTATTGACCCTGACACTGACAATAACACTGGCAGTGACAATGAGAGACATGGAAAGTGACACTGACGGTGAGGCTGTAATAATGAAATGAAAGTATAAAATGACGGAGTCAGTGAGTTACAATTACGGAGACTTGGACAGTGACACTGACACTGACACTGACATTGACAGTGAGAGTGATAGGGAGAGTGACAGTGACCGAGACAAATACAGAGACAGTGTCTTTGTCGACGATCAAGACACATGGATACTGGGGAATACAGTCGTGGATAATGGCTATGGTAAGCGTTACGGTTAAGGGCCCTAGGGATGTGTTAAGGGTGAGGTAAGAGTTAGGGTTTAGGATAGGGGTCAGGGTTTAGGTTTGGCGATAGGTTTAGTATGACAAAGAGTGACAAAGTCACAAAGACAGTAACAGAAACAGTGACGATGCCAGTGACGATGACAGCGACAGCGACATTGAATTGACAAAGACATTGAAAGTGACAGTGATAATGACAAAGACCTATGTGTGACTGACATAGACAATAACAATGAGTGTGAGTGACAATGACAAAGACACATCGAGGGTGACAGTAACATTGAATTGACTTTTATTATGACAGTTACAATGACAGGAATAGCGAGAGTGACCGATAGGGTGACAGAGTGATACAGAAACAGTGAAGAGATGGAGGCAGTGAGGGTCAGTGAGAGAAATTCACATATGTAGTGAAAGTGACAGAGACAGTGACAGTGATGGTGACAGCGCGAGTTACAGAGAAAGTGACAGTGACCATGACTGTGACATGTCAATGAAGCTAAACATTAACTTGAAACAACTCTTTATGGTGGCCAATTTACATCATCAACTCTAAAAATTTACGAGTATGAAGGGACGATAAACGTTCTCAAAACGTAACAATTATAAATTAAAAGGAACTGAATCATGCAGATCAAATAAACTCAGCGAATAAAACAAACTGGTTAATAGACAGAACAGAAGCAAAACATTTTTACGATAAATTGAGTTCCAGAACTATGTCAGACAACTTCTACGAGACTATCCTTCAAAAGCCATTCGACCTGAAAAATTGTGTAATGCCTAATGACTTATGAAGTGATCGTTCTTTTTCGCGCACGTGATGAGGAACAGCTGCCACGAATACAATTTCTCACGTCCTGCAGAAATTGCCCTTTTTCTTGCTTTTCATCTTAGAAAATTTGATTGCGCAGCCTTTCACAGGTTAACACATCGACTTTACTTAATCGCCATTTTCCACTGAACATTTTTTATCAATTAAATTGCATCTGTCCCACATTTCCCTATCGTGAGCTGACGGGACTGGCCCTTTCACCAGTTTGCTCCGTCGTTCCCAGGCCGCCGCATAAGCTATGAGCGAGGGGTATGGGATTCAATAGTACTTCTCTGACTTCATCCGGATGGATATCTCTTGTCAGGGCACTGATTACGATATTTCTCAGCTGTTGCACAGAGCGAAGTCACTCTTAGTTCTTCGTCGGTTTGATGATGTGTTGGAGGTATGCACGGGAGCCTTTGAACTTGTCTCGAAGAGGAGAGATGACTCTCACCTGTCCAACGATTTATTCAGGTTTGAGCGTAACTAAAAGATATATAGCCAATATCAAGGCCAGCTGAGATTCGTCTTAAATAAAAGTCGTAAATGTGGTAGGGTTTTCAACGGTAAAATTTCGTAGCAATCACAGTTGATCCTCAAGGAAACAAATTATTATTTAAAATTAGGGAGATCGAATGGAATATGATTGTCCCTTCTGGGGATGACAGACCACTAGTGACTTACTCTCAACCATACAATTCTTGTAATGTTAGTTCAGAGAATTCAGTATTGGATCAACTAATTATCCCCTCTTGAACTGAATGCAAATCTTATTTTAAATGCAGATGTGGTAATACCAATTTTATGATAATTTACAGGAACATTGGATAATATTGTTCCATTGAGTGTAGAATTTTGCTATTTTACCTCATGCAGGAATTCAGATCAATGGACACATTTTGCAGTTATTGGAATTCAAGCCTTTGCAGAAATAAACCAGTGTCAAAAAGCTATTACATTCACCACTAAAGCATTTGAACATTTTAGAAAGTTTCCAACAGAAGCCTTGGAATTGTGGTAAGTTTAATAGTGATCTAGTTTTAATTGATCATGTAACTACATTTGAACAATATATATATGTTATTTGCCAGCTGGGAGGTCTGTATCAGGAAAAACTGTGCCCGAGGTCTTGAGTACCACTTGAGGCCTACAGCCTCGGGCAGAAAAACGAGATATATTTATGAAAAATGGCAATGAAGGTAAGGATGTATTCAGTGATATCCAAGGAATATTTGGGATGGATTACATAAGTGTTCTCCTAATTGAACTTCAGACATTGCAATAAATCAGGAGCTCTTAAAAATGGTTATTAAAGTTAACAATTGTGACCTCTCTCTAGTTCTGAAGTTATTAAAATGAATTTAATTTTGGAGTGTTTTGCCTTGAAACGTATAGAATTAATTGTTATTTTATTATTTTTTCAGCAAGGGGCTCAACACTTTGTTTCCCAAGAGCTAAATTTTGTATTCATTGCAGTGTGTGTCTTCTTCTGAAAGCATCAAAGTACAAGGAGGCTGGGAAACTTGTTCAGGATTGGCTTTCTTGTGAAGATAACTTCTCTCAAGTCAAATATGTGAAAATAGCAGAAGTTTATGTCAAACATATTCTCTTTCCCCAACAATTGCATGAAGAGATAAAATGTTTTCTGGAGACCAATCACGTCATTCCTTCCAGTGAGAAACAGGTTAGAAGTATAGTAAGTTGGCATTGTGGATAACGAGGATGGTATAGAACTGAGAGGGCTCACCTCCCCCCACTGTGGCACGGGTTGGATTCCCAGACCTAGTGTTGCATGTGGGTTGAGTTTTGATTGGTTCTTGTCCTTGATCTTAGGGGTTTTCTCTGGGTTTTCCACTTTTCTTCCCTCCACAAAAACCAATATTACAAATTTCAGTTCAATTTGGGATCAGAGGACAAGAAGAGACACCTCATAGAATGTCCACTGCTTAATCTCATTATTACTATTTATTATTATTACTTTAGAACCTTAACACCTTTTAGGAAAATAACTATCTATTGAAAACACTCTGAGTGAAAGTACTCTCTTATGATACTAAAAAGACTTAAAACAGCCTGACAAAGCTCAAACTCAAGTTCATAATGAAACATTTTTCTTGAAACTGTGGCTACCCAAACTGTTAATAGATTTAAAAAGAGAAATGTGTCTAATTCTTAAAACCATCAATGCAATTTTCAGGTTCCTAGCTACATTTATAATGGTCAAATAGAAAAACCTAGTGAAAAACCTTCACTTTTCTTACTATTCTGCAACATTTTTGGCTTATTAGATCTTTCTCCCCTGTGAGATTCCCAAGCATCTTTTGAACACCCTCAATATTGTAAATAATTTTGCATTTCTCTTCCAGGTACTTTTCCAGTTCACAAAACCTTTTGCTGATGAGAAGGTATTTTATGATTGACTTCATGATATATTGAGTATTTAAATAAGTAAAATATCACATTAGAGCAATTTTTTTGGCAGGGGTTCTCCACTGTGGCTGTTTCCCTCTATCATCAGAATGAAGTTACAGTTTCCATTTTTCTGTACTTGTATCCTCTCTCAGGATGCTCTTACAGTTAACCCAATCAACCTAAAAGCTCTTTTATTTATAAGCAATTAAAAGGTCTGCTCTCTTTACCCATCCATGCAAATATCATTAATTTTTAGCTGAAACTCATTTTAAGTATTTTGACAAAGTAAATGACCACCGTTGAACCAAAACTATAAAAAAAATGTGTATAACACTACAAATTTAGACTCTGTGCATTCATCTATGAAAGCTTACTTTTTGACTTTTTGTCATTATCTTTGGATGTTAGGTTGAAAGGTGTAACACGTCACATGAGCTAACAGCCCCTGCTCAACTTCCAGCAGAACATGGTAAGAACACTTAGTAACTTACTATTAATGTTTAAAGGGATCACCTAATTGTGCAGTCACAGTAATGGCTCTTGTAACATTTTTGTTCTGTAGATTGTGTTATTTTTGTAGGCTTCAGAACCACCGTATGATGCAACAAAATTAACATAGGGATGTGGGCCAAACATAAGCATTCAAAGCCCTGAAATATTGGTGGAAGATACCGCTCAGTCATGAACTGTCTTCAAGTTTTCATAGTTGCCTTGAGAACTATGCTTTTCAGGCCAACTGTACATTTTTCAAACTTTATTTCAGCCTCAGGCCATATGCTCCAATTTGCCAGCCATTGGAATGGATTTATTTGATAAAAAGCTGTGACAATTGATTTGATTACAGAAGAACTCTATAATATATCTGAGAATGCCTTAAACCATACATTCGCTGAAGTGATTAACATTTAACTTCTCCCCAAGATATTCATACATTATCCTTCAAAAAGGTAACGAGAATACTCAAACTTATCAGGTAGAAGTTATTATCATAGTCTGACACCATCTTGAGAGTCGAAGGGTTAATGCAAAGAACTGATTGCCATGGAATAAACTTGTAGACCTAATAGAATGAATAACAACAGTTTTCCGTTCTTAATGTGTTCAAATTTTAGTATGTTTTTTTTTCATTTTTCATTTTGATAGGTGTTGCTTATGAATGGCTAAGAGCGAGGGCAGTCGTACAAAAGCTTCAGAGCCTGTACCGGATCGTCTTCTTCCATCATAAAACAAGGATTCTTGTTAGAATGATTATCCTTTTGTTTTTCGTTTACTGCTTCATCTCAGCGAGTATCTATCAAGGTAACTCTTCATCGGAAAGTTGTCTTTTTGTTACTGTTCTGGAATACTAACCCCTTGTAGGAAGTCTTTTTTCAGGGTTAATTCTCCTTAACACCTTGTTAGCATTTTCTTACTAGCGGTAAATTTCGTTTAATTTCCATCCTTTTCATTCTCGGAAAAAATTACGATACATTACTTGAGTGCACCGTGAAATCTTGCTCCTAATTTTGCTTTCAACAGGAGTGAACAAAGGTTCAGGAATATTCAGTCTGTGGCTTGCTGTGTTAAACGCTTGGAGAGCATTGATTAGTCCTACTAAGTGATAAATTAGCAGGTACGAACTCGGGCGGAGACGAACGAGACGTACTTGTGGACGTAAAACTCCAAGAGTGGAGGAAAAGTAGAGACTGGAGCACAAACTGACCAAACTGAAGTGCCTGAGCTTCATATGCTGCTTACACAAATACCTTTTAAAATCGATCAAAAGAAAGGCGAGTACCATGAGCCATCCATCTGAGGAAAATTGCTTAGGAATGCTGAGAGATATCGGATAATTTTTATTCAAGACGAGTGAGAAATCTCAAATCAATTGTAACGAACATGGAGAAATTATCTCTCTTACAATCTGAACAAGAGCTGAAGTGGCTACAAACTGGAGCAGAATGTTTGAGGTTTAAATACATAAGGAAAGCAATGTTTGAAGTAGATTTTAACTTCTGATAGTTGAGCTCAGATTAACAAATGGACCGTGACAATACTCTAGCTATTCTTCGGTGAAACTGTGTGTTGGTTTTCGTGCTTTGTAGGTGTCATGAGTATCCATGAAAATAAACCATGATACATTAACAGACCCCGAGTGTGAAGAAAGACGCGCAGCAAACAACAACAAAAGCGTTAAAACGAGATAATACAGCGATCAATACTGTCTCATGAAACATTAAATCGAACTCTATGTGAACACTGACGAGCTCGTGGTAAGTAACTCACGGTGATAAATGTTAAACAAACAGTTCGTTAAGGAAACTGTAACAGGGCTTCTGCATCTGCGCTTAAAACAAGACTAATGCTAGGTGTTTCTTCTCTTGGAAGACTACTGATGTTGCGATGAGATATTTATCTCAGTCTTACAGACACTTCATGATGTTACGTTTCATTGGCTAAGGATGATGTAAGTCAAAGGCTAAAGTTCATTCCCAATGTGAGTCGGTTTTCTGTTGTCATTAATAAAAGAAAAAATAAACGAAAAAACATATCATAAAACCATTCGGTGTCTGTGGGTAAAGATTTTTTAACATTTTCGAACGTGATTGGTTGTAACTAGCCCGATTTGAGCACTAATAGGACAGTGTACTTGTCATGCTTGTAATTGGACAGTGAAATAGGACAGTTGAATTATCATGCCTGTGTAAGTGGACGGTGAGCGTCATGATCGAGCTGTTGTCGCGCATTTCGCCGAATTAACAATTGTTTTTTTTTTTATGTAGAAAAGTAGAACCGATGTCTAGTTTGAAATGAAATTACGACGCACGAGTATTCAGAAATAGTGTTTATTTACCGTTGGCTTCAAAACAGAGATTATGCAGTATACGTCTGAGTAATGTTAAATTCTTTGTACATCTGTTTCCCATCAGGAGTCGTCAAGTAATTGGAATGGAATAGATTAACAGATTACAGAAAGTTTACTCTTTGGCATTGTATTCAAATGCTCCAAATATTTTCATTGTGGAAACAAGAATCAAGAGCTTTTAAAACTTATATGTAGTATCGAGTTTTAGGGTTCATATAAATGAAACAAAACTTTTGAAGTAAAGAAAGAAATAGAGGAAATAAACGTTACGAATCATTTTCACTCTGATTAGAAAGCTAAACGTATATAGTGATCTTAAAAGTTATTTGTAGAGTCACGTTTCAGGGTTCGTGTATTAGTGGGAAAATGAAAAAAAAAGTCTTTAAAAAACGTAGAAATGATAGAAGGTTAGTAAACTTTGCAAAGATCCTTCATGAAACGTTAAAAAGGGGAATGAGATTTCCAGTGATCCAGAATTGAAAGTTGAACCAGGCCTAAAAGAAAAAAAGAATCACAAGTTAATAGGTTTCTTTACTCGGTTGTGACCGTCACAGACTTTAACTAACATCGGTTTTATTAGAATTTGGGACAAAATAAGATACGAATGACGCTGAGCTTAAGAGTGGAGATCGTCTTGTAGCCATAGCGTTACTTTCTCTCTAGCTAGTGAGGCTGTTGATGGTTTTGCCCTCATTTATGTTCTGTGTGAGCTTCTTGTGTAAAAGTTGATGATGTTTGGTAAAATTTCCTTTCCTGGTGAACAGGAGAGGTTATTACGTCAGTATTAACATACCTTACTGTGAGAGGTCAGACTTAACAGCTTCGCTGCTAAAGTCTTTTTGGATCGATTCTTTCGGCTCGTCTCCTTCAGTATGTATAATCTGAGCATACTTAGCAGAAGCATTCGCAAAGACATACTGTGCTGACTGAAGGTCTTCTCCGAACGAGCTCTTACGTCGAGACTTGGAAGTGGCAACACGAACACACTGTATAGAAAATTATAGCCCGACTGTCAGTATGTTTCTAACTCAGAAACACAACGAGTGCTCGAACTCTCTTAGGTATGATAGTTCGGAAGGGAGAAGGCTTAGATTAAGACTGCCGACCAATCTATGCAGAAAAATTATATTTTCTAATAAACGAAAGGCAAACCTTGTATCGCCAGTAGGCAGTGCTCATCAGGGCGGCACAATTGGTGTCAGCTTGAAGCACTGCGATGTGTTAATGACAAGACTACCTGACAATTTATCTTTTTTACATGGATTTTACCAAAAAAGTACTCAAACGACGTTACTGTATGAAGGTGCTAAACCTACATGCCCATTGGTTAGTAAGATGATGCGCACATTATATAACGAGGTCACCCTTTCAGTAATTCCTATATTCATTTTTAACTCTGATGGACTCCTCTTTCGGAGTCTTTGTACATACCGATCTAGTATGTAAAGCCTCAGAGTTCTTTTTCCTTGTTTCGATGCTTGGAGAAATGATGGAGCGAGCTATAGCCAGTTCTTCCTTCTCGGTGCATACCCCTTGGTCCTTGCTAAGGGCTTTGAGAACTTTTCGATTTTCCCGTGATTTTTGTTTGCCAACTTTAACTCGGGCCTCTTTAAGGGCGGATTGGTTGGAAGAAACTTGTTTGCCAATCTTTTCACCCTTTATATACCTTCCAAGTTTTCCAACGGCTGCTGTGTACCAAGATCTGCCAACATGTTTACCAATGGTTTATTTTTTTAGTAATTAGCTACTCCTGCTGTTGAAATGAACTTATTTCTTTTGTGACTTTCCATTTACTATATATGGCTTTCGCAACAATAATTGAAATCGCATACAGTGTTTCAAATTAATTGAACTTCTGTTTTGAAGTGATCGACATATCTCCACAAGACTTCACTGTTCATTCTTTCTCCTTTTCTATTTTATCTCAAAAGGCGAGTTTGCCGGCTCCAGATAACATGTGACTATTATTTCCGCTGTTCAGATCTATACATAGAAATTTACTAATCACCGCTTTTCGAGATTTCAGAGAGTTTCCATACTTGTTTTAGAACAGTCTCCCAATGTGCTGAAAACTCGATCATACAGCGTTTTACCTATAAAGCAGTGGAACAGTTTGCCCGCCACCCTAACCACAGCCCCAAGTCTTAATGTTTTTGAGAGCGGGGTCTCAAATCCGAATCCGAGCATATAAGCCTTGTAGAGAGGGAATGCTTGTAATATGGTAAATGTAGATGTAAATGTAAATGGACAACTAAGTTACTTGGCCGTAAATGCAAAACAGTACATGCGGTTCTCCGACAGCTGCTGCTCTGATTTTCGCTGTAAATCATTGTGTTGAAATTGCCCTTTCGCAAGACTACTTACTGCGCAAACAGCTCGCCAAGAGTTGTTAAATAGAAAAGTAGAGGATGGTTTTGCGTGTCAAAGGAGAAATCAGGTTGCTTTCCAGGATTCAAAATGGCAACGTCTATTGTCGAAGACAATTTTTTAAAGTTTTGGTTATTTTTGGTCTCTTCTCACCCTTCAAACGCAGTCAGTTTCATAGGATCATATCTCCTTTTTACCGGTGGAGATGAACACTGATCGGTCTCTGATACGTACTTCTTCTTTAACCCTTTACATTCTTACATTAGTATGCATAATCCTCATACTTTTCTCCATACATTTCCTTAGGTGCTGAAAAGGAGAATTTATGTAACAATCAGGAGCTTCTTTAGTTTCCTTTTTTTCTGGTGACCTTCACGTTCGATTCAGGGGTGATATTGTAGGGACAGAGTAAATGATTCAGTGACAAGTAGCTGATGCGAGCTAAATTATAATGAATGCTTCACTAGCTCGTCTTTACCTGCGAAAAAAGACCAGGGCCACAGCTGCCGCGACTACAAAAATAACCACCACCAACCATAGAGCCCCACCCCCGCCACTTTCAGTTGCGGCCTCGTGCTCGGACTTCGCTGTGTGAACCGTTGATACGAGATTCTTTTTAGGAGTGCTAGGAACATTCGATGAACCTGAACCTGCACCTGAACCATCACGTCTACTTTCACTGCTCCAATCCTCGTCATCGACAGGATAGTTTTCATCCCAATCTGATAAATACATAGATGATATAAAGAGAGGTAACATTGACCGGTACTATAATTAAGCTAGTTTAAAGCACTTTACCTCATGTGTTTCACTTCTGAATGATACCTAGACACATCGAAAAACCTTTAATAAAGCTAACGTTTCGCATTTACCGTGCCAGAATCGAAGTTAATCGTATTCAATAATGCACATTAGAGGTGTGGTGTTAAAAATCTTGCTACGGCAGTTCCATTTAAAAAATCATTTTCATCGAGTCATAACCTTCAGGATTCCTCAGTTTGAAAAGATAATGTGAAACCTTCATTCAATCAAAACGCGATTAGTTACGGAGGACTGGAATATGAAAACCACCTCCAAACACGGCTTCCATTAAGCACTTTAAAATTCTGTTCACTGGCAGCTGCACGCTTGAAGTTGTCGTGTGCTGAACGCTATCATAACAAATCTTACTTTGAGAAACAAATGCAGCCGGCCTTTACTTCTGAAAAGAAAATACCGATTTGCATCAATTTCCAATCAAATGAGCCGATAGCACACCACTGACTATAAAACAAAATTGATACCATGATCTGTAAGGGGAAAAGTGACTGATCTCTTGAAAAGTGGAAGAGTGAGTTGCAATTTTTTTCCTTTTCCATGGTTCAAAATGCAAAAAGATTGGAAAACCGAAGACCGGTGGAAAAAAACTTAAATAAAAAAGTGTGCATGATTACCCTCGTTATGTCTGGAACATAACTGAAGAACCCTATGATTTCACGACCTTTGACGTGCTAAAATTTAGTGAAATGCTATTGACGAGAAAAAATATCTCGTTTATATCGGACAATCCGAAACCTATGTAATATTGACCTGTGGTTTCTATTGTTTAGTAAAGCAAAAAAAAAAAAAATAAATAATAATAATCACGGGCGCGCGCGGCTTGTGCTGGCATGAGGAAATAGCTTAGGCGTTGCTTATCAATCAGGGATCAGGGATTAAACATCACCTCAATTATGTCGTGAAATAATTGTGGCTTTAAACAAACTGAGTCAACCAGCCCGTTCGCATTTTTCTAATGCATAAACAATTGGATGCGAGCAATGTTTGCTAATTTCGGCGAGCCTGGTGATTCGGTCTGTTGATAAAAGTCTCTGTAACGGGCTATTAACCGCTACAGTACTTAACAATGGCGCTTCCGACACCTTTCGTTTCGTACCTTGTATTGGCCGACACTCTACACCTTCGTTTAGAATTAACAACAGAAGCAGTGCTCTGCAGCTGAGTGCTAGAAAAGGCTTCATAGTAAAACCTTGACAGCGACGAAACATTCGTCTCTGACACTCTGTTGTACCATGCGTGATTATGACGTAGATGATTATGATGGAAGATGATTAATAATGGTAATTGAACTGAGTGAAGTGCAATTTGGGCTGAAATCATACGCGTGATTTCAGACTAAAATTGTACGACACGAGGTTCAATTATCACTTTATTACATTCATTTTTAAATCGCCCAAATACAGGCTTTGGTCAGTTCAAATATTTTATTGATGCAGTGCTAAGTTTGAAATTAAATTCATCCATTTTTTTTTTGGGGGGGGGGAAGTAAGAGTTTTGGAAACAAAGGTTGCAAAATTTACCAATGATACTCTTTGTCTTTCATTTTCCTGCAATTTGATTGGTTACTTTAAACAAGCCTTGATATCTGATTGGTTGTTTCGTTTTTAGTGTAGCTTCCTCATTGGCTGGGAAAAAGATGCGATTTAAAGCAAAAAATGGTGCGATTCGTGAATAAATCGTACCAAATAGAGCCAATCAGATTGCAGGGACCACCAGTGATTTCAAAATGGGTGTAACAAATATTGTTACTAGTTCTCTCCTCATCAGTAAAAAACGCAAGACCAAAGAAAAAGAAGAAAATAAAGGGCAAAACATGTTAAACGCTAAGCAAACATAAATAAGGTTTGAAGTCAAGGGTAACAATAAATCACGTAAAATGATTTTCCGGAAGAAATTACTCCTGAGAAAAAGAGTCTTCAATAACAGGAACTAATTCATCATCAGAACTAAGCGTGGGCGTAGTTTATCAGTCGAACGCAATGAGTCTGAACCATGAAACTAAGTTTTTCTGTGAGCTTATTGGCTGTGGGACTCAGCGAGTGTACGCTGGTTATGTTTGGTCTTTCTTATCCACTCTATTTGTTTTACCGAACGGTTTCAAGTGTTTTTTTTTTTCAAAGGTGTAACAATTTATGTATGGCTCTTGTTTCAGCCAATTAGACCAACAAGTTAACTCGCACTTTTTTTAATTTCGCATGTCGTTGATTAGCCAACTTCTCTCGGCGTCACTCCCGATAGCTTTATCTCTCAGAGGTGTCAAGTTAGCAGTGAGCCTCTCAACTCTATATATGAAACCCAAGGCTCAGTTTATCCACCCAGTGATACTTTAAAAGACTCTTTCTAATCTCTTTATAGAGGATAATGTTTCGTTGTTGTTCTATTCGGCTGAATTGGAGTCTCCTCATTAGCACCACAAGAAACATATTCAAACAACAGTGTAGGGATTGATTAATGTGACTGCCTATCAATTAACCGATGCAGGACACGGGGCCTCTGCTTACTTGTGTGGTAGTATCTCACGTTTCGCTTTTCATTCAAGGTAGGGGGCGGGTTAGCCTCATTTCAGGCCAGGCTATACTTCGGCTACATCTCTACTTGGAAAAGTTTTCTTTTTCGCCCTTGACAGACCACCCACGTGAGCACACAGAAGGGGCTTGTTACACTTGAAATATCAAACATCGAAACAAAAGCGACTCGAGACCTTGAGCGTAAGGTGGGTGACCCTCTCTTCATTTCATTTTGTTGTGAACTTAATGGCCAAAGAAGATGAAATTGAGCTCATTTGTGTCACCGTGCAACATATGAGTCAGTTCAGCCACAAGAATCTGACGTGGCGCGGGAATTGATCATGTTGAAATATTTCTCTCTCTGTTCAGACTCACTAGTTAATTATACGGCGCCAGCTTGTAATACACATTCAATAACTATGATTTCAAGTCAGGGATTTTGAAATGCAGTGGGTAAGAACGTAAATACAAAATTTCGCTGAAGAGAGTTAGTACTCGCGATCACGCTACGCGGTCGAGACCGAAAGATGACAAAGTCCATGTAGTTATTTTCAAGTGAACGGCGTCTTGACAGAAAATCGCGGGCTGACGTGACTCACAGACTTTGCATACATAGTTTTATTTTTCCCGTCACTCTTTTTCAGGAGAATTTTGGGTAAGCCTTAGTACATGTCATGCTTTTGCTTTCATTTCCATACTTCTTAACACTTGTTAATGAGCTAAGTTGATATTCAGTCCTACACGATATCGTTACTGACAAGTCATAAGTACGCTATGTTTGAGTCAAAAACAGTTTGGAGATGGGATCACAGAATCAAGATGCGATGTTTTACGGCGAGGTCAGCGGCTTCCTTCACTTTGGTCTCTAGTACAAGCTGAGCTCTCTCAGAGAACGGAATAAACACATTATACTGCTTGAAACTGGACATCTTGTCGACAGCTTCACGTCCAGCTTCAATGTGTTGAACGACTTCTTGGTTCCAGACCAAAGCTTGCCCTGTTATGATTGAATTGGCTTCATTTTCATAATAGGCCCCGCCAAAAAACACACCCACTAGGATCCACTTCTCCCCGACACGCTGAATTACAGGGCAACCCGATGCTCCGCTATCAAAGGAAAACGCAAAGTTGATCACTTTTAGATCCATATGTTTGTACACTTCATACGTTTCGATGTCGTATGCAAATTTCTTGCGGTCATTTTGTCCACTGCCAAAATGAATAATTGTTAGTGGATCCGTGGATTTCAAGCTGAATTGCTCATCTCCGGTGGGAGTGAATGTTTTTTCCAACAACGAGGTAAAATCGAACAAATCGGACTGCTCAAGGAGTTGCTGCTCGTCTATTTCCCATTCTTCCAGATCATCTTTTTTCCTCCCGTAAGTGTACTGAAAGCCAAGTTTGACCAATACGATATCTCGGTTATGATAATCAGGCCTTCGACCTGCGGGAAGCAAGCGGTGAACTATTGCTCTTCGGGGCCTCGCTTCAAATGAAATTTCAGTTCCTGGCGGGAAGAAAACGAATCTTGCCATGTTAACTTTATCACGATTTCGAAGAACGTGAGCAGCAGTGAGAATCCATCCATCACCAAAATGAAAACCAGTTCCAGTGTAGTTAGGGCCATTCTCTTGAGCGACTTCGATTCGACATATACCCGAGCCAAACTGCTGGAGTTTGCTCAGCGTTTCGTTTAAATTCGTGGTCTTTACGAGCCGACTTCGATAGTTGTCATCGACTGCAAGCGTTGAAATGGTCTTCCTTTTCAACTTTTCTCCACCTTCGATGAGCTTTTGGATTTCTTCTTCATACAGAAACTTTCGGCCTCGCGAATAACGCCTGTTGATAAAGCCACAAGACATGGCGGCGAGAATGAGCTCATTACAATTCTAACACTTTGACAGACCAGAATTTAAACAGAACTAAAATGAAAAGCTTCAAACAGCTGCAAACCTGTTGTCTTGGCGACGTCAATTTTTTGCAGACATTTTTATTTGCGGGTACAGATCTCGAAGCGTAACTCTGATAGTGTTTGTGAATGAACGATAGCATATCGCTGTTAAATGTTTTTTTAGGATTTAAAAAACCCAGGGTTACAATTGTAAGGATGTCGCGGAGAGAAAAGATATACCTTTGAATTCATCAACTAAAAGCATTAAGTAAAGTGATTGTCTTTGTGGGGACAAAAGGTTACTATTCATATGCAAATACATGCTGAAAATTTTAGTTTCCCAACGCTTTTTCTCTGACAGTTTGTCAAAACAGACTGGATTTTCAAATTCATTTGCGTCCTGTTTACTTTACCCATTGTTTATGTTATTTGAAAATATGCTAAACGACAAAATTTTTTCAAGCCTGGAAACGATGTTAATTACTTAATAGAAACCTTTCCCTTTAACACCGCTATTTAGCGCCCAGTGAGGTGCTGTAAAGGAGAGGATAACAATGATATAATACGGCTCCTTGTGGATAATGAATCGGAACTGTTTTTGTTTTGTAAGCCATTCAGGTGGCTGTGATATTTGGTTGCTAATCTTTCTACCCTTTTTTCTCTTTTATTCCTTTCCAGTATTGGTCCAGTATTGGTCCAGTGTAGTTAATTACTGGCTTGGATGATTGTTCGCCTGTCAGTCCATCAAACCTCTTTGCTGAATTCTGTAATATATATAATTAAATTCACAATTTTTAATTTGGTTTTCAAGTGAATTAGCATTATTTATAATTGCACGGTCTAAATTCAGCAATCGGCTCCGTCTTCTTGTCTGTAGTCTACGGGGTTCTTCATGATATCGTTAGTTGTATCATAACCTATCATGTCAACCAAGAAAGCCTTCTTTTGTATTAAGGTGTTAGGTTAGAATACAGTGAAGTCCCATCAGGATTATAACGAACCTAAGACATCTCGAACTTCTCCAAAAACATTCTTTAGACTTACGGCACAATATCACTTGTTCTACCCTTTTCTTTCAAGCCCTTAAGATAACTGTAGTTCTCTCATGTCTTTTCACAATGTCAAACTTGATTCAAATCATCTACATGGATTTCATGGTGTAGAGCCCGAGGCATCTGAACGTTGATTATTGATGTCCCCATTTCACTGGGCTCTGCTGCACCCTTCTGGGACATTATATGCACAAAAGAAAAAAAAGCGTGAGTTAAGCCCATTTTTTCGCAGGACTTGTGGGTGAGGCTCGTGACTCTGCTATGGCATGCTATACATCGTCAACTGAGGTAAAATTTAAAAAAATCATGTTTCCTGTTTTTTTTTTCTTTAATATTTTGTTCAATTTCGATTAAATTTAACAGAAATTAGACGTGATGTTGTCGCGAGGACAGAGTAATTATTGCTCATTTTTTTTTTCCTGAGGGAAAACGTCAACGAATTATGAAATCTGATTGGTTCTTAGCGCGGTCTGCATTATCCTATCTCTACCTACGGGCACGGTAACACTTTCTCCAGACACTGAGTACATCCCTAGCTTCGTACCATTATTTATAAATGAATATTGCTCGTGACCTCAAGCCGATAAAACCTTAATAATTCTTTCATCACTCACCTAAATCACTTTGGAAATTGGTTTTTGAATTGAGTTTTTGATTGCGGACATCAAGCGATGAAAGGAAGTTCGAACAAAGTGCACTCCAAAGGATTAACTTCCTACAACAGCCACAAATAGCGGCCTCTGAAGCGGAAAGGGTACATGTGTTTTATGCGTGGAAAATATTAGCAAAAATTTAAGAACGAAAACTTCCGGCCGCATCAGTGTAGACTGAAAATGTTCCGAAGAAAAATTCTTCAGCATAAAATGGTTTAACTAGCAATAAATGATCTTACTAAAGAAAATGATCTGCCTTGTAGAAATGGTTGAACCAGAAAAAATGGTCCTGCTTGTTAAAATAGTCCAAGTTGTTAAAATGAGTCAACTAGATAAAAGGGTCCAAGAACTCGAAATGGTCTAACTAGAAAAAGTGGTCCAACTATTAAAAATAAAGTCATCTGTAACACGTAAACTCTCATGTACATGCCACTAGTCCCCAAAAGAGTCAATTTGAAGAAAAGAAGATGAGGTACGGACACATCCTGGTCAAAACCAATTAGATGTTTCATTGAAAGAATAAACCATTCAATCTGCATTTTCGTTCTTGTGAGAAATAAAAGAACTGCATCTCCGATCTGTATTTTCAAAGAAAGGCTACGGAAGGTAAAACTCTTTTCGAAAGTCCGGTTCTTAACGGATTTGTATATTACTTTAAACTATTCTTTTGAGAGGTAAGTTGGTGTTCCCCATAAAAAAATTCTAAACTGCATCTTCCTGTAAGGTAGTTTTTAGAAGAAGGAATGGAACTCTGATGTTTCCTTTTGCGCATCTTCTTTAGGAAGACACGATCCCTAGTCCCAGACATTCATTAAAAAATGGAACAAGAGGGAATCAAACCCTCCTGAGACATTAAATACTCTTTGGTATAACACAAAGAGGTAAGGAGACAGTGGAAGATTCACTGTGAAATTCAACTTAAGTTTGCATAAACTGACAACATCACACTTTATTTTTTCAGAATTACACTAAATATAGTTTACCTTATTAAATAGTATTTCCACCTAAATAGCCACCTCTTTTGGCATTACGACAAAAAATACTTTTGCACAGACCTCTTTCATAACTGGCACATCTGATTGTTGCACTATTAAATTCATGCATATTAAAGAATAATACTTGTGCCCACTATTATAAAAGGATTCTATGCCATATAGTTATCATTCTCATTTTGTTAATTTTGAAAAATACATCATCAGAAAGATTCCTTAAGATTATCTTTCATGACTAACTACTCGTTATTGAAACTTGTTTTGTTCAATTTTTTAAATAGTTGGTTCTCTATTTCCAACAAAACCATCTAGAATGATTTGACGTAAAGCTTTCATGAAGAGCTGATTTCTTTGTGTTAGCTATGTTTTTGCCGTTAATTTAGTTTAGCATCAAAGGTTTTAGGCCACTTTTACAGGATCTCAGGAATTCAATAAATAAGTTAAATATGTAAATTATTGAAAGAGATTCCTCTTCTACCTTGATGTGATCTAGAGAATATCACAATCATTTTAGATTCACCTAAACCTTACCTATAAAGGAAATCACATGGCCACACCTGGATGCAAATTTTATCAATGAGATGTTACAACAGCTCTCAAGAGTGAGTGTAGCGTACAAGTGAAAAATATCATGAATAGGAGAGGATTGATCAATACTCACAAGTGGACATGTTGCACTCTGTTATGGATACTAACTAAATATTAAATACTAACTTCTTATTAACTGAGTGCAAGAGCTGTACTGGGGAATATTGGCCTGAAGTCATAACAGTATGGACCGAGTGCAGAGAGGTCCATACAAAAATGAATGAGGGCCAATATTCCCCAATATGGTAGTAATTAGTTTATCATATGGCACTCAGACCACACTTGTTTGTTTTGAATTTGCTGGCTTTTGCCAACAAAAATATATGGCTTACAACCATTTTCATTGAAGCAGTCTGTATGGCAAAATACTGACTGCTAATCAGATGGCTCGGATTTACCCCAGGACTACCTAACCTAGTATATATTAAAACTCTGGATATCCTTTCTTATTAACCTCAGAGCAACACAAGAAGTATTTGTGCTTGAAAATATAGTAATCATCGCAGGAATAAATTACTTCAAATCAACTTTTTGTGCTATATTATATCACTGTTTTAGCACATACAGAAACAACTGTTCATGTCAGTGTCAGTGGCTAGCCTTGGATTTATACCTTGCATGGTAAATATCCAACACTAGCCACCTCCACTTCCACGAACGGTTGTTGATTATCATACAGTTAGGAAGAAATTGAAAAGCATTTACTAAAAACCCTATAATTAATCAACATTCAACAAAATGGTTTGTCTGAAGGAAAACATCTGTGTGATGTTCTTGGCTGCACCAAGATGAAGTAGTTTCTTCAGGTATGGGTGTCTCATCATCTTTTCCAACTCCACATGAACTTAGATAGTCAGTATATAATGCCCTTGCTTTCATTAAAGTTTTATGAAGGTCATGCTTGCGTACCAATTTGTCAAAGTACATGGCAAGTGCATTATAATCCATCTCTTTGTTCATACAGTGATCTTTGTGAAGAGACAGTATGGCCAAACACAAAAAAAGAACAAATGGATTCCCACCACCAAGATGATATGGGCCTGGCAACTCAATCAGTTTCATTTCTTGATCAACAGATTTTGAGGTAAATGGATAGAATCTATCATCTTCCAAATCACTATCCCACTCATCTTCACTATCATTATTACTGTTATTAACTGTATGGTAACCATTCTGTTTTAAAATGGCAGCAGCAGCAGAGTTACCTCTGGGTAAGCCAGAAACCATATTTGAAGCACGGGCTGCTGATTCTGCTGGCAGGGTCAGTGAACTCCAAATCACCTCCATTAACTGAACAGCATCATCAAATGGAAATTCTCTCTTCAAATCAAGGAGAAGCCAACGATAGCAGAAGAACATGTCATCTGCTCCAATATCCATCAGATACTTAAAGAACTCTGGTTCCATGCGATTAACTAATTGTGACAGATGGTCAAATTTCAGTGTCATCGCTTTACCATTTAAAAGGAAGTGTCCTTTTATTCTTTCCATCAGACAACAAAAGCAAGTATACGCTACTGCTTCATCATCTAAAATGACAAGAATAGGTGCTGCCAGATCACTCATCCCTTGTGCATAAGATACATCAGGATTTTCTAATGCATATGTTGTCAAGATGTTAAATAAATAATCCATGTGTTCATGATCATCAGGGACTGCAAAATAGGGATGAGTTCTGTCTGTTCGTAAAACATCCTTCATAATCAAATGGGTGATGGATTCTATCTCTAAGGGACATTTTCTCTTCCATTTTGACTTCAGATGACAGTAAACCTGTGATTTCATTTTCAAATGTCTCTCCCTCTCTTCTTTAGTCAAATCAGGGGGGAACACATTGAGCAGATGTGGCCAAACTTCTTTGCGTAAGACAGGGTCAAGTCCACCCCCATGGAAAACTCGAACCCATAACTCCTCAATGGCAAGAACACGCCCTTCAGAGTCCAAATGACATTGCCACTCTAATTCCTTTAGAGGTCCTCGTCTGACTGAATCAGTGAAAGCTTTGGTAATCTTGCTGAACGTTCGCTCCATTTGATGTTTTAAGGATATGTGGAAGGGAACTGCAGAGGAAACTCCAGTAGATTGTACATTGTTAGTCAGTGGTGCTTCTGTTGCCTGAAGGAAAGTCCAGTCATTGTGACTATCTTCTGAAAATACAATAGATAAGCACTAGTTGGTACCACAACATGTAAAGAAATGCAGCAGGAATATTTGCCTTAAATGAAACTATAAAACTATTGAGTCTTGAAGAATGATGTTATCTACTCCTTCTAACTTTTCACTCCCACGAGTGACCAAGACAATTTTTGTTCACAATTTCAATACAATATCAAGAAGGCAAGTGACCAGAACAACAAAAAATATCAACTAGAGAATTCTAATAACAAATCCTCCAAGCTACCATCATAGGAATTGTATAGCAGATAGTAATGAGTATTACTGATGTGATCTTGAGATTTAAAAAGTTAAGGTCCAATTCCCAGCTTTATAACATTGAATTCAAGCTCACATTTGAATTGGCTCCTGGGCCATCATGTCCAGTAACAAAATTTGGTAAAGAAAATCTTAGAACCTTAAAATACATTGTCCTTCATGCCATAGAAATCACATGTTTTTAGAAATTTGTGGGGGGAGGGATCATGAATTTGAGCAAGAAAAACAACCAATAGTCTTGTGTGTGTACATTTGCTAATTCAAATCTACAGTAACAACATGGTTACTCTTGCAGATTTCATTAGCTTTCAGTGTTCTCAGTTACTTGTGTCCAACTCAATTGCATTTCTCTTTTGAAATTGATAAAAGCATGCACAAAATGAATGCTAACATAATAAAACTCGATTGCCCTGTCTAAAGGGGATATCTTGCCTCCAGAAAAATTTGATTTTCAAATTCTTGGGAAATAAGATTTACCACACTCCAATGCCATATGAGGTCTGAAACCTGTGCTTCACTTTTTTAAAGTTAAAATTTAACCCTTTTGTATCAAGATATTGCCGGACTAACCTAAAACAACTGTAAGTTATGTCTCCAAGCAGTGCTTAATGTTGTCAGCTCTAAACTTACAAATAAGTCCCTGTTACTCCATTTTTTTCCAAAGGCCTTGAAACCACTAACCAGCTCAGAAAGGAGCCAGCCATTTTGTTTGTTTGTTTGACCTTGCAACATATTTAAGTAATTACACTTGGGATATCACTTAGGATATCATGTAGCCTTTGCTTGCAGTGTTTAGATAGCTAGATCTATGGGTAGGACTTCATTATATTTTCCACTTAATTGCAAGACTCCTTCATGGCTGTATTTTAACAAACCAGTTATCAACAAGAAGGTAATTTCTTCTTTTTGGTCTCCATTACAACAAGGTCAAGTTAATTCAGGTTTACTTGGAACTTTTTTAGTAGGACTATTACTGAAATGTCACAAGCATGTAAACTAGTATTATAGTTATGAAAACCCATATTACCTGAACAAACTACAGGTTCAACCTTGAGACTCAAATATGGCAAAGATGAACTCATGAAGGCAGCATCAAGATCAAAGTCAGATGTAAGTGAGATAAACACGTCTGGTCTCCTTCCATTTTCTGTTGACTGTGGGAGCTGATATGATATTTCAAAGTCTCTAAGAATGGTTCATAAAAGAGAAAATCAGCTGTTAAATGTATCTGTGGTTGCGTAAATGATGAAAAAGAAGTCCTGTATAGGAAAAGACGTCAAAAAATAAAGTCTCCTCAACAACCATTTAAAGCAAGGATACTACTTCCACAAAGTTTTGGAATCTTTTTTTCTACGTGTAGCAGTAAATTGGTCGTTGCACGAGAAATTAGGGACCTGTTATTTGAACAAAGTTTATTCGTTGTTTTACTGAGCCAGGTCCTAAAATAACTTCAATTTAGCCGAACCTTTTATCTGCAAAGATATTTATGTGCGCTGTGTTTACTTCGACCTTAGGTGAACCATACAAATACTGTTGATACAACCTCGTGCCTCCATTTCAGATTTCACCGGTTAACGGATAAAATCGAAAACATATGAATTTAACGGGTCGGTTGCTCTTGAGGGTGTATGACTTTGTGATATCGTCTTTTATTGATTCCTCACTCCGAACAAAAAATACGTTTCGCGTTGGCCGCTATGGAGGCATTAGAGGCCACGTAGGTGACAACTTTATGTACACCGATTGACTGTGTGATAGGAAGAACGAGAAATTGTGCATGAACAACTACGGTCACCAATTTTATTCAATAATTGAAAAATAAGTTGCCAGTTTTTTTAACAGATATCGACCCCACTCGTCTTTCTTTCGTAGTTTCTAAATGCCAGTTTGAAAAGTACCCGTAAATCGCTCAAAAACTACGACAACAGAGTAGTGCTGGAACATTCACATCACGATGTATTTACCTACCCTTGTAATTGAAAGGCTCGCTTCAATAACTGACAAAGATTATTAAAAGACGTGATATGTGGGTCTACGGAGAAGCACCTCTTGACTCCTTCACCATCAAATTTTCCATCATATAACTGAAAAAAGAAAAAATAATAACAATTAGTAGATTAATTTGTTAAGGGAAATGGAAAGTTTAAATGAATAAGTAATTAGTTGAAAGCAAAAGATCATTCCACTATTTTACAGCAATGCTTGTGGGTTTTTACACGTACCACTGCTTTTACACGAATTGCTTCGCGATCTTGCAAAGCATTTCCCGGTAAGGATGACATTCAAGAACTTCTTCCGACACAAATATCGTCACGAACATTAGCGTACGTCTTTAGAATACATTAACTTTGACTTTCTTTGTTGCTGAATTGACGTCAACATATTTGCGAAATAAACCGCTGTTTAACAATTTTGCTGGCTTAAAGTTTCAAATTGTGACCAAATTTGGGCATTTCCGGGAAGTTCCCAGGAAACCTAGCGTTGCTGTAATTTGGCCGCCATCTTAATTTTGCAGGAACATCAGTGATCTCCAACTAAAGAGACCTTTGGAAATGGCAGATTTTGACGAGTCCATCTCAGACCAAGAAAAGGTATGGAAATGAACATACTTCCATCGTAAAAGTTATTCATCGTTGAAGTATCGCAATTGACGAATCGATGTGGTTCCACCAATTAGGTGCGGATAGCTTCTGACTTCATCAAACACGCCCCACCAGGAGAATTCAACGAAGTCTTCAACGGTAGGCATGATTTGCAAAGAAGTGTTTTGAGTTTTAATTTATTCTACTTTCAGATGAGGACTGTTTTTTTATTGTAGATGTTCGCATTTTGTTGAACAACGACAGTCTGTTGAAGGAGAAAGCTTCAAGGTTGGTGTGTGTGATGTTCAACGGTTAACTTAAACAAGTTTTTCTTATTTTTATAAATTCTAGCTTAACGTCATAATACTCGATCACTTATTTGCATTTCATACAAAAAGTTTAGGGACTTTCGCATCTTACCTGAATAATTTTTAACACAGTTATAAATGTGAAAGAATTGTCCAAGTATTACCCGATTATCTTCCTTCACGCCTTTTCTGGTAGACAGTGCATGTTGTTTAGAAATTAAAACTGAAATGAATTGCTCGTGATGTACTGATAAACTAAAAACTTTTAAGGAAAAACAGGTGTAAAACATGGATCCTTTGTAGGGCCTCAGTAGTCATGTACTTGATTTAGGTTTTGCAAAACATGTCGTTGCTCTTAATTGCTTCTCAAAGTCCTTGTAAAAACGTATCGTAGCTTGGCACTGAGGAAGTTCCAATGTGAAGATGTTACCATCTTATGTTACTTCACATAATATCTGTACATGTATGTTGGTCGCAACTAGATGTTTAGACCATACAAATGAAAAGAATGAGTACTACATCAGCACAGTTGTAGAACACGAGCAAAAGAAGCTCGTGAGTTCCTGATTGTTTTCAACTCCTTATGCAGGGCCTATTGCAGGGTTAAGTAGAAAATTAAAAAGTTTGTGAGATTTTAATATGTAAGATTTTTGGGGTTAGAACATTTACTGTGTGGGAATTGTCCAATTTTTCTGTGACATGTTTTAATTGCATTTGTAGTACTTTGCTGTGCTTTTTGTTTCCCATATGTTAATTGTACCTTTGCTTGTTTCTGTAGATTCAGTAGGGATTATGATTAGTAGTATATTTGTATTAAGCAATTGCAATAAATGAAAATATAATTTTCTTTTCTTCGGTTGCTGGTTTTGTCAACAGCTCTTTTTCAGCCTATAATAAGGAACAGTTCACACCAGTGAAACTTGAAGGTGCAAATGAACAGGTGAGTACATAACTCACTGGAAATTTTTGTTACCCCTGAATCTCAAGGTTTTATCCAAGCTTTCTTTGTAACTATTTTGTTAGGCCCTGTGTTGTTTTTGTGTTCATAACAACAGAATTGAAAAAAAAAAGTTTCTCTTTGACATATTTTAGGTTTTATATATCAACATTTACTTGATTTAGGAAATTTGTGCTTTTATGCTCATTTTTCCAAGGAATTTAGAGTTGATTATCAATGTTAATACACATGGTATGTTTTCTTCCAACACTGCCTTTCCTTTTAATCTTAGCACTTTTCTCTGCCTTTAAAATCAACTCTTTAATACTTAAAATTTCTTTTATTATGATAGTATGTAAAAGAAATGATTTTCCAAGTATGTACAATACCAGAGTTGTTGATATCAGTAATATCCTAAAGGTATTGGTGACCAGACATGGTGAACTATCTGATGGAAGGTTTTATGATCCTCGAAGTAAACAAAGCTTCCAGTATGACCACTTGCGTAAGGTAAGAGCTATGTCATTTTTTTGCAGTTGTGTATTTCCTTCATCATTATTTCTCTTTCTACAGACCACAGTCTTTGTATTTTGACAAACTGTATTTGTCAGAATTTGTTACATTGCCATGGTTAACCAGCCATGGAGAATGTTCCATCTGCATGGATGGGATACTCACCTCCACCTAAGCACTTTGTTAATTTACTTGTATAACAGACAGATGGTGTCAGTTGATTTTGTGGGAGTTGAAGTTGTCAATAAGTTTGAAAGTAGAAGGCAAATAAGAAGTATTGAACAGTCAGGTTATTGTTGGCACAATGTTGTTTGGTTTAGATAACATGTAAGAATGGGAACTATTAAGTCAAAGTGCCAAGGGGCTTTGACAAAGTTTGAAGAAACCTATGAGCAAATCCTTAATTTTGAATTTATTCATATATTCAAACCTGTTGCTGATAAATCTTGCATTCAATCCCATTAGAATCTGGGAAATAGCTGTTGAACAAATATATCCTATAAGTATTTCAATGGTTACATTATTGTTCATGAGCAATTATGTCAAAATGAGGTGAAAGTGGCTGGCTTGAGATGGTAGACTAGTTAGTGGTTTGGTTAGCTACAAGCCAGAAATGTTTAACCTTTTTTATTTCAACAAAAATCATTATGTAAATCTCCACTTCTGAACATTTTTACACCCATAGTCAAAAAGAGCTCAACATACCGGGATGTTCTTATTTACTGGAATGAAAACTTGGCAACCTCTGATATCCTGTAAGCTACTGGATCTCCTAACTGAACTAGATGGACCTTTAATTGTCTGAAAAATACATAGGTTTATTGTTTTGTGTTTGATTTAACAGGAAGCAAGTAATCCTAGTGCACACAGTGCTAATCCAACAGCTGAAGCATGGAGGGCAGCTGTTGAAGAGAGTGTGACAAGTTATGTCAGAGAGCATTACCCTCATGGAGTCTGTACAGTACGTCAACTTTTTCCTTTTCTTTTGTTAGGTACAGAGTAGTGAAAACTGGCAGAAAGACAGCTCTCATGGCACAGCCATGATTGAAAACATTACTGGCCAAGAGTGATTGAATTGTGCATTTGGCTGGATTTATCAGTTTTTGGCTGCATCTATGGTGCACAATCAAGTCAGGATTGGAAAAAGTTCATATAAATAAGCATTAGTGAATGTGCAGAAATTCTAATTTTCTAGAGTGTTCCGCCCTTCTCATGGCTTCTGTATTCATGAGTTTAGCTCCCTCTTGTATTGCATGTTCACACTATTTGATGATTAAAAATTACAAAATATTGTGGGAAATACTAAATTTGTTTTCTCCACTTTCCATTTGTAGAGTCTTTTGCAAAACTCAAACTTCAATCAGTTCAAGACTTCATCCCTCTTACATTTTAGAAAATCCAGGCCTGAGGACTAAATTTCAATAAACTTTCAATGTATTTGCTGACTGTTCGCCAATATATGTTTCTTAAGGAATTGCATCCTCTTGTTGAAGGTGAAAGTGTTTGAGTTATATTTATGTTACATTTGAAGGTCTATGGAACTATGTCTGGTGGATCAATCAAGTTGATTGTTTGTATAGAGGATCACCAGTTTCAACCACAAAACTTTTGGTAAGAACAGCTGTCAATGAGATATCAATTTTAATTTGCAATTTTTTGTACCCATATCTACCTCATACATAGATGATAGTGATAAATACAGTATAGATGGAAACTGGCTCTCACTCTGCCTTACCTGAGGTAGGGGAGAGGTGTAAATGTTTTTCCATCTTCTGGGAGTTTCTTTTGTTTTGCACTTCAGTTTATCATTAGGAACCAACAAACAAGGTTGTTGTTCTCTGTGGTACTTTTTTGGTACCCTTTTCCACTCAATTGTGCTCCAAGGCTGGTGCAATAACTTGCTCCCTTTCTTTTTCAACAGGAATGGTAGGTGGCGTTCAGAGTGGTCTGTGTCATTCCAGCCATCAGGTGGAAGCGTGGAAGTCACTGGTGTCCTCAAAGTGCAGGTAAAAGAAACAGATACTACATTGTAGCCACAAACAATAGTTTTTGATGGGTATATAAGTGTCCTTCTTTCATATGAACTGAAATTTGTAAAATTATAATAACTTCTCCTAAACTTGATTTTCAATATATTGCTAGTATATTGCCCATCACAGTTTGCTTTCACTTTTTTTTATCTCTCAGTCTTTCCCTAACTCATCATTTATCTCCAAACATTTTATTTTGCGTTAACCCATGGAGTATCTACTATAATTTTTAGCTATAATTTTAGAGCTGTTTTTTCCCCCAAGGATTTTTGTCATGAGATATGTGGGCAAAATACTCTAGGTCCTTATTTAAACACAAATAGGAAGCATATGAAGTGAAATGTTCAAGATATACTCTTAATTTATGAGTGGAGGGTTTTTAGGAACAATTGGATGTCAGTAGATTTACATGTGATGGTGTAGGAAATTTAGGGACTCAAATAATTCTACCCCAGGCCAAGGTGATGAAATTTAGGCAAGCAAGGTCTTATAAACAATAAATAAACAAACTAAGTTGACCTCTTGCTGTGTAATGCTTAGTTGTTGGTCTGACATCAGTCTGTGGTTTACTTGTTTTGTTTGTTTGTTTGTTTGTTTTTTTAAATTTCTTACTTTGATGTGATAATTTCCTGTTTGGAAACTTATAGGTTCATTACTATGAAGATGGCAATGTTCAGCTTGTGTCATCCAAAGAAGTGAAGGAAAATCTTAAAGTAACAGTAAGTGAAGAACAGCCCATGTAGTGTTCTCTGTAAATTTGTTAGATGAAATTGTGTTAAATGAGCATGAGTTGTAGGGCCTCTTACAGTAAGTAGACTACTCAAAAGTAATTTGACAATCCCTTGAAATTTGATCCTCGATCCTCGATTCTGGAAAGTAATGAGGAACAAGTTTTGAGGATAGAGTTTTGAGTGGAGACTGTTAACTTACTTTTGAGGGGTGCAGTATGTCCACTGGAGTGTGCAAGGCATTACACTGTACTGCATGCTTTCTAAAAGTTGAATTTTTAGACTCAATCAACAATATTTATAATATAGCTTGTAAATTTGTGTAATCAAATTCAATTGCACGAGCATGCTTCATGTTCCTATTGTGCATGCTTATGATGTTAGCAAACAAATCCCTCGAGAAAAATAAATTTTCCAGCAGGTTGAAAATGTTATAAAACAATTGGTTCATATGTCAGCTGTGCATTCATCAAGGTATGAAGTACTTGGGAAGTTTGGAGAGCACTCAAGAAGCTAGAGTTGCTCAAGGCATAGTTGAGAGCAATTCTTATGCATCTTTCGTGCTTTCCAAACTTCCCGCATGCTTCATATCTCAATGAACACACACTGATGTATGAACCAGTTGTTAATTTAGACATGAAATTAGAAGTCTGAAGTACAAAAAATATTTCCAAAGTTTGACTTTGTGAAAGTAGGGGAAAGCAGTCAATCAAGAGAAAGAGGCAACTTTCCAAATGCAACCTACCTCCATTCAACTGATGATGCAAGTCAGTTTTACCTTCATGTCATCAGCTGCAATACTTACCTATCATTCATTAGTTTATCTGTTTTCAAATGTTTTCTTTTTCAGATGTAGACATTGACACCACTCTTTTAAATTTGCAGAGTGAAGCTGGGACAGCAAAGCATTTTTTACAGATAATAGACACTGCAGAAAGTGACTACCAGGTATCTAACTCATCTACAGTAACTTGTCAGTTGGCATGTTAGGGAAAGTGTGTTTTGATGCAAAACAATAACCAATATCCTGTAGTTCCATATTGTTTTTTTGTATTGTTTATTTGATTATATTAAAAGTGGGAATGCTTTTACTTTGCCTTTTGCAGAAAGCGCTCTCAGAAAACTACACTACCATGTCACAGACTACTTTTAAGGCTTTACGAAGGCAGCTTCCCATTACACGAACCAAAGTTGACTGGAACAAGATTCTTGGTTATAAGATTGGACAGGAACTAAAAAGTTCTTAAGGCAACATCACCAAAAGTAGTCATTGGAATTACCTTTTTTATAAAAAAAGAGTCCACTTTGGGCTCTGCATGCTGTTACCAATCTACTAAATGGTTGTAACTGAAATATTAAGTGTAGAATAGCTTTACCACTGGTAGATATTTGAATAAAGATTTAAAGTGACTTTGGTTTGTTGGAATACAGTTCATACTTATGTGTACCAAACTTGCATAACAAATCTTTTTTTTCTTCCAAATTAGAAGTTGATTCTTGTAAGATAATTTTAAAGGAAGAAAATTGAGCTGTTTAATATGTACAGACAGTTGAGGCAGATTAATAAAAGTTATTGGAAAAGCGGTGCATTTGTCTTGGTTTCATGACATGCTAATGTAGACTGGGTCATTTACTTTTTCAGTTGCTCTAAACACCAAAAGAAAACCTAAGAATGAAGCTGTTATATTTAAAAAGCAAAGGAAAGTCAAACAAGGTGCTCAGTTAGTAGCACAGCCTTGGCTACTCATGTTGGTTTCATAGTAGAAAGGTATAAAAACAGGGAGGCGATAAATAGTTTGCAGGACTTCATGTTGTACCTATTGATTGCCACAGCTTGTCAGTGTGAAGGCCATAGGAAATCCCTTTCTTCTGAGTAGTTAACTTTGGATTGTGAGTGCTTTTAAACACGGCAGGGTGAAAGTGAGGAGAACATCAAAGGTTGAGGGGAATCAAACCTCACTGTTTCTGGTTTGTAATACCTCCCAACTATTAAAAATTGTTTCCAGGGTCCTTTCTCTTCTTCCTGTAAAGAGTGAACGATGACAGTCATTGAGAGGAAATGATTTCTTAATGCCAGCTGAAATAGAAATTTAGCAATGGTTTCTTGGTGTCCAATGATTTTGTTTTCACTGGGAGTTAGTGAGTTTTGACCTGTGACATGTGACACATACAGTTTGCAGGAAATGGAACACTTAACACTGTGTTGATGGGACAAAGGACTAACACTCCAAACGTCATCTTTGAAACTCTTTATGGTGGCCAATTCACATTATCAACTCATTTGGTATTACTAAACTATCCTTTCAATCCAGGGTCCAGTGAACCAACCATAAGGCCACTGTGCCTCTTATACATAATCCTTTGCACCCTAATGTCAGTACACATTTTCTGTACTGTCCTTCATACATTTTCTGAGGTGCTCAGCTGACAAGGAGAATTTGTTTAATAATCAAAAGCTAAAATTGGTGATCATTTCCTTTATCATCCTCACCTTCATCTGTGATTTATTGGCGACATTGTAAGGAGAAGTTAGATCTTAGTCACTCATGTGGTCAAAGGAATATACCAAATGTCTTTCATTTAAAAGATAGCTGAGAGACAACCACAGAAACAGCCTGTTCATGGAAATATTTTACTTTTATTAGAATAAAACAAAAACTTACATATTTACAGATTTGCTTTGTTAAGTTTAGCATTTTTGCCTGGAAAAAAGCATACAATACAGTTTCAAACAATGCTTTTATCCATAGAGGTATTCAGAGATTGATCTCTGTACATTCCACATGTTCCCAAGTGTTCTGAGAACTTTTGGCTCTTTGCATGAAAACTTGTAGGCATGGTATGAACTGTTGGACGATGACTCCTACAAGGAAATTGAAAAATTTTAGTAGGTTAGTAGAAGTTTAAAACAGACCTTTAGCAAACCATGACTGCAATGGCAACAAGAAAGTGGCAAAGCAAAAGGATAAATGAGCAGGACAAAAGCTTAGTTATGCCTATAAGCTTCTTTAATTTCTTAGGTTTTTGCTGATAAATAGGCTGTAAAATCAACAACTTTGGCCTTTTCTAAGAAAGACAGCCCCAATGATGAATCATTTTTACACTTTTATTTGGAACTACTCACAAATAACTACATATGTAAAAATTACTCACCCATACTCCATCCCACTTGTCATATACATCGGGTGTTGCTTCTTTGTTTTGTAACCATCAAACCAATCTAGAGAAAACACTTTTATTAAATACTCTGCAAGAATGTCATATTAGGCACAGCACTCCCTAAAATCCCTTCATATACTGCATATAATGATTTGACAACTATTGAGCTTTTAAGTGAGGCAGTGCCCAATATTAGTTGAAGACCTCTTTTTGCAGAACTCTCGTGAAAAAAATTTTGAAAGAGTGTTGTGACTTCTACTAAACTAGGAAAAGCATTTGATCAAACAAAATGCGTAAAAAATACTAAATGGTTCAAGACGTTCAGTATTTCACAGATTGTATGACACCCACCTCCTTCCTGAATCTCTTTTGTTGTTGGGTTAATTAACTGAACTTCAGTAGGACAGGAGAAAACAGGGTTGCCTGGGTTATTAATTAGATCTGGAAGACACAATAAAACATACCCGGATTATTAAACCGCTCAGGAATGTTGAAAGTGCGGTAATAGTCAGAGGTAATGGCACCTTTTCCTGGTTTGGTCTGCTCAAAGTCATATGCTGTCCCTCCTGGAACTGGGTTACTTTCTGTGGCATCCTGAAATAAATGAAAGTTTACATGATAACTTTAATCTATTGTGAAAAATGAAATAAAGCAAAGGCAAGTTGTTGATTATAGGGCAAAATAATGATAATTTCTCTAGAGAGTAACTGTCTACCATCTAGAGAAATAAATGCCATAACACAAAGTAATTTAGAGTTTCAGGAGAACTTTCCTAAAGAGAAAACTTGATAACTTTTAAAGTAGAACACTAAGGTTTATTTTCCTGTCAAGCAAAGCTAGCATGCTAGAAAAGCAGAGCCAAAAAAGATGTAAACTGGAGTAATTTACGGTTTAAAGATTTGTACGGTAAATTTCTGTGGCAGTATTTGCTTAACATTTTATAGTAAAAAGTTGTGAGATTAAGACGTTTTGGTGACTACATGTCACCATCATCAAATGTAAAATTATTACAAGTTCAGTGATGTTATATAAAAGAAGGAAGTGTGAAGCTAAATTTGAATAAAATGAGATGGAGTAAAACAAAAGAATGCACATGATAAAATGAACAGTTTCACTGGAATAGAGTCTTTTTGAGTGTTCAGAGTTGGTGTGAACACTGAAAGAGACTGACTCTGAACACCCAAAAGGACTAATTAACCTGGTTTACTTAAAAATATAGTAGCACCCCCCTGACTTGAATCACTAGAACAATGGTATCCTGTTAATAATGACAAGGGAATCATATTTTTACCATACTTGCACAATCAACAGTCATTTTCATACAATTAGTTTGTTTCAAGTGTTTTCCTTTAATAGGGATGTTTAGGGTGGGAAGTTAAGCCAGATGTAGTAGGTTTTGATAATTGTGTTTAAAGATTGGGATGTGTCAATCAGCTATGTATTGACACTTTGACATTTATTAAACAACCTTTTTACTTAGTTCAAGTTACCACGGTAAATTTGAGCCAAGGGAAAGCAAAATTAGTTTGAGTTTACCAGGAATTTGAGTTGGCTGACAGTAAATGACTGGAAAAAAAGGGGACAAATCCTTTGAAAATCGGATCTTGTCTAAGTAAGCCGAGGGTTCGACTTAACCAGGTTCAAGCAGGATTCTACATACTATACAGCTTTTATTTTAGGTCTTATTACTGCATGGCAACAAGAATTAAGTCAATAAAAAAATTCAGAAAAGCAGATCGTACACCATGCATATGTCTGTCAAGGTTCTTGGACTATCACTTCGCAAGTATTGGATCCATACCAAGTCTCTGGTTGGTATGGACTGCCAGCTTTAAATATCACTTTCAATACTGTAGTGTGAACCCACCGTGCATCAACAATAAACATACTTATATGCGGACAACTTTCTACATAAAAATCCTTATAAAATTTAACTGAAAAAGCAACTTAATAATATCACTGAGTGTAATTTCATAACTGTATTTGGCTCCAGTAGTACAGATGAGTGAAAAATATTCTGCGTCAAAAATCAATACGACGCACCGCGTTCGGGAACGTTAAGCTTGCACCGATAAAAAGGTTACTGATGGCTTTACTTTAAGAATATTGTACATAATTCCTGTTGAATTTCGTCTTAGAACTGGGATTCTATCATTATTCGACGATGGTTCAAAATCTAAGTGAATACAAACTATTAACATGTACCAAGTAAATGAACTTTAGAGAAGCTTATCTTCCTTCACGAAACATCTAAAATCAAAAGGGCCTAGTGATACGCAAAAAAGAAGCATTAATATATATATTTTTTAACTATAGAATCTGACTTTCCTACCTTCTGTTTCTCTGGAAGGTTATTTGTTCCTGAAGCCATCGTTAACTAACGAAGAACGGCAGCGAAGTAACTCTAATGGGAGCAACCGAGCAAACCAACCATCGATGTGGGTCTTTGTTGCTATGATAACGAAGTGAAGAATCACAAGACAGTCGCGAGCCTCATTCTCATGGCGAGAGCCAAGTCTCTTTCATGACCCTCCATAGCAAAAGAATCTTGTCCGGTCTTGTCCATAGATATCTTCACCTGGGAATGAAGTGTCTACATAATTCAGAAAACTTGTGGAATTTGTGAACTGACTAATCTTTATCTTTTTCTAGGAATTATCTTTTAAAATTTGTCTTTATTTTCGAATGCAATCTGGTACAGGTCGGTACATGTAGTTGTGAAAATTAAATTTAAACTTAAGTTTACTTTTCTTTCATTATTTCTTCCAAATAAATTTATTTATTTATTGATTGATTTATAATTTTATTCGTGTATCCTTCTTTTACCATTTCTGCTTCTTCTCGCTTATCAATTTATTTAATCATCAATTCGTTTATTTATTTTGAGAGAGATATTAGAGCCGACGCTCCTCGGGTGAGAAAGAAAACGAAGGTGTAGTTATATCGTTAATAACTTACAAAAAATTCAAAACGTGATTCCTCATCAGAAGCCAGATTTTTGCAGGTAACCATACGATTTCGAAAGCAATTTGAAATATCTAATCAAAGGAGTATATAACCAAGTTTCAAAGCCAACGAGTGCAATTTGTAGTCTTTGAAAAATTTTATTAAAAAATTCATACACTCGAAATCATATGGTTACCAGTACAGTGTATGGACCATGCTCGTGGCTGGAAGGTGTAACACGACAGTTCACCTGGGATACCTGTGTATTTGGACACCACGCGTCGCAGTTTACTTTTGCCTAGAGAAAAGTCAACTGTTTTTCCGTTCATGAGTAAGTTTTTGCGATGGGTATTGAGTTCCTTGAGTTGTTTCATAGTTTTTATCAAATGGTAGCAGGACAGTTCGAGTCTATAATTCAGGCCGTCTGTAATCGTGACCATGGAAAGAGTGGTCCCGAGTTATGATGATCCACTCTAGAGCCCTCAAGAGTTCGATTTACTGGAATTTTTGAGATCCAATGAGGTAAGTGATGAGGCAGACGAAAGTTTGCTTTTAGTAAATTCGTTGAACGTCTTGGCTCAAAATCATAGTACCAGCCAGTAAGTGAACCTTCTGCCTTTTCCCGTTGTATAGATGAAGAGATTGGCTCACACAATTCGATAAAAAGTTGGAATCAATGTCAATATCCCAGCAACTGCGCACCTACTGTTTTCTTGAGGAATAGGTGTTGTCTTCTTTCATTTACATTTTTCCATTTATTTCACTGAATGATTAAAAATCTTGATTAGCATATAACTATACATAGGTTGGCATTTCAAGTCTGTTCAGTCGAATCGGATATCAAAGTTAGAGAAAAGTTATAATTTGCCGTTCTTTTTAAATACACTGACCAGAAGAAGATTAGTCTTCCTACTTCAGTGCACGTTATCGAGCATAACACATGTAATGATTAGGAATTAGGAATTAGGATTAATTTTGATCGAATAACTGCATACTAAAGCTTGAATTTATTGATATACGGTTTGTGGTTGTCTCTATCTCAGCTAACCCGTTCCACGAGGAAACACCTACCACGCCTCTAACTCAACGACAACTAAACTGGTTAGGGTTTATGTTGGGCTAGGGGAGGGGAAGGTGCACAGTTCCCTCGCTTCCGTTTTACCTTAGGGGGGAGGGTACGGTTACACGTGGGCTAAGAAATTGACATTACTCTAAACGTTGTTTATAACATAGGAAATGTTCCAAACCTTGCTTGCCTACTGTGGCTCCTGGTTTTAATGTTGAGATTGGAAAGCTAACAGTTTTGAGAAATAGGGCCTCCAAAAGGGGATTGAATTGAAATGAAAAGGAGATAGACAGAACAGCGCGCTTTGGAACCACGATAACACGACTGAAATCACGAAAACTCCAAATGAACCTGACGAGTATATGAATGTGATTCTTGTAATGCTTATTTTACAATACAAAATTCTAATTGTGCCCAGTTTTTCAAAGGATGGATAACGCTATCCAACAGATAAATAACTATCCTCCATTGGATAAGTGTTCAAAAAAATCTATTGCGCTATCCGCTGGATAGAGATTTATCCAGAGGAAAGCGTTATCCAACGCTTCGAATAACGTTCGATCCAACGGGGCCAGCAGACCTTTTCCGTTTTGGGGAAGCGAAGATCATAATTTGTAAAACGCTATCGCGAAGAAAATTAACTTAGAATTCGAAGGGTACCAAACGTTTTATTCTGAAACTCAAAATCTTTAAGGAAAGTATATTGTATATCGAAATTTACTACGCTAAATCTGGGTTTACTTTGTATCATCAAATAAATTCCAGACTCGTTCTTTACAGAGCTCTTCATAGCATATATGTTGAAGAACAATTTTTGAAAACTGGTATTATCACCCCAACGATAACATAAAACCCTAACAGTCTGCCAGCAAAACTATTATTACAGTTTTTGCGCAATTATTGTAAAAAGCACTTTCCCATTCACCTGATTTTAAACTTGAGCCTGAGTGAAACTGCTGTAAACATATTGTTTATCTGCTATGACAGACTGCAAGCAGTGACAGATAGTCTCTGCAAGAGTTTTAAATCAGCTTAATTTATCCCCAGAAGCTACCCAGAACCTAGCCACTTCAAACTACCAAAAAGCTTATGTTAAAGACCTGAATATTTGGCTTTTCCGTGACTGGAACAGCGAAAGCCCATATCGTCTTCACTTTATAATAACAAATTCTGACTAAACAACAATAAACTTTTTCCAGCAACAAGTAAGGATTTAACTTTAAAAAGCACACATTTCGCGATACGATCATTTTGAGACGTAGCTTAACAGTTATGGTACTGAATGTGAAAAGTAATATATGTACAAGCGTTGAACATCACAGTGGCGGGCCCCAATCAGTCTTCCAAAGAGGAGAAGTCCTCTCCTTCCCACAGAGCATTCACTTCCTGCTGCACTCGGCGATCTGATAAAGAAAAATTCATAAAATTAACGTGATGGCTGCATCTCACACAGTCTGAACAGATTTACGGTCGTAAAAACGTTAGTTTTAGTTGTAAGGCAAGAATAATCTAGTTTGTGTTGAAATGACTGAGGTTGTATCGAAACGACTCTCTACGTGTTTCAAGTTGATCATGTTGATGTGGCGAATCGACCGGACTTCATCTGAACTAGACTAAACTGTCAGTTCCACAGTGTGAAAATTAAGATTCTTAAAGGTAAAACTATACATCCTTTAGAAAGATAAAGTTAGTTTTCAAGAGGTAATGAAAAGTCATTCAGGCATCTTAACGTATTCTTTAGTTTTAGGTACGGATTTGCAAGTGCACTTTGGTCCATAACTCTCAGCTAGTCTGTAAATTCGCTTGTCGTTTTGTCTTTTTTACTCACATATCTCATCAAATGCCTCCACGATTTCTCCAAGTGCTTCCAGCCGTTCATCTAAGTCTTGCATCTCTTTGGTGTAGATGTCAAATTTTTGATTCTTTTCGGCTCTGGCTTGTTTGCTCTCGGAATAAGACTCCTCATATTTCTTCAACTTCTCGACAATTTCATCAACGACAACTTTCAAGGCAATTTTAGCCTTAGCTTTCCTTTGTGCTTTCAGAGATGTGATCTGAAATAAAAGAAAAGACATTGAAAGAAAGAACTCCGTGTAGTCAAGAATTGTTACTTACGAAGCTCATTCAATCGTTATTAAAAGCCTTAAAATACTGCTCTTGTTGCCCCACTGAAAATTATGTTCTACACGTGTAGCTAAAGGGTAGTTTTAAGTAGAAATGAAAGTCTAACCCACCGTATCTTTGAGGAATTTAATGTTCTTATCGCAATCTTCAATGTGTTGCTGGCATTCAACAGCAGCTGCTGCCGTCGCATCTCGCAGTCGTCTGTGAGCCATAATGTCCAGTTTGTGCAGCTCACGCTCTTCTTTCTTTTTGCTTTCCACAGAAGCATCCATTAATTTACTGGAACCATCTAACGAAAAAAAAGGGAACAGAAAGATCTCGTGACTTGTCTCAGTAAAGTTCTGCTGCTGTAAGCCAAAATTCTGTTTCTGTTTCCTTTTCGTCTCGTCTTTAAAAGAAAATCTAGCCTTAGTTGATTCAAACAATAGATAAGAGCAGTTTTCAATGGGTATCGATCGTGATTCTGGATTGCTTTGGTTTTGCTTTAATTCGCTATGTGATTGGTCCAAAAAACTCGCACCACAATCTCAACCAATCAAATGGAAAACAAAAACCAATCTCAGCTTGGTCACTCGCGTTTTCCCGCTCGTCAAGCAGGTTGCCCCTTTTACTTTGAGTTCCCATTGGTTAATGATGATGTTTAACCTTTGTTTCTGATTAGTTGTTGTGATTACCTTAGTTTTGGTTTTTTGACAGTCAATTGAAACTACTCTCACTCCAAGATAAATTCTTTTGATACAAAGAGGTCTAGAGCAGTTTTCAATCAAGTCTCCGAGTACCATAATCAGAGTAATCACAACGGCAAATCAGAACAAAGGTTAATATCATCACAAGCCAATGAGGGCTCAAGAAAAACAGGCGAACTACCAAAAGCGCGGGAAAACGTTAGTGACTAAGTCACGATTTGTTATAGCAGGTAATTTAGTGTTAACAACTGAATTGAAAACGTAAATTAGCCACCGTAAAGAGTAAAAAAGCTGACGTTTCGAGCGTAAGCCCTTCGTCAGAGCGATTGAACGAAGGGCTAACGCTCGAAACGTCAATTTTTTTACCCTTTACGGTGGCTAATTTACGTTTTCAACTCAGTTGTTAACACTAAATTACCTGCTATACTCTCCCACCGACGCAGCACCACAGTTTCTTCAGAAACTTACCCCCTTTACACGATTTGTTATAGTTTGGCATTTGATTGGTTGGTAGAGTGGCCCAATTTTCCCGACCAATCACAAAACGAAGTAAAGCAAAACCAAAGCGGGATTACTTGGGACCCTCAAACGGGAACTGCTCTATCAAGTTATTTCTAGGATAATTAGTAAGTTGTCTGATTGCTTAGGTTTAGGGTTTGGTTAGGCAACAATAATATCAAAGAATTAACTGATTTTTTTTTCATAATAATCAATTAAGTTCAGAAGTAGGGTTTAGCGTAAATGCTGTTCTTAATGGTGTGAGCAGCTTTGTACCAATATTGACTCGGTAGGAAAAAAGTAGAAATTATTCCATGGTAAATTCACGACACAAACAAACTAACCGCAGCACACGATGCTTCCTGTATCATGGAATTACTTTGAATCATAGTCATTCAGATTGGGAGCCACTGTACTCATACCTCTAAATTCTTCCATAACATGGAGAGCAGCCTGACACCTGTCTTGTAACTCTTGTATTTGCTGACGCCACTTCTCCAACTCTTTTTCGGCTTCCATTGCTGTCTGATTGACGAAGAAAATAATTATTAGCAATCTACTGTGAGAATTAACAATCGTCAAGTGATACACAGGTCTTAGAAAACACTGTGAAGTTGATTACTCTGTCAACCACTTAATTACCCTATATATCCTTGGAAAACAGGTTGTTCCGAAATAGGAAGACATGTTGAAGTTAATTAATCTCCCAACCACGTATATACCTATATCTCTTAGGTATCCTAGCACAAGCCCGCGGTTTTTTGAATCTGGTTATGAAATAGTCTCCTTGGCAGCCGTTCTTAGACTCGTCACGCAACGCTCCTCTCCACGAAGGCCGTTCGAGGGAGGGATCGTTGCGTGACGAGTCTAAGAACGACTTGCGTAATCTTCACTCCCCTACCCCCGCCTCTCTCTTTATTTCTTATTTCTCCTTACCCTTCCGCTGCCATTAAAATCAAAGATGGCGGCCATAATATTCGTCATGAAATTACTCAGCACTCGCTCGCCAAAATTACGCCTGCTCTGCAGGCTACTTGCGAAGGAGACTAGTAATGAAATGATTGCCTTTGGATTGCCTCAAACGCTTGCCAGCCAGCGAGGATTGTGTAAATTCGTGGTGTTGTGTGGCTTTGGAAGTTCTTTTGGTCGTCGTTTTCATGAATATTCAGATTGACTTAATAATATTTCAATTGGTTAAAATGCATTATATAAACAGCACAAAAGAAAGAGAAAGGCTAAAGGAAACGGAGTTACTTTTAAAAAGTAAAAACTAAGTACAAGAAACGATGATGGTAATTTTTACTGATAATATTTCATATTATCAAGGGTTAATGTTAACTTACTGAGTCTGCTCTCTTCTGGGTATTGTTTTCCTTCTCTCTTTCTTCCTCCAACTTTTGCTCATTTTCCTTGAGAGCATTCAACCGTTTCTGCAGTTCTTCTTGTTCTTTTCTATTCTGTTGTAATTTTTGGCACAAGTTCTGGTCTCTCTGTGTGTACTTTTTGAGGGCAATCTCAGCAGACTCACGTAGGGTGTCAAGGCTTTCAGCTTTAATTTTCAAAAGAAAGTAACGTTACATTGTTTTTTGTAATTTTGGGCTGGATTACGATATTAATCATCAGTTAAGAAACCAAGTTAAGCAACTAATTTACCAAATAAATGATCAATTATTAGCTGTAATGAATGATTGAATCAATGAATGAATAATTGACTGACTGACTGGCTTGCTCACTGACTGACTGACTCACTAACTGATTGATAAGCTGACTTACTGACTGACTGGCTGATTGGCTAACTGGCTGATAGGCAGAATTACCAACTGACTGACTGGCTGTCTGACTAAGTGAATTATTTGTTCTGATGAAGGGCAAATAATTTCTCTAAATGTCAGCTTTGAAACTCTTGACAGTGGTCAATTTATATTATCAACTCAGTTCATAAAAGCAAAATGACTTTTTGCCTGACTGACCAAATTTGCTGTCTGAGTGAATGACTTACTATCTGACTGATTGAATGACTGACTAAGTGGCTGAAAAATGGCTGACTAAGTGGCTGGCTGACTCACTGACTGACTGACTAAATACCTGGTTGGCTTCTTGGCTATCTGACTGACTGATTGACTGACAGTCTGACCTGCAGACAGACTAGCAGGCTGGTTTGCTGAATGGTAGCAAATATGTATGGATTACTGATTGAAGGATTCCTAAATCAGATTGCTTTGTGAATGAAAAGTTTACATTAGTGATTGATTGCTTGAAAGATTTGCTAATGATGTACCTATCTTAGCCACATCAGCTTCACAGTTGTCACTCATTAATTTCAGCTCCTCAATTTCTCTGTTAATTTCTTGTTCAAGTTCTTCACTTTTGTTGAGAAACTTCTGCAAAGTCTGTGCCTCCTCTGTCTTCTTCTGTCTCTCTAGTACTTTTTTGACATCTTCCTTTCCTTTTGTCATGGCTTGTTCTGCAATATAACAGGTGCTGCATTTAGAGCTAAAGTATATTTATTATAATGCTCAAGTACTATCAACTGTGTGAAACATGTAATGTAATGGTATACAAACAGGTTGTGAAGTAATTGTCTACAATTCTCTATTCTTCTTAGTCATGATGATGCTGATCTATAAATAGAATATTAAATACTGAACCAGAAATTTGTTCTAGACCATTCTAGACATTAAGCTTGAGAGGTTCTTACTAGGTAACTTATCAATAAAGCTGTTTTGTAGACCAAAAGTGGTTAGTACAAAAGTTGATAAAAGAACAAGTGTATTCCTTTATCAACTCACTGGACAAGTTCAAATTTCATAAATTATTAACTTGCCAAAAAGAGATGTATCCTTTTGGTTTATGCATTACTTTATGCAGGTTAATGACCCCAAAAAAAAATTTGGTAGTGGTAATCAATTCTTAATATATCCATGAAAATAATAATAATACAATAATAATCATAATGATAAAACTGTAGAGGATTCCTCCAAAATGGTTCTAGATTTAATGATTTATTTTTTCATTTACCAAGTAAAGTAACTCCTTCCTCTCTCTTGTCAACAGCTCTGTCCATCTCTGTCTTTTTAAGGAGATCATATCTCTCCCTTTCACATCTTTTGAAGTCTGCCAAGGCCTCCACAGTATCATCTGAAAGCTCAAACTTATCTGCCACTCCATGACAGGCCTCCAGAAGAACAGCAAAACAGGATCCCAGCAATTCTGTTACTGCATTCAGGGAAGTTGAATTCTTTGCAGCATAATCAATGGCACCCAAAAGTTTTTCTTTGTAACAAAACCAAACAGCCATTTGAGAAAAGGAAATACAGAAATACCATAAGTTGCAATCTTATGAGTACATTCCTTTATGGAGAAAAGTTTCAAATTTACTAAACTTGATTTTCTCTAGTTTCAGTGAGAAGAAAGCCTAGAGATGGATGTGGTTAATATATTTCAGATTATCTGGGAAACTTGTGCCCTTGGTACTTGACAGGACCCCTGGCACTGGTTGCCCACATAATCACAGTAATCTACCAGCTGTTAAAAACATTTGGACTTTCCAGCTAAATCACATTTTTGTGTTTGCTATCAATAACACTGTTTCTATTAGACAGTTTTGTTTCTAATCACAACAGTTACAATTTCCTCAAATGTGATTGGTGCATTAGCTACTTTATTTTTTGTTATTCTGTAAAGTTGTAATTGGACAGTTAGCTGTAATCAGACACCTGTAATTGGATAGCAGAAGCAGCCAATCACAATAACCATAGCAACATTAACTTATCCTAAAAAAATTTACTGGGGAATTTCTGTAAAGGAGGGATTTTTTTTACTTTAGACATTTTCTCTACTGGACATGTTTGTCCTAAATGTACCGGTATTTGTTTTTCTGGTTATGATTAATTGGTAACAGGACTTTGTGTCATCCAATTCAGTCTGTAATCATACTTGTGATTGACAAATCAGACTCCTTCTTTGTGGTCGTCTGATTTTGTTAATCACTTGTTATGATAACAGACCAAATTGGACTCCACTTGGTCCTATTACCTTTATAAATTTTAAAGAATAACTTGAAATGGCTTCCAAAAGTTGGAGAAAGATCTTTGACAATAATCCAGAAGGTTTTCTCCAATGACTCATTTGAGATTGCCTAGGGAGGACTGGCTATCATGAAATGAAATTGTGTTTATATGATGCATTAGAAGTCATCTGATGCAAAGATGATTGGTACAAAATGAATCTTGGCACTAAAATACAATTATTCCTTTTTGCAATATGTTGTAGAAATGTAAAAGGTTTCACTGATAAAGATTTGAACTTCTTTGTGCACAACACTGTACAATAAAGTGAATTGTAGAGGAATGTAGGAATAATATAACACAATTACAGTTGAGATAATTTGAAATCAAATGACTCCTTAAGAATCTTAATCAGAAATCAATATACCATTAATTACTGAGCACATCTTTTCTCTTATTCAATCATACATACCATTGATCTCTTTTACAATATCATGGAAATCAGCAAAATCTGGATTTGCAAGAATTTCAGAAAGTGTTGTCATATGCCCCTTGATCTGTTCATCTTTGAGAAAATAACAAAAAAAATTTTTCTTTTGTCATATGCTCTGCCTCAGGAAGTTTTGAGCTTCAAGGGAAACAAAATTGGCTGTTTCTGGAGGGGTCTGCAGTCATTAAGTGATTTGTTACATATTAGCTCAATGAAGACACTAGATGATGGAAAGTGACTGAAAACAAGGCAAAAATTTTTACTAAATCATGGGTAAGTGTATGAGAATTGTAAAATGCTTCGATGCAAAAATTCAGAGCCACCTTTAATCACCCTCTTTTCACATGTTGGTCAACATTGCTGGCATCTTAAACATTGCACTGTTTCTCTCTCTGGTCATAGATTCTGCAATGCTACTTGCCCAGAGACGTTTAAGGAGAAACAGTTTTATTACATGTTATGTGATCCAAAATAACTGAGGAAGGAGCATGCACTGTTAGGGAAAACTTCCAGCTATTCAATGAACATACATTGCTGACCATGTCTGAGATCAAGATGGCTGAATGATGGCCGGTCAGTTTTGGGTTTTTATGGACTATAAGATGAAGTCAAGGTTAGGAAAAAGTGCTAAAAAATAAAGAATAGCAAGGCATATTTATTCAAGCTTCTTGACTAAATCAGCTAGCTTGGTTGTAAAGGATTTATAATTAAGGAAAAAGATTGCACCTTGGAATTGCCAAACAAATTCATGAATCTTGAGGTGATTTTGTATGTATTGACTGTTTCAGGATGTGTTTGTGACTTCATTGTTGCCTAAACTGCCAGAAAAGTCTCCTTTTCTTAAGTTGGGTTTCCCATAAGTTACAAAACATTTAACTCAAAATTATGTATAAACACAAGCAAGGTGAAAAATCCATTCTGTGTTGTGATTGGTTACCCAAGTGGCTATAAATGAACAATTACTGGGGTTACCAAACACAACACAGCATTTGCTTTGTTTTGCTTCCATGCTGAGCTTAACTATATGATGAAATACAATCTGGAATTCTCTCCCTCTGAAAAATGACCAGTCCTAAAATCTAGAAAGGATCTTTTCTCACCCAAAACAAATATATGATAATGCATCAAAATGAATAATGATTAAATAATTTAAAAAATATAATAATAACAACAATATTGATAACAAAAATGAGCATCCTACATTTTTAGAATCAATACAAATACATTGATCAAATTTACCAATTTTTGGACGTGACTGCACTTTGTTCCTACTGGCGTCAAGGCCCTCTTGATTACTAAAGTACAAACGCCCCTTGGTGTTTTTAGGGAGCACTTGTGCCTGTTAATAAAAGAAAAGTGATTTGTAACCCTATTATACTTTTAACATTTTGGGATTATAAATATTTTTTAATTACACAATCTTGTACAACTATTTAAAAATTTGAAAATTAAGGTGGCTCATAGCCCTTTTGTTTTTTTTTAATTTATTCTTTTGATGAAGTCATCATTCCACCCTGGCTCATTTTTTCCTTGAAGAATGATATTAGCAAATGCTAAATTACTGCTAGACGAGTAGTGATAATTTTATTTTGATAGAAATGATTACCATAAGAATAGGGCTGCCTGTTCTAAATGGGTGCAAATATAACATGTTACTCCGTCTACCATATGTGAATTTTGATGAACATTGTAATGAGTTGATAAAGATGGTCTGAAAGCATTTTGGAACTTTTAACTGAGATTTAAGAAGGAAAACTCTGAAAGTAAAACATAGAAGTGTAGAGAGACCAAAACAGGTAGAAAAAAATTCAGCTCTGTTTCTAGACTGTGTTTCATTTTGAATGTGGCGATAGCTGATTCTGATTCGATGCTTGCTCTAATTTTTCAGTTGTTAACCAAAATTAGGTACAAAGAGATTATATAAATCTAAGCCAACACTAAAATGAATCACAAATGTTCAAAAATAATACTCAGAGTAGAAGCATCAGATATTGTTGATAAACTAGCCATAGTTAACTCAAGTAAAAAAATTACAACTATTTATTAGATCATAACAAATGAAAGCAAGAAACAAAACAGTAAATTCTACCTCTACAATGTCAGTTCTCTCTGACTCAGTTTCCTGGCTGCTGGCATTTGTTTCCAGAGAGCTATTGACCAGTTCAATACTGTCATCACCATTTGCCGCATCATAAAACACCATCTGGCTTTCGATAGTACAGTTCACTAAAATATGACAATTATATCACCAAGATGGTAAAAATGTGGTTGCGCCTTGAGCTCCTTCAAAGTAGAGTCACTCCATTCTGTTTTTTTTTTTCATTAATCTTATCAGTATTTATTTTTAAATATATTTAATATAAAATTTAAATATATTTTAAAGAGTTCAAGTAAAATAAATATAAGTATTAGAAGACGTAAAAGCCATAGGGACAATCTGTGAAATAGTAGATAACCATAGACGTGAATTCAGTTGAACATTATACCTTCAGAAGGAGAAATTGGTTCTGCCATCATACCAAACATGTCCAAAGTTATACCGTAATGATATACAGTAGTTTGAGTCACATGACTTATAACTTGACACCCCCCTCCCCCCCCCTAATTACTGTTAAAATTTGTGTTTGAACCAAAACACATGGCTGGTAATCAGGTACTTGGCGACGAGGATTAACTCTAAATTCCTACCGGAATGGCAACCTACGGAAAGACAGTTGAATCCAAAGAATCGGAGGAGTCGTGGGCCCAATATATCGAGCGTTTAGAACAATATTTCCGAGGGAACGACGTCGAAGATGCGGGGAAAAAGCGAGCGAGTCCACATCAGCCAGCGAGACCCGCGGAGACAACCATTTTTAAAAAGATCGTCGAAACTCTAGAAAAGCACCATTTACCCAGACCAAGTGAGATGGTGGAGCGTTTTAAATTTCACAGCCGTTATCGCAAAGTAGACGAAGGAGTGGCGACGTATGTGGCAGCATAGTGTAAGCTCTCGGAACATTGTAATTACGGCGAAACACTGTTAGAATTGCTTCTAGATCGTTTAGTCTGTGGTGTAAATAACGAGAAAATTCAGCAGCGATTACTAGCCGAGCCGGATTTGACCCTCAAGAGGGCCGAAGAGATTACCTTGGCGATAGAATTGGCTTCTGTTACGGGAAAATTCACTGATTTTCCGTGTGTTTGTTTGGAACATATTTACGCATAAACTTTTCATGTTTTACCATTTCCAATTTATTCAAGTTCTTTTGCTCTACTTAAAAAAAAAATAGGAAAGCCACAGTAGTTTTGAATTACCAACTATGACATTTTGCTTGTTACTTTGCCTTCATCATACACCTGACTGTATGTCAGTACTTTGATGACCATTACTGTTGAAATTGCGTGTAAATAAAAGCGTTACTGCTCTCCCTGGAAATATACATATAAGTGCTAATGATCTTTGTGGAAAATTGAACATCATAGGTATTCTTCACAAGGAGTTTGGCCTGCCCAATTCACAGCTCTATAACTGGCGGCCTAAGTCACTGCTCATCGGTATCAATCGATCTAAAGGGGTAACAAAAAGTCAGAAACACCCCATCTCACCCTGTATGTTCTTAAGGCTCCATGATTGGCTTAATTTGGAAAGTAGCTTCGAGGCTATTTGTTTTGTTACCTTCTATGGCATATTTTGGAAATCCCACCTTTTACTCATTTCGCCGACTTCCTTTGACCCGTAACTAAGGCTGATTTTAAATATCTTCCCCTGGGGGGATTCTCGTTACTATTCGTTGGAATAAGAATAGTTTCGTGAGCGTATTGTAGAAGTCCCACTTCCCCGCATTCCGCGCTCTCCGCTATGTCCAAATGGCGGCCATCGTCAACGTGCTTTGCTTTACGGCCTCGGGCTCTAGCACGAGCTCTTAGGCACTTAACCGATCGGACGACCGTCACCTTAATCAAGTTTTTTTCCTATGGACGTTTTGTTTCTTTTCTGCGCACTCGTCTTTTTGACCCTAAACTTTTCGCGGGGCACCCCTTTCGCGGGGCACCCCTTTCGCAGGGCACCCCTTTCGCAGGGGTGGGGTATCCTTTGCTTATTGATCCGGTGTTCCCATTGAACCGATTAAGGCTCTCGGCGGCTGGCGCTCCAACACCATTCTCATCTATTCAACCATGCCTTTAACAGTTTGCCTTCATTCTTTGTAAAGTCATCCTACGACATAACCCACTACACCCGCACAATAACTAACACTCCCACTCCTTCTTTTCTGGGTTTAACCGTTGGTTTAGTGTATTTGTGAAATAAAGATATTGACTGCATATTGAATGACAATGATTATGTTGATTTATTGAATAGTGTTCAGAGGCACACTCATTGCAGTACAAGTTATTGTTTGAAAAACAGTGTGAATGAGACCGAACTGAAGTGTAGATTTAATTTTCCACTGGAAAAATGAGAGAAAACAACATCGCTTTTTGAAGCTATTCACACAAAGGATAATAGAAAAAATACAACCTGACAGAAGCTACTAAGAGAAATGATCCCAGACACATTTTGGATTATATTGCAAGTAGCAATCGCTGAGGTATAAACCATGGATTATTAGACAAGAAAATGCCTGGGGTGATACAAAAGGCAGCAACGAAGTTTATATTTCAGAAAGGGAAAAATTCCTCCGAATTATGTACACAAAAGTGTACCAGACTGGCATACCAAACAAGAGGGCATTCAGAAATTTGCAAATGAAGAGCCTTCTAATGAGCCAAGCCCATCTTCTCATTCATGCGCAGAATGGATGATTTTGGCCGACTTATCTTACACAACCTCAGATTCAATGGAAAAAGAACAGATAAAGCATGATTGGCATACAACGTCCTTCCCACACACACCAGCAATTCTCTGAGCATGCTGTAATTTGCAAAATCTGTAATTTGTGAAATGAAAATGTACCAATGATTTGCATAATAGAAATCTATAATTTGCGAAATGGAAATATGCTAATGATTTGCAAAATAGAAATCTGTAATTTGCGAAATGGAAATATGCTAATGATTTTCAAAATAGAAATCTGTAATTTGTGAAATGGAAATATGTTAATGATTTGCAAAATAGAAATCTGTAATTTGTGAAATGGAAATATGCTAATGTTTGCAAATAGAAATCTGTAATTTGTGAAATGGAAATATGCTAATGATTTGCAAAATAGAAATCTGTAATTTGCAAAATGGAAATATGCTAATGATTTGCAAAATAGAAATCTATAGAGCTGTGATTCCTTGCGGAAAACTCCAAAAGCCAGAAGAATGAATTGGTTAGTTCACCATAAGTGTGGATTGCAGCCTGCCCAATAATAATAAAAACAACTGGCAAAAATGAGAAATAAAAAATCTGTGTGGTGAACCTTGTGGAATCTTCAGTACGTTTGTGAATAACTCAATGTGTCACTCAAGTTGCCATCGTTTGGATTACCGATTCAATATTCTCGCTTGTGGAGTTTTCTGCAGGGATCTATTCTCATTTTGCAAATCACAGATTTGCAGATTTCTATTTTGTGAATCATTAGGATATTTTCATTTTGTAAGTTATAGATTCTCATTTCATTTCATTTTCAAGTTTTCACAGCCCATTGCCAGAGCAGTGGTGATGAAGTAGATACTGCTACTTTTAGCAGCATGCAGTCTCTTGCATGGGATTCAGTTAAAGAACATTTTCACAGTCCAATTCCTAAATCTGCACCACACCAAATAATCAATAGCATTGCAGGTACAGGTAAAACTATCTCATAAGTACATTTAAAAGGTTCAGAGGTCTTGTTTAGTATCAGCCATTACTGGAAAAGCTGCCTTTAAGATAGATGGCATTACCGTTCACTCTCCTCTAAATCTCCCTGTTGGCCCTTGATATCAAACATGTCTTAACTAATGAGTATTCCAAGTTGCAGCAGACAATGTTGGTTAGATAGATAAATGCTGCTGGCAAGCAACGGGAATTCAAGATCAATTTTTGGTGGAATATCTTTCATTTTCTTCGGAGAACCATCCAGTTGGAGATAAACCTTTGTATCACAGCATGCCATCAGGAATTATAGCTGAACAAGGCCATCTTAGCTTACTTGATGTTAAATAAAGTAGTTAAATTATCTGTTGATCAGAGAGTGCAAGGAAGAGATACTGCACAATGCATTTTCAGAGATCTGCTCATGCATCTTAGAACTGGTGATTCAACAGAACAAGACCAGAAGCTGTTGCTAATACTCAACACTCATCAGCAGTTCCTAACTTAAATGAATTTTATGACACTACTCAATTATATTACAGAAAAAACAAAGTTGCCAATTACGATTACATCAAATTGTTGGAGTTGAAACAACCAATAGCACATATACATGCTATGTATTCTTCTTCCCTCACCAAAAGTTTACCTCCTGATGAAAAGTCTGGATTAGTAACTAAATTAGTTCTTGCCAACAGCACTATTATTATGCTTACAATGAATTTATGGCCTGAGGTGGGACTTGTAATGGAGCAACAGGCAAGGTCATTGACATTATATATGCCGAAAACAGCTATCCTCCAATGCTACTTATAGCTGTTGTAGTTATCGAAACACAGAAATATTGAACTCTAAATCTAAAACAATATCCTCTAGTATGGGTAACCACATTAAATGATGACATTACCTCCTTGACTATCTTTATTTGCATCATAAAAAAGAAGAAAAAATTCAAAAACAATATTGCTTTGATATTGCTCTAACCAGGTATTAAAAAAAAACCAAATTCCTCTTTTTAGCAATAAATGAGTCTCAATTTTTCTGCTAAATTCACCTGCCTTTACCATTTTTTTTTAACAGAGTTCCTGGTCATGTATGCATCAAAGTGAAAAGGTACTAAATGGAATATTCAACTTCATTAAATCCACTTATCAAAAATTATGCCAGTTATGTCCAAACATCAATCATTACAGGCCTATTGATTACACCATGGCTTATGATCCATCATCAATTTTTAATAACAATTTAATTTGTGTTTATTTTTTACAGTAGTCACTATATAACTTTCATTGATATTTTCTTACACCTTAAGCTTAAGAATAATAATTTCTATATTTTACTCTCCACATGTTTTATATACCTCCTTTTTATGCAGTGTAATGAGCAGGTGAGCATCTTCTTATGGAATCTTGTGCAATGTAAATTTCACAAGTTTTTTGTTTTTTAAAACAAACTTATATGTATGTTGACAACCCTCAAGGACCACAGCTGGTTACCAATATACAGAAGTTCATCTTTACAGATAAAGTGAGAGTTTTTGTGACCTGCTAGATCCACAGTTGTAAAAAGAAAATGCCATATACAATTGGATCTCCTGTCTTCACATATGCCCAAGTAATGTGGCACATGCCAGAAAGTCAAAGGGGTGAAAAAGGGTGCTACCGCTTGAGTATGTGTTCAAATTTAAGCGAAACAAGTATGGCTTACAGCCTTTAATGATGTGATGGAGTATTAATTTACTAGTTAAAGTACACTTATCAATTAATGACATTTCCAATAAATCAAAGTAGCGGCTCTACTGACAATGGAAAACATAACATTTGGTATTGATTCTGTGTCAAACTTCAGCTTGGAAGTTAAAGAAAATGATGAATTAATTATTTGGATTAGCAGACACTATTGCGTTGACTCATGTTCTGTTGCATTAACATCCTTTAGATATTCAAAGCAAAAGGAAATTGTTATGGTTGATAAGAAAAAAAATTATATATTGACAAATGGAAAATATAACATTAGTTTTGGATTTCAAGTAAAACTTAATCATGGAAGTTAAAAAATACAATGCCTTAACTGTTCTATTGACTTCTGCACAGTTAATTGACATACAAAGCAAAAGGAAACTATTATTTCATTGTGAAATACATGTTAGTTTGAAAGTCAAGTAATAGAACTACATGACAAGTTGTAATTCTCCGTGTAAAATTATTGTTTCTTTCTTGGGATCCAATGAAAACAACCCTGGTTCATTTACTGGTTTGAATGTACAAATTATTGTTATTTCTTTGGGTTATTGATTCGCAAGATTATTTATCATAACATGCCAAGTTCAAGTTTTGTTTAAATAAAAATGTACGTTGTAATATTATGTTTGATCTTTTTAATAATTAATACTCTAAATACCCCTACAGACACTACAAAAAGCTCATTTCATTGCTTTAAGTTAGAGCTTTGATGCCCCAGTATCTTTTAGTCAACAGCCTCTAATTCATGAGTTTTTCAACTGATTTCCAGTACAAACTGCGCAGTCTCGTTTCTCAATGGTTATGAAGACATACGAAGGAATGTTTGCTTGCCAGTATAAAAATTCAGGGACAAACCTACCTTTCCCTTCATTATTGACCCCATGTATCTTTGCCAAACAAAAACGAGAAGAAGAGCCTCGACCTTCTCCTAACCGACATTTTAGCCCATCGAATTTCGAACGTAGAGAACTTAATAGCGGATCCAGAAAACTCATGTATTCTATTGCCAGTGTAACGTATAATGTCACAATTACCCCGAGATTGTATTAGAAAGATCAGTTTGTCTTGATCGCGGATTGTCAGAACTTAAACTTACTAACTTGACTTAAAGTATCGTTTTATTTTTGTACGTCTGAAGTTGACGTTACTTTGCAAATTAAAACAAAGTAAAGATGGTGCACGGTATACTTCTAAAAATTGCATGAAATTTTGTTGTAAACAAAACAAATGAATTACGATCTGTCTGGATTCGTCTTTCCAGAAGGGAATATTTTCCACAAATGGTTATTTCATTATGTTATAATCCAAGGGGAAGGTCTTGTTTGCACACATATGATCAAATCGATGTTTCATTCAGGGACTGAAGCACACTGCACATAGACTGTTTGCTTTTTAGGTTTACCGATTAGTGTTAAACCCTGAACATTAACGAAATACGAAGAAGCGTATTAAGATAATTTCGATCCATGGCGTGACTTTTCTAGACGTCTTTCAATTGAATTCACGCTATTAAATGATCGATGAAAGTTGAAAGTGAACGGAGATAATTCAAAGAGTTAGGAAAAAGATAACTGGTCGGCGCGCTTGACGGTTTGACTGTTTGTCGCTTAAGTGAATGACACGAAGTTGTATGCAACACGCACCGTAAAAGGAGACGCTCGCTTGGTTAAGCGATCGATTTTATCAAACTTTGGTGACTTTAGAGGCGATGCTTTGCAAAATTTTCAAGTTGTGGTTGCAAAGCTCAGGCTTTGAGAAGCGAGCTCGATTCAGTAAAATTATTTCCTGCGAAAACACAATCGCTTTAACCCTCACATCTTGCCTCTTTCCCGGAAGTAAAAAACACTAAATTTTCATGCATTTTAAGTTTATAGAAAGACGTAAATTGTAATCAAAGTAAAGGTCATAGCTATAAGAAACGAAGGAATCATTTCAACTTACTTTTGCTTTGTCTTCCTTTCTGCTTCTTGGTCTTAAAATGTGGGCAATGGTAAACAGCAGTCTCTATTTGTAATATGACTACAACAAATTTCGGGGAAGCCCCTCGAACTCCCCTTGCCCAATGCTGTTGTTGTGAGAAATAAAAACCATCTTTAACAGCACCTGTGAATTGATCGATAAAAACTGGCTCTCAGGGAAAAAAAACCACAATTTATTAGCACAAAGTTATTCAATTGATTTTATCTTGTATCCTTAAATGTATTTTGTGACTATCTCCTACGTTATTGCTCACATAATTTAATATGGTGAAGGTACAAACTAAATTCTCATAACTTGATTCTTCGAAATCCAAATTTAGGAGTGATAACATAGTTCGCAACTGAACTTTAACCAGCCAGTGAATGAACGGGTAAATAATAAGTTTGACTTCGTTTTCTTAATTTCCTTACTCCTATATCGTTTTTAGACAGACGCTAACAATTATTGAACAACTAAGAATATTGTCGCCCTACCACCCATATGTTCGCGTGACGACGCAAACAAACCAACTTGCTCTTGGTTACGTGATAAACTTTGCAGCGAACATTTTTCTTTTAAATTCTGAAGTTATTCGCAACTTGTTTTCTTTATGCGAAGATGAAAGCATGTGTTTCCAATATTATGATGGAGCATGACGAAGAATACTTAGTTTTTTGGCAACATCAGCAGCTTTCGAAGAGTAAGGAGAAGCGGCTGATTCTAGCAATATTTTATCTTGGGTGTAGGGGAGGGGTTGAGTGAAGAGGTGGGTTTCTAGGAGACCTAAATAAAATTTGCATGCAAGATCGACCTGAGCTAGGGACTCAGTTTTCATTGGATTGTTTTGGAAGTCATAAAAAGTTATCTTGATTGTGTAGTTGTTAAATTTTAAATTTTGTTCGTAATGTTATTAACATGTACCTGTCAAACATATTTTGTTTTCAATTAATTTTTTCATTGGCCAGTAAACATTCCAAGCTCTCACGCATTATAAATATTCTACTTCCGCCGCATTAAGGAAACTTCTGCAATATATATATTTTTTTCAGGCTAGGTCATAGGTTCCAAAGTCACAATCCCTTCGACGTTTGTGTTTTAAGGGGCTAGGTGCTCCTCTCAATCCCTATTCGACTTGATACGCCCTAAAAGGTCAGTGATGTTAAGTTTAACAAATCATTTTGCTATGCACCCACTAACACTAACTGTCTTCACAGTTATGAAGCCATGTCGGAAAATCACGGAATTAGACATTATAAGGCATACACATTAGATATATTCTCAATGCATGAAAGAGATAAGATTGGAGCATAACCAAGCTAAGCAAGAACATATCTATCTGAAATAAATAACCTTCGCAACAAGCTATCTGTATTGAAACTTGGTAAATTTTAAAAACGGGGAAGGAGAGAGATTAATTTTGAGATCGGGCTAGAATCACTTGTACCAACGGGGGCTTGGAAGTGGCGGCCTGTATACAGTTACCTTCCCCTGTACTCCTACCCCATCCCCCTTAGTACAGGGCCAATCAGCCTTGTTATGACGGAAAGCGATGAATTGCACATCCCGCTTCAGTTCTAAGAAGGAAGTGAAAGAAAATGGCAGTTTCGGAGGTTTGTGGGGATACGAGTATCAACTCAACTTTCATGGGTGAAGTGATGTCTTCATACAATTCACATGAGGATAGAAACAATCTTTTGGATGAGGTCGATCGAAGCCCTCGCTCACCGAATGCAATAAGACCATGCTTCTACATATTGCAGATCTTGGGCATGTGGAAACCTAAAAATGGCAAGTTTGAATTTTTATGGCAAGTTTATCGGGTGTTTGTGTATATCGTCTGGTTAGGATGTCTCGCATCTATTATGTGTTTGGATTTTGTTCACTATGGCTTTAATACGAAAAGGATTCATTTCAGGGAAGTCACGAATAGCGCTTGTACTTGCATCGATTTCCTGTGCCCTTTCGTGTTCACCCTGTATTATTTCAACCGCGGTCAGTTTGTAGAGTTGGTCTTCAAAGTACAGAATGTTTCTCATGGGTGGAAGCAGAAGTTACGCCGTATTTCTCTCTGGTACACTCTGATGTCTGTTATTCTCTGGGTGCTCTGTGCCACATTTTTCATGGTTCACTGGTTTCCGTTCTTCTCTGAGTGGTGGCACTACGCAGTTTACATACCCGCGGTTGTTTACATCGCAGGCTGGTGGGCAACATGGCTCAGTATCTATGGATTTGTTTGCCATGTCCATAGTCTACAAATTGACACCGTTATAGAACATATGAGGATGAGAGAACGCCGGCCAATTTCCATTTTACGAGAACACTTTGAGCTTCAGCAATCAATAGAGAAAACGCAGAAAGATTTCACTGTCATCATTTCTATGGCTGTAGCATATCATATATTGGATTTGCTAGTTTTTAGTTTTGCGTATTTTAATTCAGCCTTTGGTAGCGACTACCCTATCTGGCAATATGTCGGTACTGTGCTTTTCGATTTGCTTAGTATTATTTTCAAGCTCTACCCTCCGGCACTTGTGGCAGCAGCATCACATCGCATTGTTGTAGAGGCTTCAAAAGGATGCAGGAGAAGCCTCCACTTAGCAGACCTACCTACAGAAGATATACAGTTATTTCAGTACATGGCACTGTGCGAGCCAGACATGGGTCTCAAAATTCTTGGAATTCGTATCACTGTAGAATTAACAGTGAAGATTCTTATGACAATTGTCACTGCTGGTGTATCATTTATAGCTTTTGTTATACCACGACTTAAGTAGATGAATTATTCCACACTGTTTTTTTCTACAGGAGACTCATTCAGCAAGTAAAAATGTATTAGTTTTCTGTGCACAGCTATAATGTTGGATACCTTAACGCCAAAGGAGAGGTAGATGGACTCATTCCGAAAGCGCAGTTTTTCAGCCAAGCCAGAATAAATTAACTTTTTACCCCTTTTTAACTCGTGAATTGCGCGCATGCGAGTTGTAGATACGACAAAATCGATCATTACGTTTCGTATCGTGTGTTTTTCCTGTTGATAAAGAGGGAATCGTTAATGTTTTAATTAAGAAAGTATTGCCTTGATTTTCTAATAATTACAATGAAAGACAGTAAATTTCACTTTCACCCACATTTACTTCCAAGCTTTTCTTTTGAACCAGAAACAGAAATGATATACGTTTAAAACACATGACATCATCCACCCTTGTCAAATGCAATAGAATGATCATTTCAATTGTAATGCCTTCTTATCCCAACGTTACTTTGTTTCTTTGCTACATTAGCGAACACTGAACTACTGCTCGTACTCTAGATATGACAATCAACCACAAAATTCCCTAAGCCAGATAACATTGAACATAATCCAAAAAATCATGTGTCAATTCACGAGGTAGCTCACAGAGCACTTTGATTTTTTTCAACTTTAAAAATTGTGATAATTTCTTCTGCGAAAACAAAATTAAAGATTGTTATTAAATTTTATAAAAGATGTACATTTCAGCATTCCAAAGATCTGATTTTTTCGAACTTCCATGATGTCTTCACATTAAAGAATCGATCTCTGCGTGGTCTTCTCGGAGATTCAAAAGCACGGTTGATCAAATTTAAAACTCAACACCTTGCCGAAGCCTGTTAGATGTTATTTTCGGCTCGACCGTAAAGGAAAGACCATTCATTTTCTAGAGACCTTGACGCATTTATTTTTATTTACTTTCAGCACCTACTTGTTTTTGCCCACAAAGGTTGCTCAGGGTTTATGCCTGGCCTTCTTAAAGAATTTATGGTAAAACACGAGACTAAGTATAGTTAAACGAGTAATAAAGAAAATCCCCTCTGAATTTTACACATTTTGACTTGCTTGTATTTAAAGTAGGCTGAATCTTAATCATATATTAGTATTTTTAATTGCTACTGTAATTTAATGTTGGTAGAATCTTTATCATATATTTGTTGTTTTAATTACAACTGTAATTTTCAATTCTTGTCAGACTAGACACGACCATATCAGCTACGCTGTAATTTTATCATGCATAAATAAATGCCTTTATTATTATAATAATACGCATGAAAAAAATACTTATTACCTATTCTTCCTATTATTGTTAAAGTCTCTCGGATTATGGTGTTTCCGAAACCTCCTCTCTACCTGGATTACCTAAAAACCGTGAAAGAAAATTTGGGACAACTACAGCATCATGAACCAACGCACGTACAAAAAAAAAAAAAAAAAAACGCACTTTCATAAATTTGTGCTCTTCTCCCAACCATCTCCCCCTCCCCGTCCCTAGGCCTGTCCCGATTGTGCTCGGCAACTTTTGAGAAACTTTTTCAGTTTTGGGCAACCTCGAGCATTTTTTCCCTTTCTGAGTACTTTATGGCTAAAATATGGATTTAGAAGACATACAAAGCACGAAAAAGCCAACGATTTCATAAAAACTTAACTTTTTTCGATTTTGTTTAAATGTTTTTTTCAACCTTTAGAACACACAACCTATTACTTGACAACGTTTTGCGATCCTTATCTAATACGTAAAACGGATAATCGGCTAAAATGACGCACAAAAAGGCCGTCTTCGTTTCTTTTCTTTTCACGAAAGCAAATGGATGGTGCGAGGTCGCCTTTATCGTTTACTTTATCGCCAATGCATTTGGCTCACAGTAAGAGTCCACCCTCCAAGATTACCTTGAAGCCTTTGTCAGGCTTCGATATAACAATGCAAAAGAGTGTACCATTTTGACTTCTCGTATACCAGTAGTTTTAGACTCTTAGAGTGCACTCAGTATAATGTTAGTTTAGTTTAAGGTCCTTCATATCGTTTGGCAAGACTTAAAATGAATCATGTGTTTCGTTCCGTTATACTTGATAGAGGTCTCGATAGTATTTTTTAATATTGCGCTTATTTGGTCTCTAAAGCTAAATTTCCAGCTATCTTTCTCGACTAATATTAGCAGTTATTGCGAAGAATAAAAACTAAAGCATTTCATTAACATTTATTTAAAAACATCAAGAAATCTAGGTTGCAACTTTGGAAATTTAGGTAGCAACGTTTTGGATTTTAGGCACTTTTCAAACATTTTTTGGCGTTTTAGCATTTTACGAGCACAGTCGGGACAGGCCTTCTCCCAGAGCCCATGTTGAAAATAGCTGGACCCCAAGGAATGTCCTTGGGATTCTTTTCAACATCGCAAAAGGGAGAGGGTATGCTTTCTACCAAATCATTTCAAGTTTTATTTGTTTTCAATCGCTTTATCCTTTGGATCTCAAGTAGTCTATTACCCCATTCACACCAGCAAAACATGTTTTGTTAAACTGGTTTTCATTGAATGAAAATTATAAACAGAGAACTGAAAAACTTGATTTTCCATTGATATGTTGCCTTGCTTTTCTGGTTAAATAGTTTCTATGAAGAAAAAAAAAAAATAAACCTCAAAACAACTCTGTCTTTAAGCTTTGGTGTGACTGGGGCATATGTTTAGTATAAATTTCAGACAAAGATACGTTGCCGCAGGGATGACCTTTTGTCAACGTTGGATGGGTTTTTCAACGTTGGATGGGTTTATGAAACAAAATTGAACTAGACCCTGTGAGCAAGGTAACTGGGATACCTGGATGGTACTGGATCCTTGGAATCAAGTGTGGTGATACTACGGGTGTCGGACTAGTATACTGAAATAGTGAGCTCAAGTCTGGCCAAGGGCATACACCTATTTCATAACATAGGCATACTATGCATGCAAGAGTTATTTTTTGTAGGGTGGGTGGATTACTTGAAACATTGTAAGTGTTCTACATTCTTACAAAAGGAAAGAAGAGTATTAACGCGGAAAAGAACGAAAATGTCGAATAACCTCACACACAGGTATTTTGTGGTAGATTATGTGCATTGTGCGAATAAATGTAACCAAAAATAAACTGTATTGTTGCCACGGATACCTGTTAGTACAAAATGCAGACCGCAGACTGTAGATCGGATACAAAATATAGACTGCAGTCTGCAGAGTGGGTACAAAATGCAGACTGAGAATCTGAAGAGTTTCTACGTCGGGTATATAACAACATGTCATCTTACAGCTTACCGAGCGTCACGCAATCGCTTCTCCGCGATCAGTCTTCACGATTATTTGCACTATTGTGGAAAATTCCTGGCCCATATCTTGATGAAAATCGATCGTAATAAAATTTCAGGCCTTCAACATAGTCTTCTTACTTTGCGCACGAGTTGGTTGGTGTGATGTCTGTACAGATTTTACCAACGTACTAAAAGTAGATGACGTGAATAACAGTGATGGTAAAGCAAGCTTGAAACGGCAGAAATCACCTGAAATTTCAACGGATACACAGGGTATGAGTAAGTTTTATTAATTTTACTAGAAAAATGTTCATATTTCGAAATATTTATTGTTGTAAATCGACCATATTTCGTTCCTATACTATTCCTTACAACGTGTTCAAATTCTCAACGGTTCCTCTCGTAACTTAACACCGAGTCACACAACGCATGACGCGTTCATTGATCGATCGTTTTTTTCTCGAGGCGTGAGCTTGGGCCGCCTGTGACAAGACAATGGCGTGAAATATACTTAACATAATAACATTATACACAAAAAACACAGGATTTTAGATCATGTATTTATTAAAAAAGAATATCCATACAACTAAAATGAAAACAAACATAAGATTCACCCTTCTGAACGTGAAATTAGTACCATTCGCACTGTTATCGTAGCTACGTTCCCTGGCATCAAGTAAATCCAACATGGCGTTTTTCTTCACAAGCAGTTTGCATCCATTAGAGTTTTGTTCTTCAGTCCCACGGTAGTCGTGTTGTTCAATAGATTGCTTAGAGTATATGCAGTTTGGTTTCAGATTTCGGATTTTGCTTTTTACAACAAGTGTACGTTTTTTAACTATGACATTGGCATACTTGGCATACATGGCATACAAGGCATTCAAGGCATTCAAATCTTTCATAGCTTTCAAGCGTTCGCGACTCAATCCGCTCAATAACATCTTTTAGTGTGGATTGGCCGCGATAATACGACTTGTGTATGCGTCTGTAAGTATTTTGAGCGTTTGCGAAAGAGCTCAAATGGCACCTATTCTTGGTTACTGGGACATTCGAGGGGTACGCCTCACATCATAACCTGCATTTGATCAGTTTGTGGCAAATATTGGGCTGATTTATTGACTCTGACGTGTACAATTTTTTTAAACATTATTTTTTGCATCGAGCATCATCCTTCTTCTTCTAAACTACACTGAAACCGAGGTAGGTCTGCATTTAAGGATGAGCGCTGTGAACTTGGTGATGGTAAGGTGTCTTATCGTGATCATTGATAACCCGCGGGTGGCGTTGAATAAAAAACAGCCCAATCGCTAATGTTTCTTGCAGCTAGCCCTATACATGTACTGTTGAATACACAAAGTAAGCTCTTAGAATGAATACATTCTATCTTTGCTCTAATTTTTTTCTTCAAGTTGGAACATTTTCGTAATAAAACCAGGCACTTCTTGCATTGTCTGAACTTGTTGTCATCCGGTGACACGAAGAATCCAAACATACAAAGATCATGGACCATGCAAATAGCGACCAAAGTCAAGGAATAATGACTAATAATTAAAGCAACAGTGTCAATGTTTAACGTCCTTTAGTTCCACAGATGGATATCTGGTATTTCTTTCAATCAAGAGCATCAATCTGACGCTGTTTCTTTACTATTTTACGTTCAGCTCCTGAGTACAGCTCCAAGGCCTGGAAATCAGTCAAGTACACCCTGGGACTGTCATTTTCCAACGTGAGTTCAGATACTTTAAACAGGATCGTTAGGTTTGCTTCCTAGGCTGGTTTACTGGTTTACTCTCTATGCTAACTTGGCTAATTTATCATTGTGCAAATCTACTACAGAGCTGTAGCATGTTGTTGATTCGCCCAAAGGGTCAGTGGTGTTAAGTTTAACGAATCGTTTTTACTATGCACCCACTAACAATAACTGTCTTCACAGTTGTGAAGCCATGTAGGAAAATTAGAGGGTTAGGAATTATAAGGCATACATATCAGGTATATCCTCAACGCATTAAAGAGATAAGATTGGAGCATAACAAAACTGAGCAAGAAAATAACCTCCGCAACAAGTTATCTGTATTGAAACTTGGTAAATTTTAAAAACGGGGAAGGACAGTGATTAATTTTGAGATCGGACTAGAATCACTTGTACCACCGGGGGCTTGGAAGTGGCGGCTTAAATACAGTCACCCTCCTCTGTACCCCCACCTCATTCCTCTACCGGGCCAACTAGCCTTGCGTGACGGAAAGGGATGAATTACACATCCTGGATCAGTTCCAAGAAGGGAGTGAAAGAAAATGGCAGTTTTCGAAGATTTTGGGGGATACGAGCATCAACTCGAGTTTCATGAGAGAAATGATGTCTTCATACAATTCACATGAGGACAGAAACCATCTCTTGGATGCGGTCGATCGAAGCCCTCGCTCACCGAATGCGATAAGACCATGCTTCTACATATTACAGATCTTGGGCATGTGGAAACCTAAAAATGGCAAGTTTGAATTTTTATGGCAAGTTTATCGGGTGTTTGTGTATATCGTCTGGTTAGGATGTCTTGCAGCTATTATGTGTTTGGATTTTGTTCACTATGGCTTTGATACCAAAAGGATTCATTTCAGGGAAGTGACAAATAGCGCTTGTACTTGCATCGATTTCCTGTGCCCTTTCGTGTTCACCCTGTTTTATTTCAACCGCGGTCAGTTTGTAGAGTTGGTCTTCAAAGTACAGAATGTTTCCCATGGGTGGAAGCAGAAGTTACGCCGTATTTCTCTCTGGTACACTCTGATGTCTGTTATTCTCTGGGTTCTCTGTGCCACATTTGTTATGGTTCACTGGTTTCCGTTCTTCTCTGAGTGGTGGCACTACGCAGTTTACATACCCGCGGTTGTTTACATCACAGGCTGGTGGGCAACATGGCTCAGTATCTATGGATTTGTTTGTCACGTCCATAGTCTACAAATTAATACTGTTATAGAAAAAATTAGGATGAGAGAACGCCGGCCAATTTCTATTTTACGAGAACACTTTGAGCTTCAGCAATCAATAGAGAAAACACAGAAAGATTTCAATGTCATCATTTCTATGGCTGTAGCATATCATATATTGGATTTGCTAGTTTTTAGTTTTGCGTATTTTAATTCAGCCTTTGGTAGCGACTACCCTATCTGGCAATATGTCGGTACTGTGCTTTTCGATTTGCTTAGTATTATTTTCAAGCTCTACCCCCCGGCACTTGTGGCAGCAGCATCACATCGCATCGTTGTAGAGGCTTCAAAAGGATGCAGGAGAAGCCTCCACTTAGCAGACCTACCTACAGAAGATATACAGTTATTCCAGTACATGGCACTGTGCGAGCCAGACATGGGTCTCAAAATTCTTGGAATTCGTATCACTGTAGAATTAACAGTGAAGATTCTTATGACAATTGTCACTCTTGGTGTATCATTTATAGCTTTTGTTATACCACGACTCAAGTAGATGAATTATTCTGCGCTTTTTTTTTTCTACAGGAGACTCATTCGGCAAGTAAAAATGTATTAGTTACCTGTGTGCAGCTATAATGTTGGACACCTTAACGCCCCAGGAGAGGTAGATGGACTTATTCCGAAAGCGCAGTTTTTCAGCCAAGTCAGAATAAATTAACTTTTTACCCTTTTTTTTTTTCAACATAAAAACTTGTGATAATTTCCTCTGCGGAAAAAAATTAAAGATTGTCATTCCAAAGATCTGATTGTTTCGAACTTCAGTGATGTCTTTACATTAAAGAATCGATCTCTGCGCAGTCTTCTTGGAGATTTAAAAGCACAGTTTGATCAAATTTAAAACTGAACACCTTGCCGAAGCCTGTTAGATGTCGTTTTCGGCTCGACCGTAAAGGAGAGACCATTAATTTGCAAGACACCTCGACACATTTATTTTCCTTTACATTCAGCAGCTACTTGTTTTTGCTTACAAGGTTACTCAAGGTTTATGCCTGGCCTTCTTAAAGAATTTATGGTAAAACGCGAGATTAGGTATAGTTATGAAAAAAATATGTGTTTATAGATTTCAAAACCTAAGACAGATATGGTTGAGAAGTTTATCCAATAAACGAGCGCTATACTCTGGAACAGGCTTGGCACTGAAATTAGAATGAACAGCTCGTTGGACAATTTTATATGAGTAATAAAGAAAATCCTCTCTGAATTTTACACATTTTGACTTGCTTGTATTTAAAGTAGGCTGAATCTTAATCATATATTAGTATTTTTAATTGCTACTGTAATTTAATGTTGGTAGAATCTTTATCATATATTTGTTGTTTTAATTACAACTGTAATTTTCTTTTCTTGTCAGACTAGACACGACCATATCAGTTACGCTGTAATTTTATCATGCATAAATAAATGCCTTTATTATTATAATAATACGCATGAAAAAAATACTTATTACCTATTCTTCCTATTATTGTTAAAGTCTCTCGGATTATGGTGTTTCCGAAACCTCCTCTCTACCTGGATTACCTAAAAACTGAGAAAGAAAATTTGGGACAACTACAGCATCATGAACCAACGTAAGTAAAAAAAATAGAAAAAAACACTTTCATAAATTTGTACTCTTCTCCCAACCATCTCCCCCCTCCCCCTCAAAACGAATAAAACGAATAATCGGCTAAAATGACGCACAAAAAGGCCGTCTTCGTTTCTTTACTATTCACGAACGTAAATGGATGGTGCGAGGTCGCCTTTATCGTTTACTTTATCGCCAATGTATTTGGCTCACAGTAAGAGTCCACCCTCCAAGATTACCTTGAAGCCTTTGTCAGGCTTCGATATAACAATGCAAAAGAGTGTACCATTTTGACTTCTCGTATGCCAGTAGTTTTAGACTCTTAGAGTGCAATCAGTATTATGTTAGTTTAGTTTAAGGTCCTTCATATCGTTTGGCAAGACTTAAAATGAACCATGTGTTTCGTTCCGTTATACTTGATAGAGGTCTCGATAGCATTCTTCAATATTGCCCTTATTTGGTCTCTATAGCTAAATTTCCAGCTATCTTTCTCAACTAATATTAGCAGTTATTGCGAAGAATAAAAACTAGAGCATTTAATTAACATTTATTTAAAAACATCAAGAAATCTAGGTTGCAACTTTGGAAATTTAGGTAGCTACTTTTTGGATTTTAGGCACCTTTTAAACATTTTTTGGCGCTCCAGTGAGCAACTTTCCAGCATTTTAAGAGCACAGTCGGGACAGGCCTTCTCCCAGAGCCCATGTTGAAAATAGCTGAAACCCAAGGAATGTCCTCAGGATTCTTTTCAAAATTGCAAAAGGGGGAGGGTATGCTTTCTACCAAATTGTTTCAAGTTTTATTTGTTTTCAACCGCTTTATCCTTTGTCTCAAGTAGTCTATGTTTAGTATAAATTTCATGACGCATACATGACACGTTGCCTTGCTTTTTTCGAGTGGATGACCTTATCTGTCTAGACTGTGTGACAAAGCTGCAGGTACTTTTCCACGTTGCGTGGGTTTATGAAACAAAATTGAATAACACAATAAGGAACTCTTGAAAGAGCTCAAATGGCACCTATTCTTGGTTACTGGGACATTCGAGGGGTACGCCTCACATCATAACTTGCATTTGATCAGTTTGTGGCAAATATTGGGCTGATTTATTGACTCCACGTGTACAATTTTTTTAAACATTATTTTTCGCATCGAGCAGCTTGCTGAGCCCATCCGTCTACTTCTAAACTACACTGAAACCGACTTTAAGGATGAGCGCTATGAACTTGGTGATGGTAAGGTGTCTTAAATTTCTCGTGATCATTGACAACGTGCGGGTGGCGTTGAATAATCAACAGCCCAATCGCTAATGTCTCTTGCAGCTAGCCCTGTACATGTACTGTTGAATACACAAAGTAAGCTCTTAGAATGAATACATTTTTTCTTTGCTCTAATTGTTTTCTTTACGTTGGAACATTTTCGTAATAAAACCAGGCACTTCTTGCATTGTCTGAACTTGTTGTCATCCGGTGACACGAAGAAGCCAAACATACAAAGATCATGGACCATGCAAATAGCGACCAAAGTCAAGGAATAATGACTAATGATTAAAGCAACAGTTTCAATGTTTTACGTCCTTTAGTTCCATAGATGGATTTCTGGTATTTCTTTCAATCAAGTGCATCAATCTGGCGCTGTTTCTTTACGGTTTTACTTTCAGCTCCAGAGTACAGCGCCAAGGCTTGGACCTCAGTCAAGTACACCCTGGGACTGTCATTTCCTAACGTGAGTTCAAATCCTTTAAAAAAGATCTTTAGGTTTGCTACTTAGGCTGACTCTTCTAATAATGTCTACTTGGTTTACTGTTCCTATGCTAACTTGGTGTTATTGCGGGGAAGAGACGACCACACATGAGCTCAACTAAACATATTTTAATGTTCTCCTTGTGGTCTCTAGATACATCCATAATACTTTACTAGTGTCCAATCTCCTAACACCTCCCCCCCAGTAAAATGAACAATTTTACGTTAACAGACTATGAAGAGTATCTTGCTGGTGTTTTAACTAAACATCCTGAATGTGTTCGTTTTGCAACAACTAGTTCCATCTTCTTAGCGGACTTAACAGGCTTAGCGGGCTTGGATTTAAGTTGTTTAGAACTAGGTACAGGATTTGAACTAGAATGTTTGGTTTCTGAGGCACAGTCTTTGGCATTTGCATTTGGTTTTGGGGCAGATTGTGTCTTCTTCAGATTAGGCAGTTTTCATGCAGGTTTTAGGTGTACACGGTTTCTTCAGAGGAGTTTGCCATCCACTTGAAATGGATTTTTCTGAACAACAAATCCTTTTCTCCACTGTTGTCCTTTGGTTAGTCCTTCAGGTTTGATGGCTACCGTATCACCAGGTTGTAAAACACTCAGTTCTTTGGCAGTTCGATTGTAATACATTTGAGACTTGGTTGTTTTCTTAGCCTTTTCTTCCAGGACCATTTCAGCAATTTCCAGGGTAAGCAGAGTGGCTTTCATAGGAATTTCAGATGTCAGTCTTCGGTGTTGAAATCTTTGAGCAGGTGATGTCGTCATATCAACTGTAGGTGTATTATGTTGATCAAGTAGGGCTTCATAAGGATTCAAAGCAGAGTTTTCAGTCTTTCTCAAGATAGATTTGATGATCTTCACCACTGATTCTGCTTTGCCATTGCTCTGATAATGGTGAGGTGAGGATTTCGTGTGTTTTATCTGCTTCCTCTGACAGAATTGTGAGAATTCCTAAGAATCGAAATTCTTTCCACAGTCAGTGACAATCTCATCAGGAAGTCCCCATCGTGAGAATTGTTTGAGTAGCAGGACAATGGTTTCAGTTGCAGTTTGGTCTCTCATCTTATCAAATTTGATCCAATCGCTGTAGTAGTCGACCAATACTAGATAGTGTTCCCCTTTAAACTCAAAAGGGTCGGCTGCAATTTTGGACCAGGGTCTATCCGGAATAGAATGACTCATCAGACTTTCTTTCGGGTTGTTTCTCTGGAAGGATTGACAAACTTGGCATGAAGATATGAACTGTTTCAGCTGCGAATTCATACCGGGCCACCAAAGAGATGTACGAGCATGTCGTAAAGTTGACTCAACACCCATGTGAGCTTGATGTAGCTTTTCAGTTAGGCTCTTTCTCAGTGTAGTGGGAACTACAATGCGATCACCTCTGTAGAGGATGTCATCATTGAATGATAGTTGATCTTTGCAACTCCAAAATGGAAGAACATCCATGGGAAGATGTCTTTTACTGATGGACCAGTTTTCAGAGATGTGGTGGATTACTGACTGCAAGACTTTGTCCTTGGCAGTTTCCTCTGCAATTTCATTGAGGTGGCATGTCACACTTTGGTCTTGAATAACCAAGCCGATGGTTTCAATCTCTTCTTTGCTCTGGCTGCGAGTGTGATTAGTCGTGTGGGCATCAGCAATTAGTAGGTCTTTGCCTTTGATGTACTTGAAGTCAAGGTCATATCCCATAATTCAGCAAAGCTTTAGTTCCTCAGAATCTCTTAGGCCAAGTAGAGGGGTCAGGTCCTCATTAACAATTCTAAACTGAATGATCCCTTCTTTTCTTGTTGCAGGGTTGAACACAAAACATTTTCTGGTTCCCAGTGTTTGTATCTTAGTTTTCTCATCATAGAGTGAAAGGGTTGGTTGGACAGTTGTGTTTAGGTCCAGCAGGTCATGATCACCACTGATTTCCTTGTATACGCCAACTGGTAAAATACTACATGTAGAACCAGAGTCTATCTGAAAGTTTACAGAAATTCTTTTCTTTGAGATGAGGAAGTTTGCAAAAGCCTTCTTATGGTCACATTGTGGATTCAGAGTGCAAATTTTGTCCACAACTTCATAAAAATGCTCTTCACCATCTTCATCTACTTTTAGACAAATGGTTTCCTAGTTGATCTGGACTGGTTTTGATTTCCTGGTTTTGGTTTTCTCTCCTTTTGGAGTTGCTTACATTCCTTGGAATCTTTAAAATGATTTTTAATCTTGCAAAGGCTACACACTGCTCCCCAGGCAGGACAGTGTCTCTTATTTGCAAAGCTATGAGATCCTTTCTTGTTAGCACAGTAGTTACACATAAGACTTTTGTTTGGCTTATCTTTAAATACAGCATTGGTACTATCACTCGTAGGTGGTTTTAGACAGCATTCTTGAACTTCTTGGTTTGTGGTTTCATGGGCTTTGCCAATTGACACAGCTTGAATTCGAGTAAGCGTGTTTTCTTTTTCAAGCAGTTTTTTCTTCAAATCATCATCAGAAACACCATATACAAATTGGTCTCTCACTTGTCTGTCTTCATCTATGTAATTGCAATCTTTAACTAACAGCATCAAATCAGCGACAAACGAAGTGATTGTCTCTTTAGGTTTCTGAATTCGTTCCTTGAATTTCTTTGAAGTTACGATCTCATTACATTCAGCACTTACCGCTCCTTCCAGTTTAGTCCACATCAGTTCGTAATTGTTTACATCTTCATTGTCACCTCAGTCTAAACTTTCATAAATCTTCTAGCCTTCCGGTCCGAGCCAATCTTGTACCAGTATACACTTTCGTTCCTCAGATATGTTGACGAGGCTTCCTTTGAAGATATATCCACACTTTTTCTTGAATGCTTTTAATGCTTCAAGGTGATTTTCTTGGCGAGTATTGAACTTTGGTCACTCAAAGTTCATAATATTTCCAGAGAAATGCGCAGTGGGATTTTGAGCAGGAGCACCCTCAGCTTCTTGTCAACCATCTTTCACAACAGCAGTAATGAATAGACACAGAAATTATCAGAGTTCCTCGCTCTAGCGGAAAGTAGACAATGAAAACATCAAACCCTCAGGCCTTCTCATGAAGCTACCAAAAACTTGTAAGCATTAGGCCTCTTTTAAGTTTCATATATTAGATGTGATTGGTATTGAGCAGGAGGATCTGTAATTTTGAAAGTGTTGAGTGTTTTGATACATAAAGAAGAAGGTAAGTTCTGAAATTTATTGTCAAACTTTATCTGTTTGCACACACAACATTTTTAACCCTCTAGCCCCTAATGGTGACTAGCATCTAACTTAACACTGATGTATTACTGCTGAATCAAACATTAGGCTCATGAGAATTAAGGAAATGATCTCAAACTTGAAACACTCTTGGTTGTTACCCCATAACTTCTTTCTACTTGTCAGTGCTACAGAAAATGTACAAAGAACATTATGGAGAATGTCCATGCTGATTTTAGCATGAAAAGGGTGTAACATTGTTGATTCTAGTAGTAATTGCAGGATGGTTGAGGCATGTGAAACTAGTATCTGGTCTAGCCCACCGACAAGTTCTCCTGAGCATAGTAGTAGAGAATTGAAGGGTGAAATGTAAATGTCTCAAGTGTGATTCTTTGTGGGCTGAGACCCAAACTTTTTTCTTTGAACCAACATTTTTAAACATTTATTGAATGAGGTGTTTATCAGTGAAATGCATCTTGAATTTTCAAATTTTTCATTTTGCTGCACTATTCTGTGTGCTGTGTCAATATGCACTGTCCTTTGCAAATTAGTCTCTCATTTTAAAGCAATAGTCAGCCCCTCGCAGTCAGATATGATTTTCCTTGGATGTCTGACATAGTGAAATTTATTGTTAGTAACTCAAACCCTTGATTACTCCAACCTCCCACTTGCAGCCATTTTTGTTTCTCTGCAGGAAAGGTTCAATGTAATTTTGGTTTTGATGACTTGAAATATATTTTTAGTACTGGACAAGTCAAAACAAACTGTAGTTCAAAGCACTGTATTTTCTCTAATCAGCCACGTAGTCTGCATGTGTTTTGGCGAAAAGAATGTATTAGTAAAGTGGAGTTTTACTATGGAATATTTATTTGGAGAAACATCCCCAAGATTCCTACCTTCTTGTGCTTCTTGCATTAAATTTTTCTTTTTTGGTGCCTTCCTTTTGTAATAATCCATGTGAGGCTCTGTAAAATCATAAGGGTCCTGGAATAACTTGCTCAAGGAAATGTTTAGTAAATGCTAAAATGTTTAAGGGCACATATTTATATGATATGGACAAGAGTTGGATATACTTTTCCTTGGCTCTCGCCACAGATCTTTTGTCTATGGGATTTAGTTTCAGATGCTCAACCAAGGACTTTCCAATTAATTGGGTGATGTCCCAAGTTTATGAGAAGCAACTAGATTTGCTTTCTGCTCTCTTATGGGTGCTTAAGTTCCTTTCAATTAAATACAGCTGTGTATTAACGGGTTTTGTATTTCCTTTCTTACAACAGCTTCCTTATTACATCGATGGGGATATGAAGATCAGTCAGAGTAATGCAGTAAGTCAATAAAATTATAGGAATTGTTCCATAAATAATCTGTTAATTTGAAATGCTTAATTCTTCCATAATTATCTAATAAATGCAATTTGCAGATACTTCGTCATATAGCAAGGAAACATGATTTGTGTAAGTGTGCATTTCCATTATTTGAATAATAGTTCTGGAGAGAAGGTCAATAAATACAAAGAACATCTTCAAGCAAATAGAAACTTGTAAATTGATGCTATTGTCAGAACTTAAAAAATCTTTTGTTTTATCTTGCTTTAGGATTGGTCTAGTAAATTCTCCGCACCCTCTCAACCAAAAGTATTCAAAACTAAGACCAACTGAACCTTGGTTACTTGCTTTTTTCTGAACTTCAGGCATACAGTTTTCTTGTTTTTACTTTTAATTCTTATTTTCTCTTGGTAAAAGTTTCCTTTGTTTTGATTGGTCATTTCAGTCACTTTGGACTGGTTTTACAACACTCTATTAAATGCAATAAAAGGTCCCTGCGTGGTTCTGATTAATTAGCATTTTAGACCATCAGTTTTACAAACTTAAGATAAATACAAGCTACAGTCAAACCTGTATTAAGTAGTCACCCATGGGGAATGGTGGAAGACCGCTTTATTTAGGTTAATAGCCTAATTCAGGTTCTACAGAATAGGGTTATTATAAAAAATGATAAAAGTGGCATTTTATGTCATAATTGACCACTTAATTTGCAAAACTTGTTCAGAAATACTGCTAACATTGATTTTGGGAGATAAACATGGATCAAATTTTGCCTGAAAGACTATTCTTAGTTTGATTTAAGAGGTTTGGCTTTGAGTGACCATTCAGTACAAATGAAGGACAATACAAACAGGCTATTGGGACTCGGTGACCATGGTGGTCACCCTTACAAGGGTGACCACCATGGCTTAATAGAGGTGACCACTTAATACAGGTTCAACTGTTTAATGATGATGTTTGTCCGAGAGATGATTGGTTCCATGTGTACATCAGTAACATTTTTCTACTCTGGTAAGCTTGTAAAGAAGAATGCTCTTTGTAATTTGTAAGGTGGCACATCTGAAGAAGAGAAAGTAATGGTGGATGTTGCAGAAAACCAGGTTTGCTCTCTCTTCTCTTCCTTAAGTAAAATTTTGCTTGTAAGAACTTTAACAGCTGTTGCAAGAATTTTCTTGTTTTGTTATATTCCTGTGATCTTCAAATGATCTGAAAAGGTTGCAATCCGCATTTTGAACTGACCACTACTTTAGAGAAATGATGAATATTTTGCTATGTTTGCATTCACCATGATAGAAAAACTACACTCATTTTTCAGGATAGTAAAATGTATACATTATTCCTCTTTGCATTTTATTTTAGGCTGGTCAGTCTCTGAGTCTACAATATCTTGCTTTTTTTTTCCAAAATTGTGTTGTGGTAATCAAAACTGTATGTTATTTCTATAAATCTGAATGTCTCTTAGCCTGCTATGTAGGTCACAGGACATTTTGATTTTGATTATGTGTAAAATAATTATATGATGACTTTATTTTATAAAAAGTTAATATTGTAACACTATTTTAAACTTTTGCAGCTCATGGATTTCCGCAAAAAGTTTACTGCATTGTGTTATAATCAGAACTTTGTGAGTACTAACACTTGAGAGTAGTTTGTACATAATTTATTCAATTTCAAACATAGTTTCTCACAATTATTGTGACCATTGTTTTGATATTTCTTGGGCTTGAATATTCTAAAATATCCATTAATTTTTGCATGGTGCAAAGTTGCTGGGCAGTTATCAAGCAATAAAAACTCTATATCTAAATTTATCTTGCAATTGTTTTAATCAAAAAAGAAAAAAGGCCAGCATAAAAAAGCTAGCTCAAGAGTTTAATTTTTTAATATTAATTAATTTACTTGGAAGAAAGACAAACTTATTCTTTTAGAATGTATTTTTCAAATTTCCAATGACCATTGATAGTGAGTGGGTTATAGTTGAAAAGTTTTTTCACAATATTTTTTTCTTTGCATTTTCCCTAGCTATTTGTTGTTTTAACTTACCTGTCTTACCTATTTGGAGAATGGTGATGCTATTTGCTTTCATCCTTGAGTTTTTGAGGTGTCATGCAGACTCTCTGATCTGTAAATAGATTTCTGACATTTCAGACATTTTGTGTCAAGGCTTGTTGAATTAGCAATATGTTACTCTTTTGAATGAGATGTTATTAAGGTGTGCTTATTAACAGTAGATTTTTTGTTGTTGTTTAATCATATACTAGATGCCAGTTGGTTATACTCTTTTGGTGAATATTTATCTTTCCTGGCAGGAAACATTGAAAGAGAACTACCTTAATGATGTCAAGCCTATGATTAAACAATTTGCTGAATTTTTGGGAGAAAAGAAATTTGTAACTGGAGATAAGGTAAACAAGTAATAGGATCCAAATGTTGATGACAAGTTAAGGCTGAAGAATGCACCAGCTAAACTTGCCAATCAAAGCCTGATGCAGAATTGGGTTTTCTTAAGCTTTTGTTTAGTTTTTTGGTTTTTTAGCTCAGAGAGGGTCCTTCAGCTCTTTTAATCAATCCTTTTCCAACCTTTCACCTTTTCACCCCCCTTAGAGTGACTGGCCTCTAATTTCTCCTTAAAGTGTCACCCTTAAATCAAACATAAAGGTCATGAGAATTAAGGAACAAACCACCAATTCAAGGAACTCCTGATTTCAGAATTGGTTTTCATTGCCAATGCCATGGGTAATGTAGAGAGAATAGTGTGGAGAATATTAACAACACCTTAACATCAGTATGCATATTCTCCATACTGTTCTCTCTATGTTTCCTTTGGTATTGACAAGGAGAGTTAGGTTAGCAATGTAGAGATTCCTTAGTTAGTGATCATTTCAGTTATTCTCGTGGCCTTGATGAGTGATTCAGGGATGACATTTTAAGGAGAAATTAGATGCTAATCACTCTTAGGAGTTAAAGGGTTAATTTTGGGTGTAAAGGGTTAATGTTTGATTACTTTTATTTGAGGGAACATAAATTGTGAAAACTCTGATGAAGTTCAGTTCCTCTGAGAAACCAAATCTAACTTCCTGTAGAATAGTTAGCATTCATCCGGCCTACGATCCTCAATATTGAAAGTCTTAATATTTTTCGTTGCGACAGATAACGTTTGTTGATTTTATCCTGTATGAAATAATGGATGAACACCAAATTTTTGATGGTACTTTGTTGGAGCCACACAAAAACCTTAAGGTAAAAGTTATTTGTTTTCTTTTTGATGCATATTTCAACTTGAGGCAAGGAAGAATATCTTCTAAACGTCACGCCTGTATACCTCAGCGTTCTTTAGGTGCTTCATTAAGGAGACTCTAAGGGTTACCCCATTAATGCCCCTTAAGCACTTCTCATTCCCTCTAGATTCCATTTTCTGTCAGGCTTGAGAACAATCCTTTTTAGCTTGGTTCTTTTGTTATTTTCATCTTTGTTGTTACCTTTCTTTGACTACATGATTTTTCCGTGGTATTTAAGTGAATGCTTGCAGATTTCGTGGCCCTCTCAATTCTCAGTAGCTTTGTGCAAGGAATATTCCCCTAGTTGGTCTAAAATACAGTATAAATTGATCACAGGCTAAAACTCAGTAGAAATCAGTGGACTTTTCTGTAGTCTTTTTTTTTTTGAAAGAGATTAAATTACAAAGAGGGGAACCAAGGGGATGATTTTTCAAGGGAAGAAGGGACCATGAACTAACATGGGTGTAGTTAGCTACAGGATTTTTATTCCTTGGAGGAAAAATATTTTTTAAGTCATCAAAGAAATTCTTCTCTGTAAAATTTGAAATTCTGTGCTACAGTATTTTTGGAATGTCTGAATATCAAGTTAGATTTTGATTAAACTGCCATGATGTTGTGTACTGAGGATAAAACACAGAGGAAAGTATTAATGGAAGGTTCAGGCGTTTAGCAGTGTAGAGCAATTTTCGATGAGCACTCATCCATAAAAAAACAGATAATTTTTATTTTTCAGATTCATCTTCACAAGTATTCTACAACTGCTCATACAATTTCTAATGTTACTTTCCACTCAGCATCCCTTACACATTGTGAACTATAATTTACTCTATCTTTTTATTACTCAATAAACTACTTCGCTTGTTTTCAGGATTTCTTGAAACGCATTGGGGTAAGTAGGCATTAAGTTTCCTGTAGCCATAGTAAGTGCCTTCAATTTTTATTCGAAGAGGAAGATGTTGATCGCGAGACGGTGCAGTCAATACCGAGTTGCTGTAGAATGTTTGGATAGGTTCCCTTTGTTTTTAACTGTGGCCAGATTGTAAGTTATGATAAGTTAATGTGCTTCTCCGTGGAAGACGAGAATAAGGCCACCTGTACCACCTTGGATATAGTTTAACTGTTGTCACTCCGTACAAATGCTGCCAAGGGACAACTTTTTCAAACTATCTTTGTGGTTTCTTTGTGCAGGAACTACCTACCATTGCGGCCTATCTCAAGTCAGACAGGTTTAAACCTCGTCCTATTAACAACAAGATGGCAAAATTCAAGTAAATTGCGGTGAAAAGCGGGATGAAAACCAAGCTTTCTGCTCTTTTAGCTTAGTTATGTAGATTTGTGTTGGTGAGAAATAAAGTTATCGTAGTCTGCACACAAGACTAACTGATCGTGGTCCCTGTATTAGTTCAGAAGCAGGTCATCCTCCTCTAGATGGTATGCAAGTCCTTCGCCGATTATCCTCTCCTCTCCCCTCCGCCACCGCCACCGCCACCCCCACCCCCTTTCATTTGGGTCTTCTGACCATTTTTCTGTATGCATTAGTACACAGGATAAATTCTTCATGGGAACTCAAAATTTCCGCTTTGCCCCATGCTCTTGACGTGACGAAATTTTTTGGATCGGATTGTAGATTAGTTTGTAAACAATGAGAATGACATAGCCACGTCATAACTTGTACATACGTGGAATTGTGAAACATTGAAAGTGTCGGAAAACATCGTTACTTTTGGCTCCTTATAATTCGTTGCTCTAAACCACAAACAGCTTTCTTTTCAAGTTCAATGGAAGCCTTCACTGGTCGATTCTCTCATCATATAAAGGATGGATGGCGCTTTCTTGTTTGACAAGTTCACGTCGATGATATGTTCCCCGTGGCTGTGATGATCTGTTAATAAGTAGTATTTCCTGGTTCACAGTCACTTGAGACCAGTAACTGTGGAGGCGCATGGGGCACTTGGTGGTAGTTAAGGGATACTGCAGCGGGATGAGGCTAATACCATTGTTTGCCCACCTCACTCTTGGCTTCTCTCCAATAACCGAGAGCCTGCATGGGATCGAGTCTGGCGGCCACCTAGCGCGGCTGACGCGCGGCCTGCATCATAAAAAAGCGTTTGTAACGTCAATCTTCACTTCACTCGTTTTCGCGACAAGAGCTAGTTTGCGCTTTTCGAGAGAGAGTAAAAAAAAGTTTGGAGACGAATCGGACATGAAGTGGGTGACTGCGCTAATAGCGCTTTCGCTTATATTTTTGTTTTCAGATGTTATATACAGTGCTAAACTGGAAGGTAAGATTTTTCCTTCCTTTTTAAAACATTTTTCCCTTCAAGTCGCCCAGCAGGTAATGACTGTTGTGGACTCAGCAACAAAGACTTAAGCTGGTTCTTCATGTCAATCGGTTCACACTTTTTGAAGGGATTCGCTCAGTTTTCGTCGCTAAATCTGTCAAGCAAAGAGGTTTGAACTTTTCCCGATGCACATTCTTATGAAAAGTACTTCAAATCATTTTCCGCAAAACAAATGTTTCTGGTTGCTATGGTAGCGCACGCGTGGTTTTAAGTTCATTTCTTTGTTGCGCGCGCTTCACAAACGGTTACGTTTCACCAGATTCCTTTTATTTTCCAAAGTAACGAGCGTTGATTATTGTAAAGAACCAACAAGAACGCGACGCTGAAAGAAGTACAAAATAATTTAACCACCGAAAATTTACTGAAATTTTTTGTGGCATTTAAAAAATATTTTCATTTGATTTTTTTGTTTCTGTTCAATACATTTAGTAGGCATACGATAAGTCCCTTTTACTACACTAATACAATTCACTACTGTACCAAATTACTTCTTTTTTATGTGTAGAAACTTTTACTAGAGTCAGTGAGAGGCACGGGCGGAATGATTTCTACGAACACAAGATGATGATGATGACTGGAAATTGGGACAACAAGGTTTGTCGAAATTTTGATTACTATGGCGTACCTCTTATCGGCTGTAAGGAAATGCAGTTCAAGAAATATCCTACTCGTAATTTGAAACCTTGTTTCCCGGGGCAAGTATTGTGACACCCAATTCTTGCAGCGTCTCTCTCCACCTGGCACCTCACCTGGGAAGAAAACATACTCGGCTTTAGATACCAGCAATGCGCGAGTCGTTACAGAAACCAAAGAAACCGCGGAGGGTCAGAAATCTACGTTGGACTATTATACTATGGAAACCGGAATAAGCCTCCGCCGCGTGGGCCACTTTTTAGCGTTTGGAACATTTTTATGCACCAAGTCTAAATTCTCAAAGGTATTAGATTTGATATTTCGTTTTAAGTTCCGTTTAACTTTCTTCTTCTTATGTTCTAAAGTTCTAAACTAACGCGACTACTTTTTCTGATTTCACATAGTCAATAATTTCTCTAAATCATCATTTTCAGGTCTTTAAGTACAAGAAAATCCCTCAGTATCTCGGAAACATGACATGCTCTGACGATGAGGTTTTCGAGATTACAAACCCTGGATTGATATCCCGGATATGGAACTTTACAGTGACAGTAATGACCCAGGTGCAGGACGGTACGTTGGAAATGACCTCAGGGATGTGGAAGAAATGCATTCTGGTCTCAAGGGTAGTGATTGGGAAAGGGTGGAATGGACCAGAGTACATCTGGATTGGAATGGTTAGTTGGACACAGGAAAAATTCGCACGGTTGTCAGACTTCACGTGGAACGGAGCAAGGTGGCTTAGAAAATTGTTGTGGAACTGTGCTAAATGGTTTGCTGGAGTTAATTGGAATGGATTTCGGCGGTTAGCTGAGTTTATCTGGAGCGAACTTCAGTGGTTGGTAGATTTTACCATAAATACAACATATTCGTTTGCCGAGATGGTCCAGAATAAGTCAGCTGAGCTGACCGAGATAATGATTAACGGAGTGATGTGGATCGTTGAACCATTTGTGCCTGTCGTCCACTATGTCACTGATGTTACTGTAGAGTTTTATTTTGGTTCCCTGCATGGTAAGTCAAGTGTAATCAAATCTGAATTTCCATTCGACGGTTCACAACTAGCTTGACAGCCTAACGTGGAGAGTGATCACTTCCACTTCTCACTTTCGGGTCGAGCTAGATTTTCATTATCATCATCATCATCATCATCATCATCATCATCATCATCATCATCATCATCATCATCATCATCATTATAATTATTATTACTGTTATTATTGTTATTAATGTCATTACTTTTTTCGTTTACTCGGGCAATACGGAGGCCCTTTAAGGTTGATACAATTTCTTTTTAATTTCGGCAGTTTCACAATTTTATTTCACAATTATTACATTCAGTTAAAAAAAAAACTCATGCGTCAGTTTTGGGAAGCTTTTCTTTGTTTACTATCTATCAGACTTTTTTTTTTCCAACAGAACATGTGAAACATATTCAAGCTCGCTTTGATTTCGTTTCCTGGCAAGATGGCGTCTACGCTGTCTCCGCTGGTTTGGTCGTCAATGTTTCTCTTTTGGTTGCTGCTTTTCTCGTTTACCGGTTATGTGTGCGAACTGTGAAATTCATCGGACGGAAATGGTAAGTTGCATGCTGCGAAATACCTGATACCATGAATGTTTTGCCATTCCCTTTAAACTAACGTCCACTGCAAGAGACTAGAGAGGTCACAAAAAATGGCATTGATAAACCGGAAAGGAACGAGTAAGGCGCGGAATGTATGAGATTAAAACGGAGTGAAAATAACGTGCCACTTAGAAATTTAGCTGTACATTTCCAAGATGTGTATAACATCAAGTAGCTCCCATATATAAAATATAATGATTTGGAATTCGATGGGTCAAAATGGTGTTTTTTTTTATCATGAAGATACACGAACATGAAAACACAGCTCTTGAAGTGGTGTCACCTGCTCTCTTTTGTACCAAAACTCCATCCATTATGCGTCGGTTTCATCCGTGGAAACCGGCTCATTATTTTAACTGAATTAATGAAGAAATCTGACTTCAATCATTTTTATTTTTTCTTTGCTTGTCATTTCTCGCTGGAAAGAGTACAAAGATAGAAGCACTGCCGCTAATATGCCACCGAAACCACAGAAACCAATTTGGCAGCCGAAAAGAAAGCACAAGAAAAAGAAGAGAATTGACGACTGGTAGTCCTCAATTATTTTTACCTTGTTTTGCTACCTCAAAAATGAAAAAAAAAATTTAAAAATTTGTTGACTCGATAAAAATCAGCCTATGGATGTCTGTTTTACTTTGTTAAATGGAGTTTAGAGATATGAAAACTTATGGTAAGTCAGTATGGCTTTTGAGTGTTCATTAAAGTTGTTCAGTCGATGAGGTTTATGTTTTTAAAAGTCTGGTTGTATTTGAAGCCACGCCTTCGTTTGATAAAGTCAATAAATCATAGTGATCTTTGTTCCTGCATGGAATGACGCCCTTTCCAAGAGAAAGAGCAAACTAACAGACTGCATCTCGGAAGTAGATTAATTTCTATTTGGTACCGAAAGTAAGCCGGGGTTGCTTTGATCTCTCTTTACTTCGCCATGTGATTGATTCAGAATACTCGCGCCCCTGTGTGTTACGGTTACGTTCGCCATCGCACTTTTTATGGCGATGAAACATCCTATACCCGTGTCTGTATTTGGCGTGTAGAGCTCCTCTCTATCAGCATAGCACTGGGAGGTTTCTTGTTCAAAGTCCTCAATGATACCGAATGAAATGGCTATCTCGTCGGTTCGAGCGTGACGTCGACTGATTGATCCACTCAAATCATCCACTTTGTGAAAGATGTCCTCTAGCTCTGTTAGAGACTCCACTACAAGACGTAATCATGAGACCAAAGTGAGAGACTCTGTCAGTCCAGTCAATGTGGACACGGGTACTACTCTAAGACGCAATGCTAAAACACGCGCCTGTGAGCATGCCGGTGACATTAGAGTAGACACCAACTGAATCAATGTTGGCGTATTTTTCCTTGATCAGCTGAAACGTCCGACGGGTCATCTCTATCTGCCAGTTCGTAGGCAAAACAATGAAATAAACCACAGTTCACCCTCCTTGCTGTGTTTGATAGGCGGCGGTTCCACAGCAAGGGTCCTGTCCGTGGCCAGGGTCTGTAGCACTCAGCCAGTTGTATTTCCATCGATGACGTAATGTTTTGCTGGACGAACTGTCGTAAACCCGCAAATGTCCGTTAATCGACGTTGAGCAAACCCAGTGATTTTTTCCAGTGTGGTGAATCTGGACAGATTCGTCAGTAACAGCAGAGAAGGATGTCTGGCATAGCAGTGTGTCTTGCCAGCCACCAATGTTCGGAAATTGCTTCTTTAGGAGTTTCTGTGATTGATTGATGACGTTGTCGTCGAGGCGACGTTTGCCCAGGATGGTATCACGATCCCTTTCGAGGAGGTTAACTTTAACGGACTTGGTAGGCTCTGCCGAAGCGTTTTCATCCTTTTGATGGCACCAGATTTCAAAGCTTCTCTGCAGAAGTGTCTTTTTTGGCTGCGACTCTACTGGCTGATAATAGATTTGAGTCTTGAGCTGTTAACCGACGCTTTGCCAGCTCGGTACCATCTTTTCGGTTGTGAAGACCCTTAGGTAGCACCTTACTGATGGTATAGGCCCCTGACATGCCGCTCCAGTTGCCTCCTTTTCTTGCCTTGTTCCGGTACATTTTTTAACACGGTGTCGCCCTCCCTTGAATTTAGTAGCTGAAGCCGTGTAATCGTAGGACTTTTTGTCGCCCTGTGTTTTCGATGTTTGAATTGCTTGAGCCTTCACCTGGTTGCGAATGCTCATCATTAAACGGATTTTTCATCAAAGTCAGAGGGTTCATCCTCCGACTTGTTGAAGTGGCGAGTCTATGTTGGGTTTCTTTCATTCGAAACGAAATGAAAATTTTATTTACTTATGACAAGACTGAGGATTCTAGTGACTCTTCTGGAGTTCACAAACTTCAGTTCATAACCTAATTTTTAATATTTGATACCATACCTTCAGCCGATTTGCTTTTTGAGGAGCTGCCTCTGGCCACTTGCCGAAATAGCAGGTACAGGGGGTGATCAAGTACTTTATTGCCACGGGACGTCCTCGTGGCAGAGGTCCTACCAGATCGATACCAATCCGATGCCACACGGTGTCCTTTACTTTAATCGGATGTAGCTGGGCAGAAAGTTTTTCGAATTTCTTTGAGGTACGCTGGCAAACATCACAACGTTTGACAGTTTCATCGCAGTCTTTCTAACACTCTAGCCCAATACTGAGATGTAACCTGAAGAACAACAGGAGCGCGCCAGTTAATAACTGACAAAGTAACCGTTCCACAATTTAAAAGTTCAAGACAAGGCAGCATTGAATTTGTACAAACCTTTTCTCGTCTTGTCACGGCCAAGTGCCTGGTAAGTTTGTCAGAGGACAAGCTCTCAGTATCTTCGTCGTCCTGTCTTGGCAATGAACCCATCTTTAGGCTCACCTTTTTCTGGCCAATGAAATAAAGCGCACCATCTTCAAAAACATATTTTAGCGCTTTCTTGCGCAAGTTTCTTTGGTCTTTCCAGAAAAATCGATCGGATATTCGTTATCGCGGAGGGGATTAAAGACTTGCTTGTATGTTTTCGTTTCGGCCATCGTTCATGGAATGAATCATAAAAGTGCATTGATAACACTTTGGAAATTCTCTGAGGCCTTTATACATAGCGAAGACAATAAAAATAAAAATAAACCTTGTGTAGGCGTGGAGAAACTAACTTTGCTTTTCAGCAACACAGTAACAACAACATAAAATGAATAATTGTTGTAACACGTTCCACGCTTATTAATTTCTATATATCAAGACAATTATCGTCTAAAGGATCTATTGTCTAGTATGTTTATCACTTCATACCGATAATTTTGTTAACATTCGACTAGACAAAACAATAATAAATAAGGAGAACTTCTCATTTAAGCTTGCAGTAGTAACGAACTCTCTTGTAAAGTTGTCGAGCAAGCCTCTCAGAGCCTTAAGCAGGTTATCACCACAACGTTAGAAAGAGTAGTTGAATCAACAAAGGACCGACAATTTCGTTTACATAGAACACGGAACTTTGATCTCATTAACCCAGTTAAATGGTTCATGTCCTTAGCTAGAACTTTGTCACCATGATCTGTCGGAACGAGACAGTCGGGAGGAAACTTTTTTTTACCATTTAGAAGTTGAAACGTAGTCTGTGTACTGCTCCTTCATTTGCAACACACACGCCGTCAGCTAAAAGCCTAAGACGAAATGATCACTGATTCGTTTAATATGGAAGGGCTAATTTTGCTGCCTTTTGTAAAATTTTCGCAGAGCATTTGTATAATCGTATTTGATCGATAATCTTGTCTTTTTCTTTTGAGGAAGTTGCATTTACTTTCTGCGTCGACTGCTATGTATAATATTCGTTTCATCTCTTTGCTTTTAGAAGTTCTCCTAGAAGAACAATCCCATGTTTACCTGTCACTTCATCTTCCAGTAAACAACCCAACGACCTCGACTTCTACTGGCCGATAACACACGATTCGCTCGTAATTTGCCGCTTACAAGCGAATATAATTGGCATAAAATGTTAAACGCACGTTGAGACAAGCTGATCTCTCGCATTGAGCCAGGACGCAGCCAGCGTGGCTTCCTCTCATGATAAACTTTCAACTTGCGCTTCAATCGAACTTTTCTTACTATTGATCTTTTGTTGATTCTCAAGCTACGAGATTCGACAATATGGGGAAGGTCTTCTTGGTCCGAAGAAAAACCTCTGCCTGTGTTCAGAGAAGATCCGGCGGCCACAGGCGTTGCAGAGGCATCTAAATTGCTGGGTGGCATATCGAACGGGAAAACTAAACTTCAACTTTCTTATAGATTTTTCCCTTTAAAAGTTACTTTATTCAAACTTTTACTTGATCTAAAATCTCGTTTAGGAGGCACATTGGTATCCAAAGCCGTGTTACAAAATTCGTTTCAAGGGGTTCGCCAGCTATGACAACAGGGGTTGAGTTCCTTCAGGCCCTCTTTTGACCTCTTGGGTGGGTTCATTCGAGCGGTAGACATGAGCGTAACAAGTAGACGAGGCCTGGAAACGAGGTGCACGTAAACATTGGTAAACAAGATGGCGACGGAAATGGCCTCTGAATGCAAGATTATAGTTAAAAAACCTATGCTACTGAAGGTTGGAGATTTGGCTAGCGAGTTCAGGTCTGGTGTGTCAGTGGTTGACATAATTCTTCCAGGAATGAATGCTGTGCAGGTAATGCAGAATTGGATTATTTAACCCACACACTCGAACAATCTATTCGGTTCGCCTTCAATCTTGCTTCAATGAGTCAAAATGTAGGAGATTCCAGCTTGAAACAAAATCACAGGCTTAACATAGAGCTTCAGAGTTTGTGTGTTATTGAAGGGTGTAGTATAGTGAAATAAACTTCAACATAAAAGAATTTTATTGTACTGTTATTTTCTCAGGCTACAAAAGTTGCCTCTTTTTCGTGAGTTGTTTCGAGCATTGCTTGTAATAGGGCTAGGTGCTAAATTTTTATTTGTAGGAATTTTTAAATTTTCGCTAGAACGTAAAGGGCTCAGCCTTTTATTCCACCTTATTCTGTTTAGTTCTCTTACAATTCAGAGGATAGATTTGATAGCATTAATTGCATTCTCTTTTCAAATGGATGTACTCCTATGCCATGTATTGTGAGAGATCTAAGTAAGAACAGCTTAGATTGAGAAAATCATACTCAGGCCCTCAAAGCCTTGGGCTGGGCAAATCAATCTGTTCTAGTTGCTAAATAGCTGATATTAAGGAATTATATGATGAGGTTAAGCATGATATTCAACAATTATTTGCTGAAGGCTAAGTGGATATTGTTGAATAATCCCCAAGACAAAGTCAAGGGGATTATATGACATTATTCATCGAGCTATAGGTGAAAAATTGTTGAGGTGCTTTCAAATTATGTTGTAAACATTTGTTTTGATGATGAAACCATTTTTTCCAATTGATTTGACTACTGTTATCAAAGAGAAACACCCTACTCTATATTGACTGTATGCCCTTGACCAATCAGAGTTTTGATAGTAGGTCTAATGTATGAGAACATTAGTTATCAAACAGTTCAGATTATTAAACTTAGCTTAGCTTAGTTTTTTTCTCTTTTTAATGTACTTTATCAGGTTGGAAAGCTGACATTTAAGAACTCTTACACAGCGTCTGTTATGGTAAAACTGAAAGTTATAGGTAAGTTTGTTCATAAAATTGATATTTTTCTTTTAATATTTGTGATTTCACTGATAAAAGTGTTGCAAATCCATTTATACCACTCTTATATGATTATGATATATCTTTCATTTTATAATATTAATATATCATGATCAGTTAAAGATGAAAAGATGCAATCCTTCTGAGAGTAATTACTATGCAACTTGAGTCAGATGACTAAAGGCAATTTTGTTGTAATGGTTACAAACACTATCAGTGATACGTAGTCATTCTGAACAATTGTGAAATGGGAAAAATGACAGTTTAATAAATACTATTACTGTATAATTTGTTGTTAACTGAAGGACTCTTTTAGATCATGCAGGTGCTGAGCAATGGAAAACCCTTGTGAAGAACTACACTCTGATGCCTCATCCTCATTTAGAAACAGGAAGCCAGGATTTTTTTGTGATTAATATTAGTAAGGTATAAAATTTTACTTAAATGTGATACAAGACAACTAAACAGTAACACTTGACTGATGAAAGAAGATCTATTCAAAGTTAGATTTTCTCTCTGAAGTTCTATATTAGGTAGATGCATAGCTTGAGGGAAATAAAGATTATTATTTCTCATACTTAAAAGGTTTTAAAGAATTGAAGAGGTAAACTAAGGCAAATTGACAAGCTTTGAAAATACACTGAACATCAATCCCTTTTTGGGGAAGAGGACATTTTATTATTGATTATTATCTTACAACATGAGAGAGAAAATTTGGCATAGGGGAAAACTCTTATAAAATGGTTGGCAACCAATATTGCCCTAATCAACTGTGGTCTTGTTCACTTTCATACACTTGACATTGTGAGACACACTTGTATTGCTAATACCATGTGCGATTCTGTAACAATGAGATGCATAAACAGTGTGTGTGAGCCAGTTCTGATACCATGTTCCTTTTCACCTTGGGAACTACTTGTAGAAATATTAGTGTACTCCTTCCAAGTGGTTTCAGATTGAAAGGCAGTGCCAATCAAGGATTAAATTATCTTTCAGCTTGGTAATTGTGAATTTCTATTTTCTGATGTACTTATCATTTTTATTTCTTCAGAATGCTTTTCTGGCCTGTGAATAACAACTTAGGACTGTAAATTCTATTTTACCAAAGCTCCTTACTTTTCTCTAAAACACAACTAGTCACATACAGGGTAATTTTATGAAATGCCAATTGTCATCTTTTTGTTATTTCCTTTGGGTAATGAAGAGGTGTAGTCACTTTTTCTTGACCGGCTGACTATATTTCATCTGCAATGATCATGAGTTGGTTTACCTCTTGGAACAAGGGAAATGTTAAAATTTCCAAACAGAGATTAGTGACTGGTTTTTCGGTGGTACTGGATGATGATTTGTAATGATTATGTGGCTCTTAATTTCTCCTTAGGGTAAATTTTCTATTAGTAGAGGGTTGCCAATGTTCAGTGCTAAACCTTGAAAGTTTCCCTTTGTACAATGTTTTTGCCTTTATTTGATAAAGATGGAATCACATTTAGGTGCTCTCATTTGAAAGGGTAAATCTTCCTGTCTATTTTTTCTAGAGTTTCCAAATGTGTTAAAGGTAATGCAACTGAAAACTGTGGCTGAAACTTCCCTTTATTCAGCAGCTAGTGGTTACTTATTGTGTAGAGTTAAGGACTGTAAACAATGGGCATCATTCAAAGATTGGAATCACTATTTTCCTGTTATCATGATTACTCTTGGCATACCCAGGTGGATACAAAATAATACAAAGGAAACCTCTAAACTTAATGAATTAGCAGTTTCAATTAATGGTATTATACTCTCTTAGATGTCAAAGCAGTGTATGTTATATATTACAATAAATTAATTTTTAGAGGTTAAACTGGCAAAAATAAATAGAGTCAAGTATTGTACAGTACAGCTATCACACTGAGATCACTTTTTAATCATTTTAGACTGACAAGCCTCCTCTTCAAGTGATAATGATGAGGTTAATTCTCCGACAACCTTCCCCTCACTGGAGTAACTTTGGCATAGAAGAGATAAAGTGCTTTCTACATTCACCTATGGTAATTCAACAAGTTTTTTTGTGCTTAAACTAACTTTTTGTTTGTCGAAAGTTAAAACAGAATGATATTTTTTCACCTTTCTATGCCCAGATGTTTCAAACAAATCATGTATTGACATCTCAATACAGTTATGAACAGTTGAATGACAAATAAATGGAAACATATCATTCTGTACCAACTTTTAGAAAGATGTAAGAATACATATTGACCCTTCAACTCCAATGAGTGACCAGGACAGAATTTCTCCTTACAATACCAATACAATATCAGTTATAAATGTAACGAGAATAAAATAAAATATCAACTAGGGAGATAATTAGTTGATCCATTTAACTAAATTCTCCCAATTAAACTCATAAGAATTGTATGGTTGACAGTAACAAGAATTACCAATGAGATCTTGGTTGTGAAAGGGTTAAAGCATTCATTCATTCATTCTCCAGAGGAAAAAGTTATCAATAATATATTATTTTGTCAAATTGTTGAACCAGAAGCATATACCAGCAGCAGGTTGAAAGTATTATGAAACTGTGTGTAAATTTCAAATACTACTGAATGTGGAAAAAATATGAATCCAAAGTTTGTAGTATTGAGTTTAGATCTGTTGGTTTATATTAGTCCCTGCCCCCTTCTTTCACATTTTAAAACCAGTATGGATGATATCTTTGCAAGTTCTTATGTAGAATCAAAACAGTAAACATGGAAGGAAGTGACATCCCTTTATGAATTCACAGTTAATTCAATGATCATTAAACCACAACTCTTAGCTAATACCCCATATGCATCAAAGCTTTAATATGTTTTGAGCTGTATGTTAAACACTGTATAGAATAGTTTTCTTTATAGGAGCTAGGTAAACTGCTGCTTTTCAACTTCAACTTTAATACTTTGAAATAACGACTAACTACTTTGCATGAGAAAATTCAGTTTTTCAGTTCTCTGTTTCTGATTTTCATTCAGTTAAACCCGGTTGAACTAAACATGTTTTGCTGGCATGAATGGGGTACTAGTCTTGTTTGAATTTGTTTAAAAAATGTTGTCATTCTATTTTCCAATGTCATGTGTAGAAAAGTCCAAGATATAGCTTTAATGCTACAAATTCTAGCATATAATAAGACTGTCATTGCTTTTCAGAATTGCTCATCAGTACCAGAATGGCTACATAATGATGACTGTCATAATCCTGGTGGAATCAAAGCAGTACAGGTGCATATCCAATGTGATATAATTGTAGTACTTGCCATCTGTGTGGTTGTGTTAGTGTACAACCTATTGAAAATTATTGTAAGAGTTTTTGTAAAAACTCCTCTAGGACTCACAAACGCTATGTTTTGTTAAAATTAATTGCCCTCTGCCAGAGTATTAGAGGCAGGTTGGTCCAAAGTTGGTTGAAGAGGATTTAGTCTCAGTAGCTGTTTGTTGTCCAGTGTATGTCACTTTCAATAATTCCATAATTTTACATTTTAACATTTTACAGTCAAGTGAATTGGGTGCTTCTAGATGTGGTAGTTAAACTTAATAATTGCAAAGTGACCATTTTATCAAGAATTCATTGAAGCTTACAATCTTTGTTTCAGAATGTCTCTAACTCAGAGAATGTGGCCTCCAGCATTCAGCAACTTTGGGCATTGACCCAGGGGGTGATATCCTCAAAACAGAATCTGTCTATTGGTCGTTTTGATGTAAGTTTTAAGCTTTATTGGTTTCAATAGCAATGATAAAAATTCACTCATTTGGCTGATCATGAGAACTTGTTTTTTAGATTGACAGAAGCTATGACATCAACTTGTTATCTTACACATAACAGTACAGCTGCTTGATGTATGTGATTTCCTGGCCAAGGGAAGAGAGGAAATATGAACCATGTGATGTTCATATGTCAGTATGGTTCCATACAGAGTAAACAAGGCTGATGCTTACAATGTATCATCTATCTTCAACTGGGAGATTCCCAATGGGAGAAGCATCTGAGAATTCCTACAGATGTAATTATGGATCTGACTGAGTTTATACAACAGAACGACCAGTTTGAATTTGATAGTGAACACTACACTTAGGACAGCTATTGACTAAAAAATGGCACCTGCCTATGTCAATTTATTTAGGGATAGATTGGAAGGAAAATTTTTGACACAAGATCTGATTAGGCTGTATGTTTGGTTGAGACACATTGATAACATTTTTATGGTGTGGACTAGTGGCAAGGATGAATTGGGAACATTTTTTAATTACTGAAATGAATGATGAATGTATGATACAATAAAGTTTATGTGTCACTTAACGGGTTTATGTGGTTTATTTGGAGCCCTCATGATGAGCAGATTTTGCCACCTGAAATTGACCATAATTAGTGCTAACGTTGTATGTGAAGTCTCACGTGCCACATTGTAAAGGAATAATTGATCCACAAAGTTCCCCAAATTAAATCTTAGGTCATTCATCTTGTGGGGTTGGTTAAGCATTACACATTAATCCACCGTACCAATCTTGGCAGAGAAAAAATTGACCTCGTACGCAAGTCTCTTCTGCGGTCGTGTCCTTTCTGGTCATCAAGAGAATAGCCAGAGAGAGGCGAACTTGGAAATGACAGAAAACGCTCGTTTTCAGCGTAATGCGCGGGTAGTGTTGGTATTGAGACATATAACAGGATTTTAGATCGTAAACTTAGGGTGATAAAAATGCCGATCGGGAGGATTTTCGATGCGCAAACCGCCTCCGCGTGGACAACAGTCGAAATCGTAGTGTTCAGCCTTGACATCATCTTATAGCAGGAATAGCATTAATGGCAAAGCAAGCTTAAAACGGCAGAGAAAGCCGGAAATCACGACGGAAACACAAGATGTTAGTAAGTTCTATTGATTTTACGTGAAAGATGTTCATATTTTGAAATACTTATCATTGTAAATCGACCATATTTCGTTCCCAATACTATTCCTATATTCTCAACGGTTCCTCTCGTAACTTAACATCGAGCCACACAACGCGTGACACTTTCATGAAGAGTCTGCTCCACGTGGAACTCTTATCGCAAGATGCCCGTAAAAATAAGAATAGGCGTCGCACCTCGCGTTGAGATACCGACCTAAACATTGACTTTAGACGGATGTTAGCACCCTGGTTCATCTTCGGGGCTTCTCCCTTTTTTCTGAAACAGATCTTTCCGTGGCGTTCCGACTAGATCATACTTTCATCTGTGAAGATGATGTCTTCTAAATTCTCTTCGCTCTCGAGGGATTAGTGGGCGAAAGCCAGTCGGGCAACTCAGTTTGCCTCGAGAACTAGTTGGCAGTACTTAGACCCGTATTTGGTCCATCCAAGTTTTTGCCGAATTCGTTTGATGGTAACCGTAGAAGGCTGAACACCCAGCCAAGTCCTCGACACTAACACATACTATGCTAAGATGTCAGCGCTGATCGGGATCGGACCATGCAGTTCATACGGAACGGAAAGATATCAGTGACCAACTTTGCTCAATACTCTTCTATCATCGGCGGTGAGAAGATTCAGGACCACGAGATCATGGTGTCTTTTGACGTAGAGTCACTGTTCATCAACGTCCCCATTGAAGGTGCTGGGTGTTAGCGTAGTCCTCGATACTAACACATACCATGCTAAGATGTCAGCGCTGATCGGGATCGGACCATACAAGCTCCTTGAGAAAGATCCGTCGGACCCGCAAACTGTTCGAGAAGCTGCTCTCCTTTAAGCGGAACGGACAGATCAGGGATGTAGATAACAGGCGGAAGCCGGGAAAATTACCCGGCTGTGAACTCGATTTTTCCGGCTGTGAAGCACTACTTCTTTCCCCAAAATGTTTTTAAATGTTGTCAGAAGATTGTTATTTATTTATTTCATTTGTTTACACCTTCACATCTAGGTATAGCGTGCCAAAGGTACGCTAGAGTTAGGTGGGCCTTCGGCCCGAATACCCGCCTATCATTGCAAGATTCCCGCCTGCTAAAAACTTTAGCTACATCCCTGACAGATATCAGTGGCCGACTTTGCTCAATTCTCTTCTACCATCAGCGGTGAGAAGATTCAGGACCACGAGATCATGGTGTCCTTTGACGTAGAGTCACTATTCATCAACGTCCCCATTGAGGGTGCCGTAGAAGCCGCGCGACGAAGATCAGAGAGTGACCCAAGCCTTGCAAACCGCACGACACTAGCACCTGCTCAGATTGCGAACCTCTTAGACTTCGTGAGAACTTGCGCGTCCAAAGAGCGAAAACAGTCAGTCGGGGATGAGAATTAGAGAAGAAAAAGGAAAAGAGAAGTGAACCAGAACAGGTATGTTATTAAAGCGGAACGGGCACATATCAGTGACGAACTCAGCTGACTTCTCTTCCGTGAGAAGACTCAGGACCACGAGATCATGGTATCCTTTGACGTAGAGTGACTGTTCACCAACATCCCCCTATATGTTTAGCCCGTGCCCAGACCTCCACCTCCACCTCCACCTCTACCACCAATTTTGGAGTCAGACCTCTCGGAAAACAAGGACTCGCCTGAACAATGGGGATCGAAATCCACCAATCACATTATATCGCAGTGATACACCTGATAAAACGTTAGCAGTCGACCTCATCGCCAGATGAAGACTTTCTTTTACGGTAGTGACTTATTTGTGACTCACAGTTCTAAATATACGTTTAGGATATCAACGAGAACATAGATTAACACATTAAGTGAAATGGCTTGCTTTCAAGCAAGGTTTTATTTGTACTGCACGGAAGTTCCATACTGCTAGACTGTGATTGGCTCTTTCTGTGAACTTTCGATCCGACCTCTAGTATAAATACAATTTCAATTTAATTATGTTTTAGTTAATGACGTAAAGTTCACTAACAACCACCATGTCTTTCAGGGCTAGTTTGAAGGTACCAAAGTATGGTCTGTTCTATTTCCCAATAGACCAGACTACTAGTATTATTCCTATTAAAAATATCCAAAAAGTTGTCCAAGGAGACAATGTAAGTAAGGGTAGCAAAGTAATGGTTAAGTTCGAGAGGCAAGTTTATCAAGCAGAAATAATCGGTGTTAACGGTACGTGTGCTCATTTTTGGTTTACTAGTATTCAATTCTATTGTGTTCGTTTAACTTTAGAGTAACTATACTCAGGCTTCCTTTTACGTTGTCTAAACATCTGCTTATACTTCAGATGATTTTTCCGAATTGCGCGAAACGGAATCTAAGTTTCTCGAGGACCTGTGAGAGATTATTCAGCGTTAATTGATTTCCGGTTGATTTTTTGCGATAAGTGACAGATGATTGAACAATAGGATCATATTATATATTTAAAATGAGAGAGACCAGAGCGAAGGACAGAGAACGGTGAGAGAGAGGGAGATTAAGTTGATTTTATAAAATAAAACGTGAAGTTTCGGAACATAGCAGATTCTTTAGTCTCATTTCCGACACAGTGGCACCTCCGACGAGACGCGCGAAGCATGGAGGAACTAACCAAAGAAGCAGAGGCTAAATTGCAGATGTTGCTGTACACTAATGGAAAAACACGTGGCGTTGTGGAAAAGGGAAACCTAGGAGCGGTCGCGCGACATCGCGACAACCTACAAGCATTAGTAAAAGAAGTAGACGCGCTTAAACTAAAGGTTGAACAGACCATGTTCAAGGCCGGGAAAAGTGCAGAAGACGTTGGAAGTTGGAGCAGTAGCATTGAAGAACCGATCGCCGAAGCTGACGAAGAAGTTTCGCGACTAGAAAAATGGCTCGTGGAGACGAATGGAGAGATCGAACATCGAAAGCACAAGGACGAAGAGGAAAGGAAAGCCCGTGCTCGTGAAGAGGAGCTTAAATTCGAAAGAGAGCAAATGGAGATGAAGCTAGAATTCGAACGTCAACTGGAAGAGACCAAGGCAAAACAGCAACCTGTTGAGAAGGCCAATCAGATTGAACAAAGGACAACAAAGCTACCGAAACTACAAATCACAAAGTTTAATGGGACGTATGAAGCATGGCTGCCGTTCTGGAACAAATTTCAAGCTGAAATTGATAAAGCAAACCTTGCATCTGTGACCAAGTTTGCATACCTAAAAGAGCTGGTAGATCCAAAGGTTCGAGCGGAGATAGACGGACTGCCTTTCACAACAGAGGGCTACGAAAGGGCAAAGAATATCCTCATCGGCGAATATGGGAAAACGAGCGAGATCGTGAATGCGTACGTCCAGAACATCGCGAATTTGCCTGTCATTACAGGAACACAACCTGCGCCTATCCACGAATTTTACAAGAAGCTCGTGTACAATGTGCAATCTTTGGAGACACTGGGCAAATTGAAAGACGTCACTGGAAATGCAAGGAGTGTGCTCGACAAACTAAAGGGTGTAAAAGCAGATCTAGTGAGAGGACAAATGGACTGGCAGGACTGGGACTTCCCACAGTTGATAAAAGCTTTGAAAAGTTGGAAGGAAATCAACCCCATTGGGAACGGCGCGGATAATGCGGGGAAGCAAGGTGCTAAATTCCGCGATCGCGAGAAAACATTTCACACAAACGAAACTACGCCAACACAAAGAGGGTGCGTCTACTGTGACGCAACTGACCACAGAGCTGTGAATTGCGACAAGTTTGTGACAGTTGGAGACCGCAGGAAACAATTAGGACTGAAACAGCTTTGTTTTAACTGCACAGGAAGTCGACACCGTGCTTCTGAATGCAAATTCCGTTCTGGCTGCCAGATCTGCAGTCGAAGACATCATACATCGATCTGTGACAAATATACATCGCGAGACCAGCTGATGACCACAACGAGCGCAGAAAGGAAAGGAGTGGTGTATCCTATGGTAACAGTTGACGTTAACGGTGTTAAATGCCGAGCATTGTTGGATACAGGAGCCGGAAGTTCCTACGCTTCATCAACGCTTCTGAACTGTTTACATTTGCGCCCTATCCGTCAACAATTCAAGCGCATTGAAATGATGTTTGGTACTTCAAACAAAGCGATAGACATCTATGGCCTACAAATTCGAAGCGTTGATGGTAAATTCACCTTAGAAGCCGAAGTAAACAAAGTCGACCGCAATGAGTTGTTGACATTGGAAAACCCAAAATGCGCAGAAATCGTAGCTCAGTTTTCTCACTTGAAGGGCGTAACCACAAATGATAACGACGAGAAAGCGATGTTGCCTGTTCATCTGATCCTTGGAACAAACGAGTACGCTAAGATCAAAACAGGGGCAAGACCAAGAGTTGGGCGCTCGGGAGAACCAGTAGCAGAATACACGAAGTTCGGCTGGACGATCTTGTCACCTGGAACAGAGTTGGATCTCAGCAACATGTTGTTAACGCAGACCTCCGCAATTGATTACGAAGAATTGTGCAAGTTAGACGTCTTGGGGTTGAAGGACAATCCAAGCGGAGACCAGGAAACAGTTTACGAAGAATTCAAAGAGCAACTAACTAGGAGTTCAGAAGGCTGGTACGAGACGAACTTGCCCTGGAAAGGAAATCACCCCCCCCTACCGAACAATCACACTGGAAGTTTAAAACGTCTCAAAAATCTCGTGCGGAAGTTAGAGATACAAGGCGAGCTGGAGAGGTACAACGACATTATCCAGACTCAACTGAGCCAAGGGATCGTAGAACACGCTGACGAGGTGGTCAAGGACGGAAAAGAGTTCTACATTCCTCATAAAGCGGTCGTGCGCGAGAATGCAGAATCTACAAAGATACGCATTGTTTATGATGCTTCTGCAAGAGCTAATGCAAGTGTCCCCTCACTCAACGAGTGCCTCGAAATCGGCCCTCCACTACAGAACCAGCTTTGGAACGTGCTGGTACGAAATAGGTTCTATCCCGTGGCAATAGCTGGCGACTTAAAACAAGCATTTTTGCAAATTCGCGTCCGAAGAGAAGACCGAGATGCCTTACGCTTTCATTGGATAAAGGATCTGGCAAGCAAACAAGTAGATACCTTGCGATTCACTCGAGTACTTTTTGGTTTGGCACCGTCTCCATTCCTCTTGGCCGCAGTTATCAAAGAACATCTACAGCGATACAAAATGGTGAACCCGGAATTAGTAGAGGAGATAGAGCGCAGTATGTACGTGGATGATTTAATCAGTGGTGGGGAGACAACAGAACAAGCGTTAGAAATCAAGATGACAGCCACGACCATCTTTGGTGAGGCGACTTTCAAGCTGCACAAGTGGCATTCCAACGATCGGGAACTAGAAGTTGAAACTGCGACTGTAGATGAAGAAAGTCAGAGTTACGCCAAAAAACAACTGGGAACCAGAAAGGGCGAATCAAAACTGCTAGGAGTCCCCTGGGACAAAGAAAAGGACGAAATTCAAGTCAGCTTCCCGATTTCAACCGCTGAGCCGACAAAAAGAGGTATCCTTGGAAAAGTCGCAAAAATCTACGATCCACTCGGTCTGGCTTCACCCGTGACCCTCTCCGGAAAAATGCTCTACAGAGACGCCTGCGACACGAAGATCGCGTGGGATAGGCCCTTACCAAGTGACTTACAAGCCAAATGGAAGAAATGGGAGCAAGGACTTCCAGAGCACGTGAACGCGCCAAGAAATGTCGTCAAGCATTTAGGGAAGATATTATCAATCGACTTACACACATTCGGGGACGCAAGCGGGAAAGGAGTTGCAGCCGCGGTTTATGCAGTGGTGGAGCAACCATCAGGCACGAATCGAGGCCTCGTGACGGCAAAGTCGCGGCTCGCGAAGAAAGGACTCACGATTCCCCGATTAGAACTAGTGGCTGGACATATGGCTGCGAACCTAGTACAAAATGTGAAAGAAGTCCTGAAGGGTTTTCCCGTAAGAAGTGTCTATGGTTGGCTGGATAGCACAGTCGCACTGCATTGGATCCGTGGTAATGGCGAATACAAACAGTTCGTGGGAAATCGAGTGAGGAAGATCCAGGAAAAAGAAATAAACTGGAGGCATGTACCAACAGAAGAGAATCCTGCGGACGTGGGGAGTCGGGGAGGAGATGTTAGTAGATTGACAGCTCTTTGGTGGCAGGGACCAAGCTGGTTAGCAAAACCACAGGACTGGCCGCCAGACCTTGTAACGACATCTACTCAAGAATCAAAAGCGGAAGAAGGAAACAAACTCGCGAGTTGTTTGCTCTAGCAGTAGAGAAAACAGAGAACAACGACGCCTTCGATGCGCTGCTGGAGAAGTACGAGCTGTGGCGTGTGTTGCGAGTGGGTGCTTGGATCTGGAGATTCCTCCACAACATAAGAACCGTCCGTAAATAGAGAATCGTTGGTCCCCTTACCACTGAAGAAATACAGAAACAGACAACGTTCTGGATCAAGCGATCTCAACAACAAGCAAAGTCGAGCCAGAAATTTGAAGAAGACCGTTTACAGTTGAATGTGCAAGGAAACCAAGAGGGAATATTAGAGTGTAGGGGAAGAATTCAAGGCCATTACCCCATCTTTCTGCCAGACTCCTCGCCCTTCACTCGCAAGTTAGTTCACCGATTACATGTCGACACACTGCACGGAGGAGTGGCCCTTACCATGACCAAAGTGCGAGAGCTATACTGGGTACCGCGTTTAAGGGCACTCGTAAAACAAGTTCTCAGAGCGTGTTCAGGCTGCAAGCGTTTTCAGGCCATGGCACTAGCAACGCCGCCTCCCGGACTCCTACCCACTGACCGCACAGAGGGGAGCACCCCATTTGAGGTTATCGGAGTCGATTTTGCAGGGCCCATCAAGTACCGTATCAGAGCCAAAACAGAAGGAAAGGCCTATCTTGCATTGTACGCGTGCAGTCTTACCCGAGGATTATTCCTGGAAGTACTACCAAACCTGGCAACCAGTGAATTCCTAAGAAGTCTAAAACGGCTCATCGCGCGCCGTGGGCGTCCGAAGAAGATATATTCCGACAATGGCAAAACCTTTGTTGGCGCCGAGAGGTGGCTCAAACAAGTTATGCGTGACGAGAAGACACAAGATTACTTAGCACATGAGAACATCAAGTGGCAATTCAACCTCAGCCGCGCCGCTTGGTGGGGAGGACAGTTCGAGCGCCTCATCGCACTGGTAAAAACAGCTTTAAACAAGACTATCGGATGCGGAATGTTGACCTGGACAGAGCTGTGTGAAGTGGTACTGGATGTGGAGATTGCTTTGAATAATCGCCCTTTATGTTACGTCGAAGACGACATACAGTTACCCGTGCTTACCCCTAACTCACTGCTATTTCTTCGATCAAACCAGCTGCCAGAACTAGAACCACACCATCTAAGAGAATTTGATCTGCGTAGAAGAGCTAAATATTTGCGAAGGTGCAAGCAGGCTTTGTGGACCAGGTGGACTACCGAATATTTACGAGGGTTGAGAGAACGACACCGGATGAAACACAAGGGTCAAACCACGCCCTTGGCCAAAGGAGAGGTAGTCATCATCAAGGACGAGGAACGAAATCGCAATAAATGGAAAATTGGAATCGTGGAAGATCTGATTTCGGGACGAGACGGAATCGTTCGAGCTGCCAAACTTCGAGCGGGGAAAGGAACACTTGAACGGGCGGTACAACACCTTTACCCACTGGAGCTGTCCTGCGATCGGGAGAATGTACAGGCTCCTCTACAGCTCAACCCCGTAGCCCCGACATTCAGGCCCAGGAGGGATGCAGCGGTAGCCGCTCGTTATCGCATTCAAGATGCGAACATTGATGCCGATTAGAGATATTTAGGAACACTGAACTGATATACTGGACTAACTTTCTGTTTCGTTCATTGAATTTCAAATTTTATCGAGCGCGCCATTCTAGTGTTTTTCTCCTTTGAGAAAAACAGGGGAGTGTGTGAGAGATTATTCAGCGTTAATTGATTTCCGGTTGATTTTTTGCGATAAGTGACAGATGATTGAACAATAGGATCATATTATATATTTAAAATGAGAGAGACCAGAGCGAAGGACAGAGAACGGTGAGAGAGAGGGAGATTAAGTTGATTTTATAAAATAAAACGTGAAGTTTCGGAACATAGCAGATTCTTTAGTCTCATTTCCGACAGACCCCGGAAATTCTGAGCTGTTCAAAAAGCAAGAGGAGGCGACATCAGCCATTACGAGTGAAGAGCCGACCGAGATAGCTGATAAAACGATCGAGAAAGCTGCGTCCAAAAAGCGAAAACAGTCAGTCGCGGATGAGAAGGCGAAAGTGAAAAAGGAAAAGGGAAGTGAACCGGAACAGGTATGTACAGTTATGTTGTGAATTCGAAGAAATTTACTTTAAAGATCTGTCCCGCTTCCCCTAAGTAATTCGCATAAAACAAATTTTGCCTTATAGGCCACCATCCCTAGAACACCATCCCCAGCACCTTTGTCATACACACCAATGCTGCCATCAGTTCTGTCGCCTCTATCACCGACACGTAAACTTAGGCCGTCCCACTCCGTGCCACCAAACCTTTCCCTGCAGAGCCAGACTGACAGCCATTCAGAAATAATCACATGGCTTCGGCATATTTCTGCGCAACAAGAAGCAATGAAAGAGGGATTGAATACGCTAATTGGAGTGCTCGCTGGTAAAACCGAATCAGCCACCCCCCCTGCTGAAAACTTTGAGGCCAAAGTTCAACAAGAAGTTCCACCATTCATTCCATCTGTAAATGAGTGGGTGAACACAATGTTATCTGAGGAAGAAACTCGTGAGGATCCATACCTGTATGGTTTTTAAGTGGTACTGGATGATGATTTATATTGGTTATGTGACTCATAATTTTTCCTGAGGGTAAATTTTATAATAGTAGAGGCGTGTCAATGTGCAATGTTAAATTTTGAAAGTTTCCATTTGTGCAATGTTTTTTCCATTATGTAATAAAGATGGAATCAAAAAGTTGCTTTCATTTGAAAGGGTAAATCTTACCTGTCTATTTTTTTTCAAGTTCCCAAATATGTTAAATGTTATAACTTTTGCATAGAAAGATAAAGTGTTTTCTGCATTCACCTTTGGTAATTCAACTAGTTTTTTATGCTTAAACTAGCTTTTTTCTGTTGGTAGTTAACTAATGATATTTGTTCACCTTTGGGGTGAATCTATGTTGTTGGATGAGTTATACAAATTATGTATTGTTCTTAGTTGAATGGTTTGATGACAAATCACTGGAAACACATTCTTTATCAAATTTTAGAGATGTTAGAATATGTACTTAATCCTTTAACTCAACTGAGTGACCAGGGCAGAATTTCTCCTTACAATACCAATACAATATCAAGCAGAAAAGCAGTGAGAATAAAGAGAAATATCAAGTTGGGAGATTATCAGTTGATCTAATACTAAATTCTCCTCACTTAACTCATCAGAAATGTATTTACCTATATTTAGAAATAACAAACACTGATGGGAAAATAGAGACAGATTTATACACAAAGCCTGCCTACAACCATCTGTATATGTTTCACACACCATGTCAGCCATGCACAAGTAAGGAAACCAAACCATACACCCTTGCTCTGAGGTTAAGACTGATCTTGTGAGAAGGTATTTAGTTTGGGGCAGTGGAACTGTGCACATTTTTTGTTAGAAAGAGGATGACAACAAGAGTTTGTCACCAAACAAATTCAACAATCAAAATTGAAAATCAGAGGGGAATAATCAATACCATGCCCAAATGGCAGAGTACTTATGGTTATCATCAACCATTTTGTTCAAGGGTATGTAGGTGACCTTTCAGGAGAATTGCATTCCCTCATGCTGAACTCCTAAAAATGTAAAAAGCAGTCGAAGGAGTTCCTCTTAGGGCTTTTGAAGGACCAATAAGCCATACTGATTAACTAGCACATGTGAAATTTGTCTGACAGTGCTCCAAGCAGTAATGGAAAGGAAAGAAGTAATGTAGTGATGGGTGAGGTCTGGTGTGCAACATCTGAAACTACGCCACAGATTTAATTTGAAAAGAACCAGAAAAATTTGCATCATTAGTTACAAGCCAGATTGTTATCACAGTACAATTACTATTGTGCAAGGATTGTCAGAAACACTCGGTACATTTAGGATCAACAACCAAGTTTTTATCAGATATCAATAACCACAAGTTGCATCAGGGAGCACACTTACATGTAAGGCTCTCTGTGGAGTATGGAGAAAGAGATCTCTTCAGATATTATAACAGTGTGGGACACCATGAACTTAATGATATTTCAGTTCAAGTGATAGATAGGATGACATAGAAACAAGCCTTACAAGATCAAGAGGGGCAATGGACCTACAGGCTTCACACAATTGGGCCACAAGAGTGATTTCTTTTTAGATAAGAATAGATGGGAAAGAATCTGGGCACACTGAATTTCAAAATTTGTTTTCAAGCAACTACACCTGAAGTGTGTTGTTATTGTGTAGATCTGTGAATAGTTTTTGCTTGAAAGCTTTACCCTGACAAGGATCAAGTGCTATCACTGGGGTTTTACTTAAATCTTCTTTCGTTTGTGTGCCATTGCCAGTGCTATTCAGCTGGAACGAAGTTTGCTTATTTACAGAAAATGTAACACTACTTTCATGATAGCAAAACTATGTGAAAAGGAACTTCTATATGAAATGTCCAAATTGTCACAGACCGTTAATAAATAGATTTCTTGTTATTCATTTTGATGTTGGTTGATTTCCTCATCATTATGCATACAGTTCTTGGTTAAAGAAGACGATAATACTTTGGGTTAAACGGAAATCTCTCCGAAATTACCCTCGTCCCTCGAACTGATACTCGTTTTAAGTAAAACAATGTATAAATTATCGAGAATAATGAAACTGGTCGATCGATGAAGGACATGATACGATTGTCAGTTCTAACTTATGTTCCCAGCAACCTGGCTCAGATGTCTTGGTTTCCAAATATGCTTTTGAGTAAGAGAGTTTAAACTTCGTCCAACACGCGTAACTAAGACAATGAGGAGAAAATTCAAGTGTACGTTAGGGGTAGGACTGCTATGGAATCCAAAAAATACGAGGGCGTCCTCACTTCTTTTTCTTCCTTTCTCTTAATTTAAGATGTGACGAGTTAGATGCCAGATGAGATTTTCTTGCTGTTTCTTCCTTTGCATGGAAATCGTCTTGGTCGTCGACCCGTTTGTTTATAGGAACCACTACAATTGCCAGTATACAGATCAGCTGAAAAATACCACCGAGAAAAAGACCGTAGTGAAGAATCAAATCCCACATTTTCGCTACGCGGTAATGATGTTGTTGACTTGCGACCGTTGCGCCCAGTGTCATTTTGGCTTCGTCGACAATAAATGCTCGTACCCAGACCTTAGTGAGAAAACATGGCTGCTGCCAGTCCGCCTTCTGGAGCGAGCGACAATACTAGCACTCCTTCTAAAATAAGTACTTGTAAGCCAGAACTGGATTTTTCCAATCCTTGGAAAATGAGTGATCTAGTACTTGTTGTCGAAAACAAGCGATTTCATGTTCATCGTACCATTTTATCGATGTGTTCTCCTGTTTTCGACCGGATGCTTTCGTCGGACTTCAAAGAGAAAACTGCAACTGAAATTCCACTTCCTGGGAAGAAGGCGGACGAAATAGAGGAACTCCTTCGTTCTATTTACCCTTACGTGGAACATAAAATCTGTGAAGAAAACTCCTTTTCTTTGCTAGAGCTTTCATGTGAATACCAGCTGGATAGACTGAAGACTCGATGTGAAAAGTACTTCATGTATAAGAGTATGACTAATGACGAAGCACTCGAATTTGTCGTTATGGCACAAAGACATCAGCTTAGTAATGAACTGATTCAAAGGTGTATGCAAAGGTTTGTTTCGCAGGAAACTAACTGGGAAACTCTTAAGAAAAATGAATTATTTTCGCAGCTAGAGCCACGGTATTCACAACAACTTGTAGAGGAAAGAGTGAAGTACCTGGAGAAGAGGCTGACCTCGTGTAAGTCAACCATTGAAGTTTTGAAGATGAAGAAGAGTGACAAAGACGATGATGACCATGGGCCTTGTTCCTATCGAAGACATTTTATGATGAGGAAACGGTTCAGAGAGCTTGAACACTCGAGTCCGTTTGACTAAGAGTCTCTACACTTCTGGAATAAAAAGGGTGTTTGTGTGATGAACTTAATATTTAATTATGACATGTGAAAGAAGAGTAAGCACAAAATTCAAGACTCCAGTTGATAAAGTATTGGACTCATTGGTGTATTCGGGCTTTCAATTTTTTAAATTAACATTGTAGCATTTTGAATTCAACATTTAGTCAACATTTGCAAAAAATCTTATTTGGTAATTACTCTGGAACTGTTGAATGTGGGTTACCTCAAACTATCTCATGTCCAACATGTGCTAGTGAGACAGTTAAATTAATACAGTCATACAAAAAAAGCATCTCAAAATTTGTTATAAACATCAAGTTACAATGTTTCATGAATTACTTTTGCTATCAATGGTTTATGAGCTTAGATATTTGTGTGCACTGTGGAAATCTCAGAGAAGAACCAAATTATATTTATCTTATGGAAACACTAGATAATGTTAGTTAGAATCAGAGTAGGTAAAGCAAGACTTCAGCATAAGTTTTATCTGTCTACTGTAGATACAATAGAACCCAGCTAACTCTCAAGGGAAACAAGGAAGAGTTTGAGTCAGCTGATTGTAAATGATGGAAAAATGGGGTCAAGGGAAATCATATCTTTTTTGAGTTAGCTGGGGGTTTCAAGTTAACAAAGTTTGAGTCAACAGAGGTTCTACTGTAGTCTTTTTTCAATCATCTTAACAAGGCAGGAAATGTTAGTTTTCTCAAACCGGTATGAGCAGTTGACTAAGGGGTGAAAAATGGAATGAATCATAGTCAATTACTTAATTTAATAATAACCCCTCCATGGTAGAAATCTACCATCTGTCTTAGACCTAGCATCAAACTAAGAAAATAAGGAAGGTGATTCATTGAAAATGGATGTTTTTAAAATCAGCCAAAATTAATATTCTCTAACATGCTGATATTTTCATCTAATGCCCCCTAATTAAGAGATCAATTCTGCCCAAAATTTATCTAAATTGCAGGAGCCAAATAAAATGTCATGCTTTCAGGCAGTTAATGTTATATGAACAGTTTAGTTGATTGCTCTCAAACTCAAGGCTTGCCACTCCTAGACATTAATCACCACTGAATGGGAGTCCTCCACCTCAATCAAATAAGAGACAGAAGAAGGAAGAAGAAAGAAGAGAGGCATGCACTGGCACCGGTAGAGAAATTCTGCAATTCCTAAATTTTTTCTTTACTCTTTGATAATCTGTTTGCTTAGTTGCCAGTTGGCAGCAAGGGGTGCGAAAAATTTGCAATCAAATAAAGATTACTTAATGTAATGTGCCTCAAGAGCATCAGAGATTCAGAGCTACAGAGATTTCAAATTTAAGGTTGTTATGTCAGCCTAACAATTTCACCAATCCACCCCATCCCTCCCCCTTCATGAAAATACTTTCAATAACACAAAAAAACATGACCTCATCTGTTTTCCCTTAGGGCTCTCTCTAAAGCATTTTGAGGAGTTTTAGTTTTTGAGTACTTATCATTTCTTCCTCTTAAATCATATTCTTCCATAAAGTGTACAGTAGTTTTACACATGAATGGCATTAACTTTGTAGAGCTTTTGCTTTTTTTCAAACAAATAAGGAAAAGAGGTCCTGCTCGGTAAAGAGCACTTACAAGAAAAGAAAGCAACAGTTGAAAATTATTTCGTGATACTACCTATAGTAAATTGATAAAATAACCATTTGTTTCAATCAATTATTTTTCAATAGTCCACATTCAGTTTACTGTCTTTACCTTTAGGAGTGATGCAGAAATAGCTCGCTTAAGATGGTTCAAATATTTGCTTAGGAGCTAATCTTGAGCAAATAAGATCTACAGAAGATCTACAAAGTGTGTCTTAGTACCTGCAATCCCACTTTTAGTGCTGGATATCACTTTTATGCAGACTTGAAGTGATGTAAAATTGTTCATTGAACACTTAAGATGGTTTGGAGCAAAAATTGCATTACCATGTTTCTCATTTACCCACAAACCCTAAATGCTCCAATTTTCTCCTTATAGAAATTCAAGTTTCAAATAAATAGGCTTCATTTCTAAAATGCCCATACTCACTCCTCCCTCCTCACCAAAGACAGGAAGTCTATCTTGAAATTTGGCACCATGCCTGACTTTTTTGCATAGTGCATTGCAAATGTTATAACATACTATAATTGTAATTTATTTATTCAGACTAGGTAGCATTATCAAAGAATAATTGCGTTTGAGAGGCTGTAAGAGTTTCCCCTTTAAAATTTTGAAGGTTCTTCAACCAAGGAAGTGTCTACTGCATATTAAATTAATTTCAGTCGAGTGAATGTTCACATGAATAACAACGAATGGTATTTTGGTCTTTTGCCTAGGAGCTCTGAAAATTAGTATGCCCTCCAGGAACATATTAGAGTGTTTACAGTTGGTTAATGATACTGATCCTAATTTAAAGTAAAAATCACTAACAAGTTATGAGTCAACTTAGTTTTTCATGAAAAAAAAAAAAAAAAAATGGCAGTTGCAACAAGTAAACAGCAGATATTCTATTGCACTCAGTTTTTAATGGGTTCAAATGATAATTTAACTTACATTGGAACTCACATGAAACTCTCAAGAAATCATACTGGCCTTGCGTTATATCTATAACATCAGCTCTTTAGGTTACAATCTTTACCTTAAAGCTTCATACAAGATAACAACTAGAGCACTTAAATTTTCACACACAAATTAAACACCATGAATTCACTGAAGGAATAAAGAGTCAAGCTAATACTTAGTACCACAAATATGAACCATTCAAGACAGTGACTTGGGAAATTTGAGCCCAACAAGCATCATGCAATAGGCTCAGCAGAGAAAGCAAAATTACTAATTACCATCTTTGTTGCAGATCTCCTGTGATATCTGAAGCATCCATTCTTCAGGATTCACTTTTTACCCAAAGAACTTCATATATGACATCAAGGATGGCATCTATTATTGCAAAAATCAAACTAAACAGTTTGAATTCAATTGAAAATAACAAAGCCATACTTCTTTGAATAATAAGACATTACGGCATGGAGTAGGGGTTCTAACCTTCAAAACAAGTAGTTATCTATCATACATAATTATTAAATTTATTTTTTATTTAGTATAACTGGCGACCAACTCCTAAACTTCAATAATCTTAAGATCTGTCTCCAACTTGGCCTGTCTGTTTCCATTCACCACTTCACCAATAATCCAGGATGGTTTTCCATCTAAAGCTTCAAGCTCATCACAGTAACTCTGGGCTTTGTCATGTGGCAGACAAACAAGAAGACCACCTTAGAATCAAAACAAGTAATGTTAAAAACCTTAAATAATGTTTTAGATGTCTATATTTAGTCTACAGGCAGTCCCTCATTTTAAAAGAAAAAAAATCAGTCTCACTCCTAGGGTTCTATGCAGGCCACTAACATCAACTTTTTTTCACTTTTTTTTCCCTTATGCAACATACTTTGAAAAAGAGGAGGAACTGCAAACATTCTAAGGTATATCTTGCCATAATAACCCTACACACCATTGTTATGAGCTGACAAAAGCATTTTTATCATTTAAACACCAATGAAATACCAAGTAAGTTTTTGCTCAAAAACGTGATATCTTCACATGTGAAGATAAATGCTGTCTTCACACCTGAAAAGATCACTTTTGCTATGGTCACATATGAAAATCACACCTTTTGAAATAAATTAGTATTTCATTGGTGTTAATATAATAAACTGAACATTTTATGGCTGCTTGGAGGTACGACAATTTTTCATCTTGTGTTGAAAGATATTTCTCTTGTTTTCTTTGCTCACTTATGAAATATTTTTCAACACTTGAAGAGAAATTTCTTACCTCTGTGCTGCCATGTAATATCCTCTCTCTATTAAAAAAAACACCAATGAAATACCAAGTGATCCTTTGTCTGAAACATGATATCTTCATACATGAAGATAACATGTTATCTTCACATGTTTTGTGATATTTTCAAACATTAAAAGAGAAATTTCGTGTCTCTGTGCCATCATGCAATATCCTCTATATCTCTGTCCATATTTCTGCTACTCATGAAATTCACAAAAAGTAAAAATGAATCAATCGGTTATTGAAAGAAAATGTAACTGCCAATGAGAATACCTATGACAAGCACACTTGGGCTCAATAGGCAACCTATATGGCATGTTGTTAGCAAATAATGCCAACACAGTTTAACCCTTTAACTCCCAGATCAAATTGGTAATTCTCCTCACTGTCAACCATACAATTCTAACAATGCTAGTGCAGAAAACTTAGCATTGGATCAACTAATTATCCCCAAATTGATATTTTTCTTATTCTCATCACTTATCTGGTTGCTACTGTATTGATATTGTAATGGGAAATTCTGTCTTAGTCACTCATGGGAATTAAAGGGTTAAGGTGGTACTGGAAGCTAACTTGGTGAATTTTCAACAATTTTGAGTATAAAACATTTTAGGACAGATTTGTTGCAACAACTTGGAAAGATTTTTAGTGTAGTCTGCCAAATACTATTTTATTTCAACAATTTCATCCTCAAAAAATCAAAAAAAGGTTGAGATCCAATACCCTCTCATTTAGTAAATTTGTGGCAGAGCATGGCAGACTGTGCTGTAGATTTTCCTCATTGTAATTAGTTTTGGTTTGCCAAGTTTCAGATCAAAAGAATAAATCTTCCCAGAGATTATGCTGTTGCAATAGCATGACACCATGAAGCTGCACTAATTTATTTGTGAAAAGCAGCAATATCTTAGGTAGAATTCATCAGAGAACCCATGTTTACTTTCGTTCCTTCAGTCTCCATCTTGTGTAAGCCAGTGATAAATAGCTGCAGCGGCAAGATGCAAAATAGCGCAATATAGATGGTCATGATTGCCATATTCATCTTTCAATTTTTTTCCTCAAACCAATCACAACACAATAATTATTTGCCCCATCTGTAGCAACAACACCTATCCTGTAGTATTAAGACAACCTTAGCACCTATGCTGTGCATTAGCAAGAGATGGAAAAGCAAAAGTAGAGGTTGCAATAAATGTTCTAGGCCTTCTCTCACTTAAAGAAATTGATTTTGCTTAGCTGGAAATTGAAAAGAAGGAAGGAGCATCACTAGAAATAACAAAAATACAAAGTGGTGTGGGTATTTAAAAGTCACAACTTTCAATCTATTAAACATGGTGTGACAAAATAGAATACATGGTTATTCACTCCCTTATGGTTGTGAAACATCTCTAAAATTAGAAATCATTAAGAAATTTTTAGAATACCAAGGCTAATGAAAACATATTTGTATTTTTGTTGCTTGGGAAATATAAGTGGTTAGCTACCATCAAGCTCTTTCCCATAAAAAAAAAAAAAAAAGTGTGTCATAATTCATTACTAAATGATTACTTATGAAATGGATGTGTCAGAAATGTAAGTTAAAGAAAATACTGGATGAACTGCCCACACAATTAGACCAGGATCCCATCTCTATTTTGCTGCCAGATTGTCCTTTGAGGCAAAAGTTATATTGCATGTATTTCTAAGACAGCACGTTTTTTAACTGTCAAATTTTAGAAATAAACTACATAAAACTTAGCCGTAATCTTTACTATATAACAAAATAAAAGCATTCCAAAACAGTAGAGTTAGCCAGTACCGCTTTGATTGGAAAGCTACATCATGTTCAGTTATGACTTACCAGAAGTTTCAGCTGAAAATCCATCCAGTAATTTGAAATTAATACCAGCAGCCTTAAAAATCTTCACCATGTTGGTCAAGATGGGAAGTGTGTGTATTTTAAATGACACCTCGCCTTTCTGGTTTTTTGCCAAATTATTTGCATGTCCAAGAATTCCAAATCCAGTAACATCTGTAGCACCATGGGCATCATACTTGTGCATCATGCGAGCAGCATTCCGGTTCAACCTAGACATTGATTCCACAGCATTCTCGTAGCTTTTTTCTACTTCTGCAGGTGTAACAACATCCTTGATCTTGTTCCAAAATTTGGGCTGTTGAGATGTCAAAGTTAGACTTCAAGTTAGCACCTTACATTTAGAGTAAAACTGGTCTCAAAAGAGAAAAAGAAAAAAAAGAAGACATCTTGGAGAGAGTTATCCAGTCTCTCTGATAGCCTGTACAACAAATCAGTTATTTCATCCCAGAAAGTAGTTTATACACAACAATAAAATTTTCAGTAAATCATTTTTATGAAGGGAGAGACTCACATCAATATCCTCCAACCACTGGTGTGCATTGACAGCAATCTGAGTTCCAAGAGGTTTAGTAAGGACCAAAACATCACCAGCCACTGCACTTTCTGGCCTTAACATAAAGTAAATCAACAATTTGTTGGTTAATTTATTCTTCAAGGCTGGTTGTATTTAATTCAGCAAATTTGATAAACTGAAGATGACAGGAAGATGAATTAACCCTTTACACCCTAATATTAGTGTCCATATTCTCATCATTGTTGTCTTTACATTTCCCATGATACTGACAAGGAGAATCTATTTGACAATCAGGAGCTCATTGAATTAAATTTCCAATCTTAACAATTTAATAGGCCAAAAAAGACATTTTTCCAAAATCTCTTGACAAAACGTTGCATCCCCCTCTTTGGATCATATTTCAGCGATCTCTCCCTATGGAGAAAAGTCAATAAAATTTTGTATTGTATTAGAAACTCGTAAACCCAAGACTTGTCTAAATAATTCAGGACTGGCCCAAGAAATGAGATAATCATAGACAAGATGACGAGCAAAAGAGGTACGTGATGGTTTTATTGTCAAAAGATTATAAATTTGAATAAAATCCCAATTGGACAGTAGGTTTTGCCTCGTTACTCAATATTGATCTTCATGTACCAAACTTACATGATAAATTCGTCGTCGGAGACAACACTGGAAGCAACTCCACCAGTAATGAACCATGGATTAATCACTGTCTGTCCTCCGTTCACTGTTGTACCAGCTTCCAATGCCAGATCATTGAAACCTTTGATCACTAATGGCGTCACAACTTCTCTTTCCTTCAGTGTCATTTGACTGCTTACTCCAAGTAACATTAACATATTATCACATTCAGTAACCCCCATAGCGTATAAATCACTCAACACATTCGCGCAAGCAATCTTTCCTTGCATGTAAGGATCATCCACGAGAGGATAAAAGAAATCAGTGGTCTGAACAAGACTTATTCCCTTATGCCTTGTGGGAAGAACACAACTGTCCATCCCAACACCGATTTTTCCTTCTCCTCTCTTGTGATCAAGTCCCTCAAGGAGCTTGAGCAGTTGCTCCTGAGGGACTTTGCATCCTCATCCTTTGAGTTTTGTGAAGTCTAACAGACGAAACGTTTCGGACAACCCGTGATCCTGAGGGATAAATCTGGAATATAATCCAAGAGACATGATTTCACAACCTCGTGACACTTTCTATTTAGATTTCCCTAAGTTCGAACAAATGGGACGGAAATGGAAAACTGCAATCCTTTTGGTCAGCTTAAATAGATGGTGTAACTACCATGCAGTATACACCGACATTCCCCTTCGAATGGTAAGACCATGTAAGGTCACCGCACTTGCATTGCCGGATTTCATATCGTGAGGGACTGGGGCGAGTTTGGCGCCTGCTGGACATTTGCAACCAAGAGCAAACTAGACCCTGTGAGCAGGGTAACTGGGATACCTGGATGGTACTGGATCCTTGGAATCAAGTGTAGTGATACTACGGGTGTCGGACTAGTATACTGAAATAGTGCGCTCAAGTCTGGCCAAGGGCATAGACCTATTTCAAAACATAGGTATGCTATGCATGCAAGAGTTACTTTTTTGTAGGGTGGGTGGATTACTTGAAACATTGTGAGTGATGTCTACATTCTTACAAAAGGAGAGAAGAATATTAATGTGGGAAAGAACGAAAATGTTGAATTACCTCACTCACAGGTATTTTGTGGTAGATTATGTGTGTTCTGCAAATAAATGTAACCAAAAATAAACTGTATTGGTGCCACGGATACCTGTTAGTACAAAATGCAGACAGCAGACTGCAGACCGGATACAAAATATAGACTGCAGACTGCAGAGTGGGTACAAAGTGCAGGCTAAGAATCTGAAGAGTTTTTACGTCTGGTATATAATAACATGTCATCTTACAGCTTACCGAGCGTCACGCAATCGCTTTTCTGCGATCCGCCTTCACGATTATTTGCACTATTGTGGAATATTCCTGGCCCATTTCTTGATGAAAATCGATCGCAATGTTATTTCAAGCCTTCAATATAGTCTTCTTACTTTGCGCGCGAGTTGGTTGGTGTGATGTCTGTACAGATTTTACCAACGTAATAAAAGTAGATGACGTGAATAACAGTGATGATAAAGCAAGCTTAAAACGGCAGAAATCGCCAGAAAACACAACGGATACACAGGGTAAGAGTGGTTTTGGATCACGTATTTATTGAAAAAGAATATCCATACAACTACAATGAAAAAAAACATAAGATTCACCTTTCTGATCGTGAAATTAATACCATTCGTACTGTTATCGTAGCTACGTTCCTTGCCTTCAAGTGAATCCAACATGTCGTCTTTCTTCACAAGCAGTTTGCATCCATTACAGTTATGTTCTTCAGTCTCACGGTAGTAGCGTTGTTCAATAGATTGCATAGAGTATATGCAGTTTGGTTTCAGATTTCAGATATTGCTTTTTACAACAAGTGAACGTTTTTCAACTAAGACATTGGCATACTTAGCATACAAGGCATTCAAGGCTTTCATGGCTTTCAAGCGTTCGCGACTCGATCCGTTCCAAAATTACCGCTCAATAACATCTTTCAGTGTGGATTAGCCGCGATTAATACGACTTGTATATGCGTCTGTAAGTATTTTGCGCGTTTGCGCTATAATGCTCCAGGAGATCGCAATCCAAATACGTTGAAATACAAAACAACAAAATCTCGTGTTCGTCATGTGACCCGGCCCTGTCTGTGCATGACAACGTCAATCATCATCAAGATAACACGCGTGATCAGCATGTGAACACCTCATTGGATCACAGTTAGTTGTCATGGAGTTGAGGGATAACACGCGTGATCAGTATGTGAACACCTAATTGGATCACAGTTAGTTGTCATGGTATTGAGGGCCCAGTGACCTCTGGGTACTATTGCGCAATTTTTCCATTTTGTGGCGGAGGAAAAAAAAAAAAAAAAAAAACAAAGGCATTTTATGACTGGGCTACCACAGGTATCCCAGTAAAAAAACGACAATAAAACAAAGGCATTTTATGACTGGGCTACCACAGGTATCCCAGTAAATAGCGGTGCTCGAAAAAATAGGCGACCAACTAGGCGACCAACTAGGCGACCATGGATGGATCCTCTTCCTCTAAGAAATGGCATTGGAACTGTGCTGAGGCACTGTGAACTAATAACTGGTGGAATGAAGGACTAGAATTTTATACCCTTGGTCCAATAGGTAAAAGAAACGGTGAACTAAAGGCATCTTAAATGAAAGTTCTTATGAATGAAAACATTAACTGGCAGAAGCACGTGATTTGTTCGGCACACTGGTCCAAAGGACGACGAGAAAGCATTGAAGGTAACAAAAAATTGCCTTTTACGGGTATAAATGCCTAGGACGCGCCTCTCCATTGAATAGCGGGCTCTGTGATAAATGACACTAGAGATCACAAATTTGAGCCTATGACAATCGAATTCAGAAAAAGGGGAAAGGCGAAAGGGCAATTTCAAATACTTTGAATATATCATGATCATAAATAATTATCATGGAGAAATTTGAAATCAAATTATAAAAAAAATGGGAGATTTTTAAAACAAAGGATATCCAGCTCCAGGCGACCGTGTAGGAGCCAAGTCACCATTAGTCTTAGTGTCATGGGATGGAAATTTCGTCGTTAGAGAAAGAGCATAGAGAAGAGTGCTGACGTCAAGGGAATGAGTTGCACGTAGCAAGAACTATCAAGCGAACCATTAAGGTCGTCACGCCATTTTAGCTTTTGGTAGCTTTTGCAGCAGAACAGCGGCTACCATTGTCCTTAGATAAAATGTTGGTCCATCTAGCAGATGCTAACATAGCGCAATTTTGCATAATAACACAAAATCTTCTTGGCGATTTTGGTTTCGAAGGTCATTTAGCACTAAAACAATGAAACGCAATTTCCCACTGATGTTGGTGGGGAATTCCGACTCAAAATTTTGAATCGCATTGTTTTTAGACGTTAGCAACTTTATCGTTTTAGCATAACTATTTCCCCAGATGCAACCTCTCGAAATCTCTATCAGGAGACAGCGGAATCCATCGAGTATTCGCTTTTTTCTTGCAAAATATTGTTTAAATTTTGGAAATATGTCTAATCCTGGTTTAAATATAACTTTAAACTCAGACGGAATGTGATATAATTTTTGGGAAACTTGATGTTTAAGAAGACTTTATTTTAATGAATCGTATCTTACTGTGGAAAACATTATATACACTATAAAAGTGGCAAAAAATTTTCATATTTTTCAAAGTTTCATCGCACGGAATAGAATTATTTACAAAATTGAGGTCCAAATTGCCAGAGAAAATAGTAAGCTCTCAGACCATTTCTAAAAATGGGAAAAACTACTAAGAGATTGGCCTAGGACAGGTGGAAGTGGAATAAAAAACTAATAATTCAGCAAATAATAGAGGTAAATTCAAACATATATATGTCACACAGGTGAATAGTACTTTTCGCACGCACTAATGGGCTAGTACGGAAGTGAATAGCAAGTACGGCTATTCACCTCGATCAAGAGACTGTTTCTGAGAATTTGGAATGAGAGCAACAGCTTTAGTAAAGAACAATGTTGGAAGCCACAACGAGCGGTTTATCTAGTAAGTTAGGTTGAATTTACGTTCATCGTTCCTAATCCTTTTCTAGTTTTGCATATATAGAGAGTTTTCTCATTACATAATCATATTATAGTTCAACAGATGTCTTCATCTTTGAAATGTTTATCAACTTTTTGAAAAATTCGTTCCTGAGTTAGATTTATCAACCAGATGGACACCTTTATTGGTGCACACCATTAAGTTTGAATGATGCAAGTCACGTCCATGAACTCTCAACCATCTTGAAATGAGTGAAGTTCATTGAGGATTTTTCTTTTTGATGCTGTCAGGAAGGTGAGAGTTTACAATGTCCTGGTTGGGCGGTTACTATGAAGACGAAATATATCATGTTGCACTTCCAGATAAACAGTAGCGAAAGTTGAGGAGAAAGCCGTTTATTCAGCTGCAGAATGATCGCGACAACAAATTCACCAGAACGCGGAACGCAGACGATAACTTATCAAAAACTGTTATGCTCACCCACTTTTGCTAGTGGGTTACAGCAAATCCCAATTTATTTCTGTGCAGCAAACATTCTCCTCTCCCTCGCAGTATTCATTGGAAATTTCCTTATCCTTGTTGCCCTAAACGGGGAAGGTTCCCTTCATCCACCTTCCAAACACTTGTATCGTTGTCTGGCCGCAGCTGATCTGTTAGTTGGTCTTGTTACTCAGCCTTTCTTTGCTGTTTATAACATGTCCTTAGTTAACGGACATTGGAGTCTTTGTCGATGTTCAATCGACGCAGTCTACATCACAAGCTATACATTATGTGGAGTATCATTGTTAACGTTGACGGCCATTAGCGTGGACAGACTTCTCGCCCTGTTGTTGGGAATGAGATACAGACAAATCGTAACTTTGAAACGCACGTACATCATTACAGCCATCCTTTGGATTATATCCGGTGTTGCTGCTGCATTTCATCCTTTAAATCTTCAAATAACCCGTTTGTATGTTATTATAATTGTAGTATTTTGCCCAGTGATCTCTACCTATTCATATATTAAGATCTTCTGCACTCTCAGTCATCGTCAGGCTCAGATACAAGATCATGGGGGACAACAGCCGAGCCAACCAAATGCACTGAACATGGAGCGATACAGAAAGGCAGTATACAGTGCCTTATGGGTGCAGTTAGCATTGGTTGTTTGTTATGTACCAAAATTTATAATTACACTTGTGATCATTCAAAGAAAAACTTATTCTTCACATATAATAATCGTTGATGGAATAACGTCGCTTGCAGTGTACTTAAACTCAGCCTTGAACCCGTTTATTTACTGCTGGAAGATAAGAGAAGTGAGACAAGCAGTAAAGGAGACAATCAGAAGAGCACTTTGTTGTACATGGACTTAG